ATTGAATCATCTTCGCAAAGGGGATCTGTGGAAAGCTGCCTTCAATAACACCGGTAAAGGAAATTGAACAAATTTTGTTCAATTTTCCTCGTTTGACATTAATGTAGAATGATTGTCTAAAAGGCATAAGCAAATGCTCACTTTCATTGGCAAGAGTTAACTGATTGTGAAAACTTGTATTCAATTACACACTGTTTCAATTTTTGTCTTATAAATCACATCATTTCACAAAACAAAATATTTTCACTTCCTTATCTGTTGCCAGAATTGAAAAAAAAAGATGACAGGATAATTATTCTAAATCACTTGTGAATATCTAAACCGTCAATTCAAATTTGATCAGAATTCAGATTGGAGTTTTCTTTAGAGAAACACAATCTGTGTATATAATTCAATTGAAGTGAAATTATTCTAGGCATCACATGAATTTCCAAAAACGTGGGTTTTAATATACCATACATGAGTAGAAATTAATAAAAATGATAACTATATATTTATTTATCATAAACATTTTTCGAGTGATTCAAACAAATTGTTTCTCGAGACATTATTTGGCATTGTTGTTTTGTTGGAATTCGACTTGACTAGAACCAGTCATGTGTTTCAAGTGTCTGTCTGTCTGTCTATGTTTCTGATTCATTGAAAATTCCTCAATGATCTTCAATCGGTCGATTACAACAAAATGACTTTGTGATAACGTGTATAAAACTGCGGAAAATAGCAGTAAGATTTGCAATCAATTAATTAAGGATGACTTTGATTGATAAGCTGATATTGTGAATGCATGAAGACTTGACTTGTGATAGTTTTGGCATTTATTAGTATTATTTGTCATAATTGTAAGAGAATGAGTTAAATTGTAACTGTACTTGATAACAATCAATAAATTCTTGTCAAATAAAACACCTACTTATTGATGATATTTAAATAGAATGGATATCAGTTAATGAGGTAAGAAATGTACCTACACTAGAATTCAATACGTCTACTGATGCCTCTGAACTATGGAATCTCACATATTAGCGTTCACTGAACCTTAGTTTGCCATTTTACTAGCTACAGGTGTTATTCGTCCTTCTCACAGTCCCTGGGGCTCACCACTCCACATGGTTCGAAAAGGGATGGGATATGTTGGCGACCATGTGGCGACCATCGAGCATTGAATATAGCAACACCTTTTGATAGATGTCCCACCCCGGCCCTACAAACACGACATCACGTCATCACTCAAGGGCACGACTATCTATTCTAAGATTGATCTGATACGAGAATATTATCAGATCCAAGTCGCTCTTCAAAATATCAAGAAAACTGCCATCACGACTCTTTTCGTTCTGCCTGAGTTCCTACAAATGCCATTTGGATTTGGGAATGCTGTTCAGACTTCTCAAAGATTTATCGATAGCATAGTACGAGACTTCGATTTTGTGCACGTCTATATTGATGACCTGCTTATTGCTTCATCAAACTTATTTGAAGATTACCTGCATCTTACGCTCTTAATCCAACGACTTTCGGATAATCGAATAATAGTCAACCCAGTTAAGTATGAACTAGGCAAGCCAGAAATAAAATTCTTGGATCACATCATTAAGCAAGAGAGTATTTCTACCTTTTGAAGATAACGTACGCGCAATCATGGAGTACACTGTACAGTCCTCACTCAAGGAATTGAAAGCTTTTCTCGGTTTGGTCAACTTCTGCGGACGTTTCATTCCTCACGCGACAGATTAGTCACTACCATTAATCGACCACTCAAACTAGAATTGAAAGATGCCACGTGTGCGGCATTTTCAGAGATCAAAACGGCTTATGCTCAAGCCACGCTCGTCGCCCATCCTGGCACATCAGCCACACTTAGCTTAGCGCTTGATGCTTCAGATTTCGTAGTAGGAGCCGTCATGCAACAGAACATCTCTGGAAGTTGTCAACCTCTCGAACTTTTGTCACGACGCCTTACTTCCACAGAGACGAGATATAACGCTTTTGGTCACAAGCTGCTAGCAGCCTACTGTGCCATCAAATATTTCCGGCACCCAGTAAAAGCTCGTAATTTTATCCTTTTCGCTGACCATAAGCCTCTAACGTATGCTCTGCTCACCAAGTCTGACTGATACTCATCACGAGAGTGCAGACATTTGGACTATATCTCTCAGTTCTCGACAGACCTTCGTCATATAGAAGGCAAGTTGAACCATGTTGCCAAGTAAATGCAGCTGCTTTACCGCTGCACAATCTTCCTGCTATGATCGCTGCCCAAGCAAACGATCCCCTCTTTACGGAGGCACAACAATCGACATCCCTTCAGTTCTAGGAAGTACCACTAGCTACCACCTCAGGTACTTTCCTGTGTGACAATTCTACTGGTTTACCCCGACCCATCGTACCTTCTGCCCATCGTCGTCTCGTCTTCGGTGCCCTTCGTGGTTTGTCTCATCTAGGTATCGCAGCCATCTTACGTCTCATCGCTGCACGATACGTCTGGCCTACCATGAATAAGGATGTCCGTATGTGGGTAAAGCAATGCTTAAAATGTCAACCATCAGAATTGCACAAGCACGTAGCCGCCCTCATCAACATGTTCGCTACGCCTGATACTCGCTTCGATCATGTTCATGTTGATATTGTAGCACCGTTACCACAATCACATGGGTATAATCACATACTCACATGCATTGATCGTTTCACTAAAAGGCCCGAAGCTATTCCCATCACTTCTATTATGGCGGAAACAGGGACTCACAGCTTCGTAGAATGATGGATAGCGCATTACGGTTGTCCCTCAACTGTCACTACTGACCGCGGACAACAGTTCGAGTCCGAATTATTCCCCTCCATAATCCCGCTGCTTGGTACGGAGCGCATACGCACTACCACCTACCACCCAGCTTCGAATGGTTTGGTCGAACGGTTTCATCGTCATCTTATAAGTGCTCTTCGAGCACATGAAAACAACAATTGGTACGAAACCTTAGGTATCAGAACGAGTTTAAAGGCAGATATTCAATTTTCCACCGCTGAGTTGATATACGGTACGATATTGTGTCTGCCTGGGGAATTTTTCACACCACGGAGCAGTGATAACTTCATTATATGGGACTGCGTCCGACGACTGTCTGAATTTATGCGAGCACCGCCTCCGGTGTCATCTCGAGTACAACATCTAAAGGTCGCTCTCTGTCGAGAGTTATCTAGTTGTACGCATGTTTTCATAAGAGTCGATTCAGTACTCAAATCTTTGCAACAGCCTTACGAGGGACCATTTCACGTGTTTTCTGGTCATGAAAAGACCTTCAAATTCGCTCGACGCGGCCGCGTCGAGATTATCATCATTGATCGTCTCAAGCCAGCACACATCGGTGACAGTGCCTCACTTGCTAATCAGAGACCCAATGGTAGACCTATCATACTTACTAGCGGGATCCTTAAAGCTACTTCAGGTCCCACGCTGGACAAATCAGAGACCTCATTCTCACGTCCCAGTCAACAGCACGCGAAATCTGCACAACCTATCAATGAGACTCCGGTCTCACGTCCAGATCAGCAATCCACGCCGCCCTTGACTTCAGATGAGATTGACGACTCACGAGGTACGCACGAGACTACTGTCTCGCGTTCCAGTCACCGCGTACACCTACCTGTACGCTTTCTCGAATAACCACCCACGCAGCAAAGGAAACGTGATAGTACCCTATCCTCGTACTACATGTATGCTACATCTTTCTCCTTTTCCTTCATTTCATATCCTGAGCACATGTCTACGGCCATCAACCTGTTGGTACCGTCGATTTCAGTCAATTTAGGTGAAAGCTGGCTCGATAACCCATGCACTCAGTCGATGTTTTAGTTTTGAATGTTCTTATATACGTATGGTTTGGAATATGGTCGTTCTGGTCGTTTCTGGCTCCTTCGCTCAATCCAGTTCCGTCCTACGCCCACAGCTTTTTCTGGTACGAACCCCTGCGAACACTGAGTGTAGTATATTTAGCCATTGATTGCTTGTATTGAAAGATGATTTGGTTTGTTATGCATGTGCGGTAAAAATAAATGAACAGTCCATATCTTTAAAACTTTCTAAATAGCTGCAGGAACACGGAACTTCCATTCAAACCGCTCTGACTAACTCACTCTGTTTACCTTTAATCCTACATTGACCTAGTTAGCTTCACGCACGCGACAAAAATCTGAAGACTATGCCGTTTAACGAGGTGAATTGGAAGCTCTGTGGAAAATAATTCATCGAAAAGCTTTGTTTCATCTTAAACTGTAAACAAATATACACTGCTACGCACAACGTGTATATACATGATAACATGTGAAATATCCCTACTTGTCAGTAGTTCCTCTTGCTCCTGTAAGCACATGAAATAGTTCTAGTATATTAGTATTAATTTCACCAGATCCGAGTTTTCGAGTAAAACTAACATCTTTGATGTAGACGTGTGTCAGTATGCTATGCCGAAATAATCCTCTTCGATTTTGGAATACCGCCAACAAAGGAGGTTGGTACAATAGGCGTTCAGTCTATTAGCCAGTCGCTTCAAGATAATAAGGATACTTGGCAACGCATCCAAATACTAATTGAAGTCTGAAACTCATGCAGAGCTTCTCAGGTAACTGGATCTTTACGCACTAGAGAATGGGTGTCTCAGAGCTGACGTACTGATGTCTAATTGGATTCTAGGCACAAAACTTGTGTGCAGTTCCCAGAAACTAGAGGAACAGCAGGACAAAATGGACATCAAAGTCTAGTTTCACTCTTCCTAAGTAGCCTCATATCAGTCATATATTACGAAAAATGCAAATCATTAACTAACTGCCAAACTGACTAGAATTATGGCAGTCAAGTGTGTAGACTACTAATTATTGGAATTTATAAGGCTGTAGTCAGTGAATAATTTACTTCTAGACTTAGAGCTGGAACTGCGCCTAGAGAACAAGGATCAAGCGCAAAGAAATCAATTACTTTGTACTAGCTCGTAAAAAAGATATTGGACATTGGAAACCGCCTCAATTAGAGTGTGCGTTACGTCATGCAGAAGAGTTCGCAAAATACCGGAGAACAGCAATCTGTAATTAGAAACTTACTTAATATTCTAACTCCTTATTTAGTCGGCTGAATTCTTCTCACATGATGGGATTTTTTCACTGGAAACAGCAAAGTGGTTCAGGTACAATCGTAAAGTTTATATATTGCATATTTTTTTACAGGATAGTGAATTCACTGACAAATCTGCAAGTTTGTAACAATTACTTGGTTGGTGCTACTTCAAAAAATACTCTTATAAGAACACCTACTATTCCTCCTTATAATATAACTGGTTCGTTTCCTTGTTCGATTATGTATTTATTCACATCTATTCCCTGTTTTCGGTCGTTCACAATCTTAATAATTTTTGATGCTGTTCTATCTCACACACTCGATTCTGTGCACATATAGCAACAACAATATGGATCTTTATGTGGTTATGTGTGTTTTTAGGTCTCTAAATAGTCTTTCTGTGGAGACTGGTTGACTCTGTCCGCTATCTTTATGTCACTACCGGGTTAGGGTGTCCTATCTTTATCCTCAAAAACGGAATTTCGATTTGATTGATTCTCCCAAAAACCTTTATAGTTACAATGACCACAATGAGATACGGATAGTTCCATTCGTTTTACTGCAATTTTTTTCTAACAGGACAAATAGTTTGTCTAAATTTCAGTGACTCACAAGTGTCTATTGGTTTATTTACAATCAGAGTGAAGGCGAACTGTTATTATATGTTGGGGATAGTTAAACATAATACATGTTTGGTGTGGTCATATTTCAGATTTTATAATATTGTATAGCTGTCCCAAAATGGCTATCCATACTTTAAACAGCTAATGCACGGCAGATTATACAATCTAACGGAGTTCATCTTTTCACGAGACTGGCTAATGGTCTCTGAAATGTAGCTTTCATGGTCCTATAGTTGACAAATGCTTGTCAGTGTTCTAATCTCAAAACAGCGTGAAACTCTAGGTAAAATCAGTTTGAAGTGGAAAAACGCTAAATATATTTCCATATTATATATTGTAGATCATTTACCAGCACTCGTGGATGATTTCATTCTCTGGTTTTAGCTTACATCAAAAAGATAAACGTCAATTGTTTATTTGAAATTACGACAGTATTGCTATGATCGCCTCCCTTGGGTCGATTATTACTCTGACAGTGTAGCAACCAGTACATATACTAAGTTTTTGAACCGATCTAAACTTTTTCGTTTAGATTAGGTAATGTTTACTCCTTACGTCAACATTAGGTTTAAAATTCGAGTATTAAAATGATTGTGTTATGATATGCTATCAAGTGGTCATAAATTTCCATAGTAGATGAATGCTTCTTTCCTATACACATAATTGAGTTTAATCTACTGTTTTGAAGAGATTGATTTAATGTTTTTAACTGTATTGCTCCGTGATAAATCATAATGCAAATTTCCACTCAGCTTTTATAATTTACGTCAATTGGTGCAATTCGATACGTATATTTATTTTTATAAAGCTAGAATTTTCATTATCATTTTAACTTTTATCCAGAAATTGAAATAAGCCGCCTATCAGATGATCGAGTTCATAATATCTTTCTTGATCCTATGGGTTGGCATACTGTAATTAGTATGCAATCGGGTATAAATTTCTACGTCAATAAAGGCATGAAAAAGGTTCGACCTTTAAATAAAACCAAAGTAAGTATTTGTACATTTTATTCGATTTGATGAAAATATATTTTATACTTGCTTGTCTCGAGAAATTTTATTTTCACTTTTCGGTAGATCATATATTGACACACATGGCTTTTTGTGTAAAGGTTATTGTTTAAAATCAGATTAATTTTGATCCTCAACTTTTAAACATGATTATTAGGAATTACCACTTTTCGTGTAACAAAACTACTTTTACGTTGATATGTAAAACAGTTAACTTTTGTTATGATTTACGACTAAACTGGTCGTTAATCTTGGTACAAAAGTATTCAGAAGTAGAGTTGTAGAGTTATTCCATTTTATCATTCCGGGTCTGAAAAGGAAATCTATGTAAATGGAAATATGTATGTTTACTTTCAAAGAAATTTATTTCTGGTGATAAAATTAATCTGCATTATAAGGTTGTGGATAATGTTCAGTTAAATTTTGAACTAGTGAAGCGAGCAGTGTTAGACCAGAAGCACTGGACGGCTTAAGATCCTGGGTTTGAATCCTGATAGGTGCAGAAGTTGTGAATGTGCACTGCTGATGAGTCCCATACCAGGACGAAACGACCGTCCTGTGCTTCCAGGTTTCTAATAGTAATCTAACGTTAAACGATTCATGTTTTCAAAATAAAATTAATCGTCAAACATAATTGTTAGTTCATTGGTGAATGATATGTGAAGGATTCAAAAATAATAAAACATTGGCTTCGTTGCAAATAGAATCGACTTTCAACCTTTAAGTTGCAGGTAATAACGTCTCTCTCCACCAGAATTTGGTTGTACAACCAAATAAGATCAGTTCTCCTAACAATTAAATTACAGCTCAATACTAATTACTTGATTAGTAATTTTATAGGTTCTGGGAGTCTCATCGGCGGTGATGGCCTGGTGACTGACGAAATCTCAGCACGGATACAGAAGGCTCGACTGGCTTTTGCCAACCTGCATCACTTATGGCGTATCCGTTTGCTGACTAAAGGACGAGTGTACTGTGCAGTAGTTCGCTCCATCTTACTTTATGGCTGTGAAACATGGCCAGTGAGAGTAGAAGATATTCGTCGGTTATTGGTTTTCGATCATAGGTGTCTTCGAAGAATTGCTCGTATATCGTGGGACACCCGAGTGAGCAACGCTGTTATTAGGACACGGGTACTAGGTAAGAATGGCAGATCAATAAATGAAGTGCTGAAACTTCATCAGTTGAGATGGTTGGGACATGTGCTGCGTATGCCTAACCACCGACTGCCTCGACGAGCTATGTTTTGTGGTTTAGGAGTAGGTTGGAAGAAAGTTAGGGGCGGCTAGACCAAAACATGGCAGAAATCCATGAAGTCATTGACGAGTGGACTGAGTCATGTCGGTAGTTGTCGACTACCTGATTGGGGTCCGCGAGATGATAATGATCGATGGTTAGAGACCTTGAATGACATGGCTCAAAATCGTTCGCAATGGCGCCGATGCATTTATTCTTTGTGTTCTCTCAAACTCTAATCTTCTGGATTCTTCAACACCTCTAGTTTTGACTTTCTAAACTTATCTCACTGAATCATATTTCTTGAATAATATTTTCTAATCCTAACCTCTCTGATTACTTCTAATACATTTACCACCCTCTTCTACTATTGGATTTGAATTGACAATCATATCTCTGTGCTACTGTGGTATGGCAACTTGAACTGATGTACTTACGTACGAAGTTCTACGTTGCATCTGACTGACTGACTGACTACCTACTTACTTACGCCTGTTACCCCCAATATAGCATAGGCCGCCCACCAGTTTCCTCTAACCATTCATTAACAAGGAAACTTAAAAAACTTATCTAAAGGTTGGTAATCGTTCACATATTCATATTCATATTATCTAATTAGTTACTTATAATAAAATTTCATTATTTTAGGATCATTTATTTGACTCTATAGCATGGAATCAACATAATGTGAATGAATTTTGTACACAAGAAATTCTGATCGGTACTAATGATGGATTAATATTTGAAACTATGCTTATATTTAATGAAGATAGCTTTTTTAGTTCAAGTAATATTGAACAATATTGGATTCAAGTAAGATGTTCAATTTTTCTTTTTTAATTTTTGTATGACTGCCCAAAATTTTCAGTTGATAAATTGATTTGTGAAGTGACGGTATGTAGCCTAATCATTGAAATATACGCAAGTTGTCATTTGTACCATGAATTGTATTTATATTGATAACTATTAAAAAACCAAGTAGTAGTGGGCATATGCTTCGTCTCAGCAAGTGCCTCTTTAACAATACTCTCCGAAGAATTGAGAACCCTTAAATCTTGCGGCAAGCAAGTGAACCTCAGACTTCTTAGTTGTGTGCTTTTAACTGGTATGAGGGCGGTTGTCACTTCGCGGCTGCCCACACCGTGGAGGGTTGTTTCTTGAGGGATCTGAAAAGGAAGATAGATTAGTGTTGGTCTTGGAGACCTGGTTGCGTGACCGTAGAGTCCAAGGGACAGCTGCTTGAGGCCGGTCACGCACGGCCTTATAATGAAAGGTTTTTTGAGTATTAGCTCCGCTCTTAAAGGCCCTTAGTGGGCACCCTTACCACCGGAGACGGAAATCCGTGAGGTAGGGTGAGGTGTGACATTTTTAGGGTTGACATTTCCTAACCTGCCTCGACGAGCTATGTTTTGTGGTGTAGGAGTAGGTTGGAAGAAAGCTATGGGCGGCCAAACCAAAACATGGCATAAATCCATGAAGTCATTGACTAGTGGACTGAGTCATGTTGGTAGATGTAGGCTACCTGGTTGGGGTCCGCGAGACGATAGTCACCGACGGTTAGAGACCTTGAACGACATGGCTCAAAATCGTTTGCAATGGCGCAAGTGCATCCATTCGTTGTGCTCTCTCAAATTCTAATCTTCTGGATTCGTCAGCACGTCTACCTTTGTCTTTCTAACCTTATCTCACCTAATTATACTTCTCGAATAATATCTTCGAACCCAAGTCTTCTTCATAACCATTAATACCTCTACTATCTTTATCACTATGGGATTTGATTTGAGATTTGCGTCTCTGTGTGCTAATGTGTTGGTATGTGATATGTTCGTCACTTAGTATGCTTGATGCTATTACGAGTTTACCTTAGTCGATAAACGCGAACGATACTTTTACCAGCTTCCAGGAAGGCTACCTTGAATCCAACGGTAAAACAGAAGTCTTGGTAAGCGTAGAAAGTATATTCTACAAACACCCAGCAATCCAGTACAATCAAGCATACAACTCTCGTTTATTTATACAACATAACAACGTCCTTGAGACAGTTAAGAAAATAGCATACTAAAATACACAGCAGCCAATCACAGCCATGGATTTTCCTGGTGGGAATTGAAATCTCAAGGTCATTTGATCAGCCCCTGCTGGCGAACGTGAAAACCGAAATACGGCATTATCAAGCGAATTTTGGGGATCTAACATCCCCAACACTCCTCCCCTTTTTAATAGCGTGTTCTCCTGTGGTTGACTTGCATCTTGACTATTGTTCGCCGCTGTCTGAGGGGATACCTTCGGGAACGAAGAACAGCTTGCTGCTGAGTTTCTTCTCGTGGCGGGGCTCTCGGTAGGTTGAAGGTATCAAGCAAGATGTCAAGGGGAAGGCTTTCTGCTCTTGATGGGTGATCTTGGGCTAGCCGTCTGCGTATCTGATTCCAATGACGTGACCATTTATCACCTCCTACCTCTACTTCGTACATAACTCGACCAACCCTTCTGACCACTCTCGCTTCTACCCAAGGACCATGGTTCGTTCTGTAGTCGCGGGCAAACACAGGGCATCCCACCTCGTAAGCGGATTGTCTTTGCTGCTTTGTCTCTACTGATGAGGGTGCATTAGTCGGATGCATCAGGCTGTGGATCGTTTTCAATCTTCTTCCCATCAGGATTTCAGCTGGGGACTTTTGCTCCGGTAACAATTCATTTGGTGTTGTCCGATAGACGTACAAGAAATTTTGTAACGTTTCGGCTGGCGTCCCCTCCCCTTTTGACTTGAGCAGTGCTCTTTTAAACGTATCCACAAACCTTTCCGCCTGCCCATTCGATTGCGGGTGGTATGGTGGCGAGCGTAAGTGTTTAATAGCTAGCCGTTGACGGAAATTCTGGAATTGGGAAGAGGTGAATTGAGAGCCATTGTCGGATACGATCACATCTGGTATGCCATTTCGTGAGAAAATTTCAGTTAGGAGCTGTATAGTCTTAGTTGTAGTGGGCGGCATAACGGGGCTGATTTCCGGCCATTTAGAAAAGGCGTCGACGACAATTAAATACATAGTCCCATTTATTGGGCCAGCGAAGTCGACATGTATCCTGGACCAAGGATGCTCAGGTTTGGGCCATGAAACCGGCGGAATTTTGGCATTCATCTTTGCCGCCTGCTGACACCGGATGCATTTTTCAACCAACGCTGTGACATGTTGATCCATGTGAGGCCAGTATGCATAACTCCTGGCTATGGACTTCATTCGTTTAATCCCAGGATGACCAAGATGGAACTGTCTCAGCACTTTTGCACGAAGGGATTCTGGCACCACTACTCTTTCACCAAACATCAGACAATCGTTGACGATGCATAGTGACTCCCGCCGCTGATACAGTTGCTTCATGTCACCTTCAAACTTTTTCGACGGCCAACCGTTAGTGACATATTTCATCGTCATTTTGATGATGGGGTCGTTTCTAGAAGCATTTTGTATGTCTGTTGCAGACACCGGTAATGCGCGAACTGCAGTTGTCAGATCACATTCTGCGTGGTCTTCTACTGACAGAGATGCGATCACCATGTTTTCCTCAGCCGCCACTTGATCATTAATGAGTCGTGACAAGGCGTCTGCTTGACCGAATTGTAGAGTACGTCGATATTGGATTTCGAAATCATACCCCAAAAGTACCAAGGCCCATCGCTGAAGACGATTTGCAGAATGGGCTGGAATGCCAGACTTTGAACCAAATATTGCTAACAGAGGCTTGTGATCTGTGAGGAGCGTGAATCTCCGACCGTACAGAAACTTATGGAAACGGCGAACAGCAAACACAAGGGCAAGAGCTTCTTTCTCTATCTGGCTATACTTCTTTTCTGCTGGGGTCAGTGTACGGGATGCATGCATAACGGCTTTTTCCGACGCGTCTGGAAATTGATGTGAAATAACAGCACCTAGGCCATATGCTGAAGCGTCTGCTGCTACGATAATCGGCATGGATGGATCGTAGTGTGTTAATAACAATTCCGAGCTAATTATAGACTTGAGTTTACCAAAAGCCGCGTCACACTCTTTAGTCCAGTTCCATGTGCTATGCTTCTGCAGTAGACAATTCAATGGAGCGCGAATATCATGCATCGAGGGAACAAAAGCTGAATAATAACTGATCAAACCGAGAAAAGATCGTAATTCGGAAACATTAGTGGGAGTGGGCATCAGTTTGATAGCTCGGATGTTTTCAGGATCCGGTCTGCGACCGTCGGCATCAAAGATGAATCCCAAATACTTTACCGACTGCAATAGAAACTGGCATTTTTCTGGGCGTAACCGGAAACCATTGTCACTGATGCGTTGTAGTACCAATGTCGTGCGTTCCCGTACCTGTTCTAACGTCTTCGCAACAATCAAGATATCATCGAGATAAGCTGCAACCCCTGAGATATCTGACAGGATAGTATCCATTAGTTGTTGGAAGATAGATGGGGCAGTCTTAACTCCAAAAGGTAGACGGTTATACTGGAACAAACCACGATGAGTGTTGATAGTAAGCAGCTCTTTAGATGCTTCATCGACTTCCACTTGCAAATAAGCATCAGCTAGGTCAAGCTTTGCGAAGAACTTTCCCCCATTCAGCATAGTGAACAGATCTGCTGGGACTGGCAGAGGATAATGATGCTGTTCTAGAGCTGCGTTGAGACCTGTAGAGAAGTCAGCACATATACGTATCGTGCCGTTGGCCTTCTTGATAACGACTATAGGTGCTGCCCAACTGGAGTAAGAAACGGGAGTAATAACTCCTTGTCGTTGAAGGCGATCCAGCTCTTCATCTACTGTTGCTAATGTAGCATACGGTACCGGTCTCTTTGGACGAAAAGCAGGCTTAGCCCCATGTTTCAACCGAAGTGTTGCTTTCATAGCAGTGCACCGACCTAATCCAGGTTCAAAAATGGTTGAAAACTCTGTCATCAGCTTCTTCGTATACGCTTCTGGGTCATGTCGTTGTGATACCAGGTTGCATATGGTATTTAGCGGGACATCAGCCAATTTTAGCTGGTCGAACCAATCTAAACCAAGTAAATTTAGATCAGCTGGCGTTATATAGCATACCCCAGTAAACGACGAATCTCGGAAAGCAACTTTACATTCCAATTGTCCTAACAGACGAAGATAATTACCACATGCTGTACGAGGCTTTTGTGTTGTGTGCTGCAGGCTTGGGCTGCCCAATTTGGTCCAATTTTTGCGCGAGAGGATAGTGACATCAGATGCAGTATCTATTTGCATTCTACACAAATAACCGTTAATATTAAGAGTAATAAATTTCCTCTCACCTGGTGATGAGCTTTGGCAGGAAGATATTAGGCTCAATGCATTGGTACTGGATCTAGGAACAGGCTTCTTAGCACTTCTGGATCGCTTTGGCTTTTTCTGTAGGCAAAAGCCATCTTTATGACCGATGACTTTACACTTCCTGCATCTATGCTGCCTAAATGGGCAGTTCCGTACATAGTGCCATGAACCGCAGTGCCAGCAAGCAGAAGGTGGATTCATTTTGGGTTTTTGGGCCGAATTGGAATTTTTCTTTTCACTAATGGAATGCACGTATGATGAGAGGCCCTTGTTTTCGACCATGGAGGTATCATGCTTCAAGTTTACTAATCTCTGGCACTCTGCAGTTATTTCTTGAAGCGAGATGTTTGGGCACTGTTCAATTTTACTTAGGATTCTGGTTCTTATATCAGCATCGTCGGGAGATTGTAAGCTGCACACAAACACAAGGCACTTAAACTGATCTTCCGTCATTGATGATAATTTAAATCGTTCGCATTCACGATTTACTAAGCCAACATGCTTTACCCAGTCATCTTCATTTGACTTGATTATTTTGAGGCATTGATAACGAATATTAAAGAGAGATGACTGTTCAGAGAAGATTTGCGACAGCGTATCAATTGTAGCATCAAAAGAGAAATCTCGTGGGTTCTTTGGGAGGATGAAATTACTATAACGTTCGTGTTCGATTGTGCTGAGCTTTCTCAAAAGGATTCTGACTTTGGTGGCGTCATCAAGATTGTTGAGGTCGACCTTGAACAAATCCTTATACTTCTTAAACCAAGACTCGAAAGTCACACCAGCAAGGCCATCAAAATGAAATTCATGAATGGAATTAACTATCGAGTCTGTATGCGGATTATATGAATCATCGGCAAAACCTCTGTGATTCAAATTCATTTGTTTCATTAACAGCTCCAACATACGTTCCTGGAACTGTTCATATCGTTTACCTTGACGTTCCAGTAAAGATTCTAACTGTTCAAGATTAATTGACATTGTGAATTGTGAGCCCCGTCGCCACTGATATGTTCGTCACTTAGTATGCTTGATGCTATTACGAGTTTACCTTAGTCGATAAACGCGAACGATACTTTTACCAGCTTCCAGGAAGGCTACCTTGAATCCAACGGTAAAACAGAAGTCTTGGTAAGCGTAGAAAGTATATTCTACAAACACCCAGCAATCCAGTACAATCAAGCATACAACTCTCGTTTATTTATACAACATAACAACGTCCTTGAGACAGTTAAGAAAATAGCATACTAAAATACACAGCAGCCAATCACAGCCATGGATTTTCCTGGTGGGAATTGAAATCTCAAGGTCATTTGATCAGCCCCTGCTGGCGAACGTGAAAACCGAAATACGGCATTATCAAGCGAATTTTGGGGATCTAACATCCCCAACAGTATGGCAACATGAACTTATGTACATACGTACGTAGTTCTACGTTGTAACTGACTGACTATCGATTTCACTATTATTAACTGTATGTCATATATCTATCTATCTATCTATCTTTCTGTTTGATTCTGTTTATTTTCTGTTCACTTAGATTATGAATTTAGGTCATAGTGTAACTGGTATTGAAATAATACGTTTTCCTATTGGTTCACCAAATGTATTAGTTGGTGAACCACAACGTTGTGTTATCTTGGCTACAACACCATGTCGTATGTATCAATTTGCTGGTTGGATTAATACAAATAATGCTACTACTAATAGTAGTATTAATACTATTACTACTACAATTACAGCAACTAGTTCAATATTATCTCATTTTACATCAACTACTGGTATTAGTGGTGGTACAAGTGGTACTAGTGGTAGTGGTACTAGTAGTCATAAATCAAGTCTAGTCAATGATTATCAACCATCACAAGCACAACCGCAAGCACAACAACAACAGCAACAGTCATCTATTGGAACACAAAATACAACTCTATTTCCTAATTTGACTGGACTTTTTTATAGTGTATTCAATTCAGATGATAAACAACTACCTGTAGGTATGTTGTGTGTGCGTGTGTGTGTGTTATTTTGTTAAAGAGAAATACATATTTAGTGTTCACGCTTGCACGTAAACAACGTCAACTTGATATACTTGAACTATTTATTACGAGTTGTGTTTACCTTAGTCGGAAAACATGAGAGCGAGGATCGAGGATCCGGTGACATGACATGCTACTCATCAAATCCGATTATCCCAACTCCCATTATTGAGTAAAAAAATAAGAAGACTTGATATGAAGTAGAATCTGTATTCTACAAGTATCCAGAAAGTACGAGGTCCGAATCCAGAAGAGAAACGGGATCCCGGTCCTGGTTGTGGTCATAAAATGTTACAGATAATGCGTATTTATACATTTTGGTCGAATAGGAAACAGCATCGAAGCCTGTGACATTGACCGTTCAGGACGACCAATAGGAAGTAACATTTGAAATGACATTAACAGTCCAGATGACCAATAAGAGACAACATTGAAGTATTTGACTTTGACAGTTAAACGACCATAATTTTGACCAATAGAAATCGACCAATTGGAATTGATCAATAATCCTCTTTGGATATTGGATGAATACCCTAACATTTAGCTTATAAATAAAAGTAATTACCATCACTACGCGTAGGCTAGAGGAAAGCTAATTGGGGTGGGGGCGGCCAAACCAGGGACATGACACAAATATATAAAGTCATTGTTAACTGGATTGAGTCATATTGTTAAATGTATACTGATGGTTAGAGAGAGACTTTGAAATCGTTTGCAATGTCTCTGATGCATTCACTGGGTTATACTTCTTGAATCATATCTTCGAACCCCAATCTCCATTACTTCTGACACTTCTACTCCTATGGGATTTGAATTGAAAATCTGATATAGTATGACAACTGGAACGGACTTACATATGCTCAATGATTGAAAAGTAATTACAGATTTCTTTACTTGTCTATTTCTTATGAGTACTTGTTACATAACAATTGGTCAGATTTACTGTCTCGAATCACCATCATATTTGTGAACTAAGAAGTTTGTTTCTAGTTAACACAGTTGTATGAGTTGTAAGTTGATTCTACTCCATAGTCACCATATGCAAAATAATAGATTCTGTAATATTTCCTAACAACTGCATTGCTTACTTGGTGGTCCCAGGATATATGGGCAATGCTTCGAAGATACTTATGATCGAATACCAACAGTCTACGAATATCCTCTCCTCTTACTGGCTATGTTTCACACCCGTACAGTAGGAGGGATTGAACTGTTTCACTGTAGACTCATCGTTTGGCTAGTATAGATGGACATTTCGTCTGTTGTTGTGTTATTCAATATTCATTGCTGTGTCAAGCATCGCATTCTGTTCATTGTTCTCTGTTGTAAATTGTTTTGCATTACGGGGTTGTGAAGATTGTTAAGTTACATATGGGACTCCTAAGCAGTGCGCATCCGCGACTCCTGCACCCCGCAGGATTCGAACCCAGGACCTCCGGTATTGTGCGCGAACGCCCTAACCGTTAGACCACTGAGTCGGTATCTAAAGATGTGAATGTCTATCTTGATCAATTCACGGAGTTGCGCAACCTCATACACAGTCTTCGGTAGACACTGCCTACACCCGAACAGGTTGAACTTCACTGGTCACGTCTTCCCACTAGAACTCGGAGAAGATTCCTCACGAAGCTAGTCACTAGTGAGCACAGGTAATTTGCATTACGGGGTTGTGAAGACTGTTAAGTTACACATTTTTGAAACCATGAATCGATCAATGTTAGACCACCATTGGAAACCTAGAAGCACTGGACGGCCGTTTCGTCCTGGTATGAGACTCTTCAGCAGTGCGCATCCACGACTCCTGCACCCCGCAAGATTCGAACCCAGGACCTGCGGTATTATGTGCGAACGCCCTAACCGTTGTTTTGATTATGTTAATGAATTCATTAATCGAAAATTAATTATAGAATATTGTTTTTGTTCAATTTTTATTCTGAAAACAAATTAGGTTCTAAAGTTACTGAATTCCCTGGAAGTTTTGGTTATAGTGATTTAAAACTTTATCGTAATGTAAAAGATGAACTTCCAAGTAAATTTGCATGGATGACAGGTTAGTAAAGTAATGTGCAGATTGTAAAATTATTTTTAGCGCGTTATAGTTTTATGAAGATCATTTTTTTTACCTTGTAATCATAAATGAATCATTGTTAGACCACCATCAGAGAAACTTAGAAGCACTAAAAGACGGCCGTTTCATCCCCGGTGTATGGGATTTATCAGCTGGTAGTGCGCATCTACGACTCCTGCCAGTTGCAGGAATCGAACTAAGGACCTTTGGTCTAGTGTGCGCGAATGCTTAACCTGTGGACCGGCCAGAATCCAACGGTGTTAATATGTAACTCTGATCAATCTTGGCGGAACCTCAAAAATTTTTGTTCAATATGTATTACGCTTATAAAATGTTACATTAGTTACATTTTCTTTGCTCTTTGGATTTTCTAACTTAACATAAATGTGTTTAACTCAATCTCCACCGAATCCTCTTCATTAATACCAGTCGTATACTCATTAGGAAATAGCTTCATGATGTATTTCATGAAGTTCTAGTGAGAACTGGGGACCAATTGGAGTTTAATTCATGTCGAATAGAAGACAGTTATCCACTGGAAGCAATAGATGAAGGTTAAGCAACATCATGTATTGATTGGAGTTAGATATTAACACCGTGGGATGTTAGTCTATCATAGGTTAATTGCTATCGTGCGAAACCGAAAGTCCTTGGTTTTAATTCCCGTATATAGGGATCGTGGGTGTGTACTGCCACTGATGAATCAATCCCATACTAGAACGGGACGGCTATCCAGTACTTCCAGGTTTCTGATTGCAGTCTTGCTAAGATTAGTTTGTGATTTTAACATTCAATGAAACAGAAAATAGAATGTAGAAATGTTCATCGGCGTTCAATAATAGTCTTATGCATGAATACGAAATATACAGTGACTTAAATCTTGTATAAACAAGCCATGTTAATTCATATGAATACACTAATAGATAGTGTTAAACATGTAAGCTCTAACCACGAAACTTGAAAGTTTTAAATTCGATATCTGTTATCATCTTAACGTATGCTCAATACTGAAGTCTCTCATACTAAAATGAAACAACTTTCCAGTACTTTCTGTAGAAAATCTGAAGCGAGGGAGAGCAGCAGGGCCTGACAGGCTGACCCCTGAGATTTCTAAGGATGATGGTCCATTTTCAGCAGTTAGATTGACTGAGATCTTAGGTAGAATCTGGGAACTGGTCATAATCCTATCTGACTCGTCTCAATCCCTGATTGTCCCAATTTATAAGAAAGGACAAAAGTCTTCTTGTGACAATCACAGGGGGAATAAGTCTAACTAATATAGTGTCGGAAATATTGGCCTCAATAATATTCGATCACCTAACTAGAGCTCGTGAAGAGCAGACTACAGAAAACCAGGCTGGTTTCATACTTGGACGTGGCTGTATAAACCGGAAATTCACACTACGTCAGGTCCTAAAACAAAGACACGTTCAGACGCTCCACATTAGTAGTATTTGTCGACCTTTAAGCGGTGTTCGACTCTGTTTATTGTGAGGAACTGTGGTAGTGTTTGTCATTAAAAGGTGTACCAAAAGAAGTGCATTAACCTTATACAAGCCCTCTACTCGAACACTACAGGGTGAGTTAGAGCTTATGGCGAGCTGTCGTCGGAATTCTTCTCTTCAAGTGGTGTTCGTCAGGCCTGTGCACTCTCTCCATTCTTCCTTAACTTTATCATAGACATACTGTTGGAGTTAACATTATCCTCGTCAGACTGTTCAAGGGTGGACCTTCTACCAGGAGGTTCGCCTATTGACCCAGAATATGCCGATGACATAGTGCCGTTTGGTGAAGACGCTGACAAAATGCAGTGTCTTGTGATTACGCTAAGCAACAATGCAAGCATATTTAGGATGCGATTCTCCCCATCGAAATACAAAATGTTGTTTCAGGATAGCTTTGTATCGACACCTGAACTAGTGTGTCTAAATTATTAGCTTCCATAATAATTCAACACCTAACTAGAGCTCGTGAAGAATAGACTCGTCAGACCTGGACGACGTGGTTGAATAGACCACATATTCACACTACGCCAGGTCCTAGAACATAGTCCGTCAGTCAATTAGATGCAACGTAGAACTTCGTACGTAAGTACATCAGTTCATGTTGCCATACCACATCAGCACAGAGATATAATTGTCAATTCAAATCCAATAGTAGAAGGTATTTGAAGTAATCAGAGGGGTTAGGATGAGAAGATATTATTCAAGAAGTATGATTCGGTGAGAAAAGTTTAGAAATTCAAAACTAGAGGGTTTGAAGAATCCAGAAGATTAGGATTTGAGAGAACACAAATAATAAATGCACCGGCGCCATTGCAAACGGTTTTGAGCCATGTCATTCAGTGTATCTAACCATCGATTATTATCATCTCGCGTACCCGAACCAGGTAGTCGACAACTACCGATATGACTCAGTCCACTAGTCAGTGACTTCATGGATTTCTGCCATGTTTTGGTCTGGCCGCTCCTAGCTTTCATCCAACCTATTCCTACACCACAAAACAAAGCTCGTCGAGGCAGTCGGTGGTTAGGCATACGCAGCACATGTCCCAACCACCTCAACTGATGAAGTTTCACCACTTCATCTATTGATCTGCCATCCTTGCCTATTACTCGTTTCCTAACGACAGCATTACTTACTCGGTTGTCCCACGGTATACGAGCAATACTTCGAAGACACCTATGATCGAAAACCAATAACCGACGAATATCTTCTACTCTCACTGGCCATGTTTCACAGCCATAAAGTAAGATGGAGCGAACTACTGCACAGTTTACTAGTCCTTTAGTCAGCAAATGGAAATCTGGCCTACGTCATAAGTGACGCAGGTTGGCAAAAGCCAATCGAGCCTTCTGTATCCGCGCTGAGATTTCGTTAGTCACCAGGTCATCAGCACTGATGAGACTCCCGAGATAAGTAATGCGGTCTACACGCTCGACTACTTCACTCCCTATCATTAGTTCAGATGCCGATGCAACCCAATCTTGAAGCAACATTTTGCATTTCGATAGGGAAAACCTAGAACATATACTAAACATGTAAATGTACATTTGACAAATAAACTGTATCATTTTTTTTATTCAATAAAAAAAAACACCCAACGTACTCTTTTTTTCGTTTCTGCAAAAAAATTTCAGGTCCAGGTATTTATTTTGGTTATATTCGTACAGAACAGTTAAGTATGCCACCGTTTACAAAACTTTCCACGAATTATGATCATCAACAATCAATCGATATGAAATCATTTTCAAATGACATAACTTCCATCAGCACACCAACTAGTATGCCTGATAATCATCATACAAATCGACATTATACAAATCAACCAAAAGATATCTTTTCTGGTCGTGGTGTTAATTTAACACGTCATACAAAATTAATTCCATATCCAATTATTCAAATACTTGAACGACCTGGTATGCCATTGAGTATTTGTTTAACAGAATTTCACTTGATCATAATTTATGTGGATCGTATTAAAGCTGTGAATGTTTTAGATGGACGTGTAGTTTATTCTATGCCGTTGAACAATATCATTGGTTATGAACGTGCTTTGGGCATGTCACGTGATCCATTGTCCAATCAGATTTGGATATTTAGTAATAATCATTTGGCACAATTAAATATGAGCAATGAATTATGTAGAATATGGCAAATTTATATGGATCGTTTACAATTTAATGAAGCACGTCAATTTTGTCAGGTATGTATGTGTACTTAACGCGATATATCTATTAACATAAGCTATATTGTTTGTGATACAGGGATGAAGGTTTCCTATGAGAGACTAGAGGTTCGTTGTAATGAACATTGTGGATGGCTTGGTATTGCTTTCGGACAAGTATTGCTAACAGTCCATATACAAATTTGGTTAGCAGGAGGACCGATGTCGTTGATACAAGTGATGGCTGTTTTGTAACATTCCTGGAGGGCCATAGTCATTGGGGTGCTGTATTGGTGCATATCACCATAGCTAATAATAATGAGTTTGACAGTCATGTGTAAGCGGGATGGGTGGAAACAGCCTGTTCATGTGGTGTATATTGATTGACGAAGGGATTAACTTTGTCACACTGAATTATACCTCTTGAATAATATCTTCGAACCCTAGTCTTCTTCATCATCATTAATACCTTTACTATCTTTATCACTGTGGGATTTGATTTGACATTTGCGTCTGTGTGCTAATGTGGTATGGCAACATGAACTTAATGTACATACGTGCGAAGTTCTACGTTGCAACTGACTGACCGACTGACTGAAACGACTCTGGCCAGTGACGAGTAGCAGTATGTTCATCATGAAGGTGATTTTATACCGGTATTTCAGGAAAACTGAACTTCAACAAGTTCTTTATACTGAATGAAAGAGAGCTATTTGACTGTTTAATACCTTTAAATTATAAATATCTTACTGTTCAACATCCATTTATATTCTGTCTGACCAGTGAATGGCTAAGTTTTTAAAGTGTTCAACCTTTAAACAATTAGTCTCAATTGTGAACTCTGCTCGACTTTTTTCTGTTTGACCATCTGAGTGGCATCACTAGCTCTTCTACTGAAAATGTGTTTCTGATATAATGAACCAATCAGAAATGGTCATATGAGAAGATCATTTGATGGTCACCAGAAGTGTCCTAAAGGATGAATTGATATCATTGGTCAAGAAATAGATTCATTTTTTATATTATTCGGTAGACAAATACACTGTCTTTTATACTCTTTCCTTCTCAATGAAGTCGTCACTTTGGAAGGTTAGGATGTATCACGTTCAAATTCTTGCTCACCATGCATTATGACAATTTCAAAGCCAAATACATAAATCTCCAACTGTTTAATGAGTTGAGTTTTATGTTAAGTAGAACTAAGCAAAATCTTGATATTTTTGATCAGTTTAAATCCCTGGTAATAGTTAGAACTAGGAATATAGACATTATCAACGCACAAGTTGTCAAATTTCTAATGTATCGACTATATGGGGATATTTTTCATTTCATTCTGGTATTATCATATCGAATAACTATTTATTCTTAACTGGTAAGTTACTAGATAAAATCCGATCAGTTCTATTAAAATGGACATGACGTTAATTACTACTGAATTTTAAAGATTCCCATTGTGAAAATTAGAACAACACACATAAGCGAACAATATTGTTTTCGATTAGATCGTCATCAGGCTTTACTCTAATATACATGAATATTTATATGAAAATGTTAAACCAATCAAGGCAATTTGAGTGATAATCACAATGAAATGAAAAAGATTACGTAACTACATCTAATAGGCAAAAGTTCAAGTGGATAATAGGAAAACAGGTGTACTGATAGTAGTAAGAAAATTTATAAAATATGATAACTAAAGTAGGTCAAGGGTGGATGAATAGAATTCAAATAATCATCAAAAACATCAAAAACATTACGTAATAAGCAAACGTGTAAAAATAAATTAAAAAATAAAAAATATAATCTCCATCGTTAGTTACGTCATATCCGGCCACGGAAGAGATATGGGTGTCACGAATTTCTTCTGAACACATAAATTAGGGTTGAATGTACGTATTCCTATGGCTTCTGCAATGTGTAGGAGACGGGATCGAACTCCGTTGGGAAATGATGGAGGTATACGATAGATCACCCGAAAAGATCTAGATTTATCTACAATGTGACCACTATCTACCACGTGTGCTAAGATAGAACTGCGTATTGTTTTTGACTGACCCTTCGCAGTTCTATCTTAGCACACCTGGTAGATTGTGGTCACATTGTAGATAAATCTAGATCTTTTCGGGTGATCTATCGTATACCTCCATCATTTCCCAACGGAGTTCGATCCCGTCTCCTACACATTGCAGAAGCCATAGGAATACGTACATTCAACCCTAATTTATGTTTTTACACATTTGAAATCATTAATCAATCATCATTGTTAGACCACCATTAGAAACCTGGAAGCACTGGACGGCCGTTTCGTCCTAGTATGGGACTCCTCAGCAGTGCGCATCCACGACTCCTGCTCCTCGCAGGATTCGAACCCGGGACCTTTGGCATTGTAGGCGAACGCCTTACCATCGGACCACTGGGCCGGCATCCAACGGTGTTAATGTCTAACTCTGATTGGATGCCGGCCCAGTGGTCCGATGGTAAGGCGTTCGCCTACAATGCCAAAGGTCCCGGGTTCGAATCCTGCGAGGAGCAGGAGTCGTGGATGCGCACTGCTGAGGAGTCCCATACTAGGACGAAACGGCCGTCCAGTGCTTCCAGGTTTCTAATGGTGGTCTAACAATGATGATTGATTAATGATTTCAAATGTGTAAAAACGCAAACCTCCAAAACTCTGCCCCAACCTAATTTATGTGTTCAGAAGAAATTCGTGACACCCATATCTCTTCCGTGGCCGGATATGACGTAACTAACGATTGACATATTTTTATTATTTTTTTATTTTTTAATTTATTTTTACACATTTGCTTATTACGTAATGTTTTTGATGTTTTTGATGATTATTTGAATTCTATTCATCCACCCTTGACCTACTTTAGTTATCATATTTTATAAATTTTCTTACTACTATCAGTACACCTGTTTTCCTATTATCCACTTGAACTTTTGCCTATTAGATGTAGTTACGTAATCTTTTTCATTTCATTGTGATTATCACTCAAATTGCCTTGATTGGTTTAACATTTTCATATAAATATTCATGTATATTAGAGTAAAGCCTGATGACGATCTAATCGAAAACAATATTGTTCGCTTATATGTGTTGTTCTAATTACTACTGAGTAATCAATCAATTTTTTGTATACAGCGGCTGGTTAGTTCAGTTAGTTACGCATCTAACTGTAAAACTGACTGACCTGTGGTGCGCGCTACTTATAAGTAGTATATGACGCGAGTGAAAACGTAATGTCTGGCAGTAGAAGATGGGGGAAGATCAAGAAAGGAAGTGCGGGAACACAATGGGATTTGTATGAAACGCATGAACAGTAAAAGGTCAGACAATGGATTGATGTATTGCAACAGGAACAGTCCAGTTCGATATGATGGATTGATATTTTGCAAATTAACGATTTACGATATGGTTTTCCGATTTTACCAATTAACTCTGTAGTTTGAAATAAATACAATTTGGTTACCCTCACCTGTGTTCTCCTTCACTACAGACCGAGTATGGCAGATAGCATCGATTTCTTCAAAATATCACAAGTACACTTTATTGATGAATGCTACATAACATGACATTTAGTTCTGAAATTTACTGTCGACTACCTTCGGCTGCTAGTTTACTCCTCAAAACCTATAGTTTTTTTTTCTTGTTGACCTCATTGTTGTTCTCTTTGAATCATGATGTTTGTATATTGATTGATCAACTGGTTATTTTTTCTTCTCTTGAAAAAAAGGATCCCAGTCAATTGGATACAATTAGTATACGTGAAGCAGAATATAATTTTGATAATGGAAAGTAAGTAAAAAAATGATTCTGTAAAATTATTATTTGTTAAACCGTCAAGTCCGCTTACTGTGTTACGCCTGCACGTAAACACGTCAACTTGATATACTTGAACTATTTATTACGAGTTGTTTACCTTAGTCGGAAAACACGAGAGCGAGGATCGAGGATCCGGTGACACGACGTGCTACTCATCAAATCCGATTATCCCAACCCCCAATATTGAGTAAAAAAATAAGAAGACTTGATATGAAGTAGAATGTGTATTCTACAAGCATCCAGAAAGTACGAGGTCCGAATCCAGAAGAGAAACAGGATACCTTTCCTGGTCGTGGTCATAAAATGTTACAGATAATGCGTATTTATACATTTTGGTCGAATAGGAAACAGCATCGAAGTCTGTGACATTGACAGTTTAGGACGACCAATAGAAAGAAACATTTGAAATGACATTGACAGTCTGGATGACCAATAAGAGACAACATTGAAGTATTTGACTTTGACAGTTAAACGACCATAATTTTGACCAGTAGGAATTAACCAACTAATTTACTTGCGCCTATTACTCCTAATAGAGCTTACGCCTCCGACTAGTGGATTATTTTTTCTGGTTAACGTATATTTTTTAACGATTTGAATTTCAACCGGATTGGGCTTTGCTAACGCCTCATGCTCAACCATCTTCTGCTTTATCCGGGCTTGGAACAACCGGTAGTAAAACCCTAGAATGTCTCCAGGTGGAATTAGGTTGTGGTTAGGCATACACAGTACATGTCTCTAACATCAAATTAAATGATGATTTATAACTTCAGCAACAAATTTTTCATTTTCTTACCTCATATTTAACGTTTAACCCCATCAGTGTTCACCTTACTGTACCATGATTTACATGACTTGTGCTTTTCATAAACACGTACAATCTATACTGATACTACTGTGGTGCGAGCTACTTATAAGTAGTATATGACGTGAGTGTCAACGTAATGTCTGGCAGCAGAAGATTGGGGAAGATCAAGAAAGGAAGAGTTAGAACACAATGGAATTTGTATGAAACGCATGATTAGTGACAATGGATTGTGATGTTTTGCAACAGGAACAGTCCAGTTCGATATGATGGATTGATATTTTGCAAATTAACAATCTACGATATGGTTTTCCGATTTTACTGAGTAACTATAATTTTCGGTTGTCCCACCTGTGTTCTCGTTCACTACACTACTATTTCTATACCCTACATATGTCTACTGCTTCTTTTACAAATCATTGTTTATACCCATAGAATAAAAGTTACAATCCGATGAAAAAATTCAAAGATTGAAATTATCTAAAACCTAGAAAAGAATAATGCACACACACATATTTTACTAATCTTATAGACTCGCTAATCTATATTTTTCATCATAGAGTTATGAGACCTTGAACGAAATGGCTCAGAATCGTTTGCAATGGCGCAGGTGCATCCACTCTTTGTGTTCTATGAAATTCTAACCTTCTGCATTCCTCATAATCTCTACCGTTCTCCTTCTAAATTTATCTTACTGAATTATACTTCTCGAATCATATCTTCGCTCCCTAATCTTTTCCATTACTGCTAATAGTTCTATTATTGCTATCACTCCTGGATTTGGACTGGCAGTTGCGTCTCTCTGCTGATGGGGCATGGCAACCTGAACTGACGTACTTACGTACGAAGTTCTGTGTTGTATCTGTCTGTCTGTCATAGAGTTACGGTGAATGTTTTTGATTACCGAACTCATGAATCACAACCATTGTTAGACCAGCATTATAAACCTTGAATCACTGGATGGCCATTTCGTCTTGGTATGAGACTTATCAACAGTGCGTATCCACGACTCCTTCTAACAATGATAGATTCATGATTTCAGTAATAAATAACATTCTCCATAATGAAAAATTGTACAATTCATTCACTATTGACTAGCTTCATGAGGAAATTCTCTGAGTTCTAGTAAGAAGACGTAACTAGCGGAGTTGAACCCTGTCGAGTGTAGGTAAGTAGTAACCAGCGAAGACAATTAGGTGGGGTTACGTGAAGTCCCTAGAATGATCAAAGTTGGGTGCTACGGTATCAGTGGTCCAGAGGTTAAGCATTCACGCACAAGACTGAAGGTCATGAATTCGATTCCTGCAAGTCGTAGGAGTCCTAGATGCTCACTGTTTGCTGATGAGTCCCATACACAATTTTTATTAATTTAATAATTTCAGTCAGAAGTTTATTATTTATTTATCTGTTTTATTGTTATTGTTTGTGTTGTAACGCTTGCTTGGATATTTTCTGGCTAATACCTATCGCTTAGTATTCTCTGACCACACAAAATCACTGACAAATTCCCAAGAATCAAAACAGGGTTGAACAGGAAAAGATTATATTCCAAATAGAAAAGGTTAAATGGAATAAGAAGCCAAAGGTGATGGCGAATGTAAAGAAGGCAAAAATAGATACAACGTTAGTCTATTTATAGCATTTACATGAGAAGCTTCTGGATAGTAAGTAATTCACGTGATCGACTGGATTAAATTAAACCAATCAGCACGCAGCTAACAGTACGAGAATCTTCTACCCTGTTCTCCAAGAAATCGATCAGGCTCTGATTGGATAGGAAATTAGCCAATCAGCGCGCAGTTGACGTAGTCATGCTTTCATTCCATCCATGTCCCACTAACCAAGGGTGAGAACTACAGAGGCATCACTCTTCTTTCAATACCAGGCAAAGTCTTCAACAGGGTATTGTTAAACAGAATGAGGGACTTCGTAGACGCCCAACTTCGAGATCAACAGGCCGGATTTCGTAAGGATCGATCGTGTACTGACCAAATTGCTACATTACGGATCATTGTGGAACGATCAATTGAATGGAACTCACCACTCCTCATCAACTTCATCGACTAAGAGAAAGCATTTGATAGCGTGGATAGGAAAACACTGTGGAGGCTTCTTCGACACTACGGGGTGCCTGAGAAAATAGTTAACATCATACTCAATTCTTATGATGGATTCAACTGCAAAATCGTACACGAAGGACAGCTAACAGACTCTTTCGAAGTGAAGACCGGTGTCAGGCAAGGTTGCTTACTCTCACCCTTTCTCTTTCTCCTGGTGATCGACTGGATTATGAAAACGTCAACATCTGGAGGGAAGCACGGTATCAACTGAACAGTTAGGACACAGCTGGACGATCTGGACTTCGCAGATGACCTGGCTCTTCTATCGCACACTCAACAACAAATGCAAGAGAAGACGACCACTGTAGCAGCAGCCTCTGCAGCAGTAGGTCTCAACATACATAAAAGAAAAAGTAAGATTCTACGATACAATTCAACATGCGTCAGCCAAATCACTCCTGATGGAGATGCCTTTGAGGACGTTACCACCTTTACATATCTTGGCAGCATCATCAACGAGAAAGTTGGATCGGATGCAGATGTGAGGGCACGGATTGGCAAAGTAAGAGCTGCATTTCTACAGTTGAAAAATATCTGGAACTCCAAACAACTTCCAACCAAAACCAAAATCAGGATTTTCAATACAAATGTCAAGACAGTTCTACTGTATGGAGCGGAAACATGGCGAACTACCAAAGTCATCATCCAGAAAATACAAGTGTTTATTAACAGTTGTCTACGCAAAATACTTCGGATTCGTTGGCCAGATAACATCAGCAACAACGAACTGTGGGGGAGAACAAGTCAGATTCCAGTGGAGGAGGAAATCAGGAAGAAGCGGTGAAAGTGGATAGGACACACATTGCGAAAAGCACCTAACTGCGTCACGAGACAAGCCCTCACATGGAACCCTCAAGGCAAAAGGAAAAGAGGAAGGCCAAAGAATACATTACGCCGAGAAATAGAGAAAGATATGAGAGTAATGAACAAACATTGGACAGAACTGGAGAGGGAAGCCCAGGACAGAGTTGTTTGGAGAAAACTGGTGTGCGGCCTATGCTCCATTGGGAGTAACAGGCGTAAGTAAGTAAGTAAGTAAGTATGTCCCACTAACAGTTTGTTTGTCTACACTTCGTTGAGTGATTTTTATACATTTCTGGTTTTTTTTTCTTCTGTAATTCATAGTTATATCAATGCAGCTAAATTATTCGCTCGTAGTTCTTTACCATTTGAACAAATCGCTTTACGATTCTGTCGTCTATCGTCTCTGTCCTCATCATCGACAACCACAACAGGGCCAACAATCGATTTCGCATCGAATTTCATTCAACAAGGTTATGAAATCAATGATGATTATGATATTATGGAAGCATTAATTAATCAATCAAAACAATCAAGTCATATGAAGCCACAACAACACAATTTATCATCATTCCTGTCAACAACAAAAACTAAAACAAATCTAACAGAATCATCATTTTACAATGATATAACAACATCCATTACACCATTGAAAATATTTCTCACATATAAATTGAATTATTTGCTAGAACAGAAAAAAACCACCGCATCATTGAACACGAATGAACATCAAAAACCATTTGCTGGTCATATTATTCTATTAGCAATTTGGTTAATTGAATTATTATTGACAGAATTAGGTGGGATACGTGATCGTCTTATAATGAAGACAAGAAAACAAGTCAGTGGTCGTGATGATGGTGATGCGGATGATAATGTTGATGATGATGGCGGCAGTATGGTTGGTGAATTTGTGATGGTCGCTGATTGTGATAATGCTACTTCTACTGCTGCCGCTGCGGCGGCGGCGGCTGCTGATAGCGATGATGATGTTAAGAAAACATTGAAAAATCGTTTAGCTGTTGTACGACGTGAATTTCGAGCAATTATAACATTACCTGAAGTATTGGTGAGTAGAAATTGTGGTAGTAGTAGTAGTAGTAGTTTTCCTTCAATATTTTCAATAGGAAATGACTACTAGAGGTAAGGATGGCAAATCAATAGATGAAGTAGTGAAACTTCATCAGTTGAGGTGGTTGGGACATGTGTTACGTATGGTTAACTACCGACTGCCTCGACGAGCTATGCTTTGTGGTGTAGGAGTAGGTTGGAGGAAAGCTAGGGACGGCCAAACCAAAACATGGCAGAAATCCATGAAGTCACTGACAAGTGGACTGAGTCATGTCGGTAGTTGTCGACTACCTGGTTGAGGTCCGCGAGACGTAAGTCACCAATGGTTAGAGACCTTGAACGACATGGCTCAAAATCATTTGCAATGGCGCCGGTGCATCCATTCTTTGAGCTCTCTCAAATCCTAATTTTCTGGAATCGTCAGCATCTCTACCTTTGTCTTTCTAAACTTATCCCGCTAAATTCTACTTCTTGAATACTATCTTCGAACCCTAGTCTTCTTCATTACCATTCATACCTCCTCTACTATCTTTATCACTATGGGATTTGATTTGACATTTGCGTCTCTGTGCTAATGTGGTATGGCAATCTGAACTTATGTACATACGTTTGAAGTTCTACGTTGCAACTGACTGATAGGATGAGATCGTTTACGTTTTCTGCTGACTTTTTTTAATTGGATATTGAAAATTAGGTAGGATTCGACAACTGTCGTGTGTGTGTGTGTATGTGATAAACTGCTTGGAATATTCAGTTAGTAGTGTGGTGTGTGCTACTTATACAAACGATATAAGTAGTATAAGAAGGGACGTGAAAGAAGAAGTCGCACGGTCAGAAGTGGAAAACGGAAAACAAATGGAGCAAAAGCAAGAAGTGAATGGAGTAGTACCAACAGGAAGGAAAGGAAGCAACAACAGGAATGGAAGAAGTAGGATGGAGTGTTGGAAGTCACGACTCAAAGATGGTGTGCAGATAGAGTGTATTCAATGTAATGTTTTCGTTTTTAACTGACTCAGAGTGTAAATTTGCATAGTACAATCTTCCTCGCCTGCCTCAGTCTTCTCAGTAGTACATTGTTACTTATCGAATAAGAAGTTATCATTTATCGGTTGTAATTTAAATGAAACTTGTCAATAGTTCATGCTTATATCTTATTGTTCAAGTGTGAACATAAATATGGCTTTTGCTAACTTGCGTCATTTACGGCTTAGTCGAAATATCCATCTACGCAGCTGTTCGCTCCATTCTACTTTGTCATTATGAAACATGGTCAGTACGAGTGGAAGGTATTCGTTAGCTGGTTGGGGTCCGCGAGACGATAGTCACCGATGGTTAGAGACCTTGAATGACATAGCTCAAAATCGTTTGCAGTGGCGCAGGTGCATCCACTCTTTGTGTTCTATGAAATTCTAACCTTCTGCATTCCTCATAATCTCTACCTTTTTCCTTCTAAATTTATCTTACTGAGTTATACTTCTCAAATCATATCATATCTTCGCTCCCTAATCTTCTCGATGGATGCTAATACTTCTATTATCGCTATCACTGTTGGATTTGAACTGACAGTTGCGTCTCTGTGCTGATGGGGCATGGCAACCTGAACTGATGTAATTATGTACGAAGTTCTGCATTGTATCTGTCTGTCTGTCTGTCTGTATTCTTTGGCTACTACTGTTCGATCATCAGTGTCTTCGATGCACTACTCGTATATTCTTGGGACACTTGAGTAAGCAATGCAGTTGTTAGGAAATGAGTACACTCGGTGAGGATGGCAAATTAACTGAAGTACTGCATCTTCTGCAGTTAAGATGGTCGCAAAATGTGTTATGTTTGCTCAACCATCGAATGCCCCCCCCCGACAAGTGATAATGCATGGTGTAAGGGTAGGCTGACAAACTAAAACATGGCACAATTCTATGAAGTCACTGACAAGTGGACAGAGCCATGTTGGCAGCTGTAGACTGTCTGGCTTCGGTGGCGAGATAATAGTAACTGATGGTTAGAGACTTTGAATGACATGGTTCAAAATTGTTTGCGATGGTGCATGTGCATCCATTCTTTGTGTTCTCTCGAATTCCAGTCTTTTGAATTCTTCATGACCCTCATCTCTCTTTTCTCAAGTTTATTTCTACGAATATATTTCAGGAGCAACTAGAAAACAATTAGGCAGCCATGTAGTAAGTGATTCCCACCCTGAGACAGCTTGGAATGATTTCAAAAAATCTGTGGAAACATCAGTGATATCTGCTAGCAATGTAAACCACAAGGTTCGAAGAAGCGGCGGGTTTCAGTAGCATCTACCCAACTGATGGATCCTCGGAAACTTATCCGGTCAGGCTCTAAGTACGATAAGGAGTGGAGTCAGCTTAGGCGCAGATTGATAAAAGGCGGCAGCAATAGGCAGCAGTAAACAATTGTTCAGACTTACCAAGGAAACCGGTATTAGGAATCCGATTCTAAGTGCGGCTATTTCTTAAAAGGATGGTCTTATTATTCATTCTCCATCTAGGAGATAGGACCCATGGGCAGAGCACTTAAGGGACCAGTTCAACTGGCCTCCAGTCAAACTCCAGTTGCTCACGATCTCCAGTAAACCTGAATGGCAAATCGATGTAAGTCCTCTTACTCTTTATGAAGTTGATAAAGCGATAGGAAATCTGAAGCGAGGGAGAGCAACAGGTCCTGATAGATTGACCCCTGAGATATTTAAGGATGGTGCTTAGCTTTTCGCAGTTAGATTGACTGAGATTTAGGTGAAATATGGAAACTGGACGTAATCACGTCCACGTTAAAGTTACAACCATTCGCATAATAAATCAATCATTTATAATTAGCTTCATTCCTACAAATGGTCTCTGGCACCCCAGATAGGTCATTAATCACATCTCAAACTGCGAAAACCTCATATCTTTGATTTGAGCTCCGCATAGGGTATTAATTTCTCTAAAAATTGCTGTTACGTTTTGCTGCTAACAAGTACTTGCCAGCATGACATTTTAGTTTAACAGAATTTCCATTCGGCTACATCCAATTATCTATTTAAAACCATGAGTTCCACAAAACATAGCTTGTTGCGGCAGTCGGTGGTTAGGCATACGTAACACATGTCTCAACCACCTCAACTGATGAAGTTTCAATGCTTCATCTATTGATTTGCCATCCCAACCTAGAACTCGTTTCCTAACGATGACATTGCTCACTCGGTTGTCCCAGGATACACTGTGGTGCTGTGGTGCGAACTACTTATAAGTAGTATATAGCGTGAGTGTCAACGTAAAGTCTGGTAGCATAATATGGGGGGAAGATCAAGAAAGGAAGAGTCAGAAAACAATGGAATTGGTATGAAACGCATGAAGAGTGACAATGGATTGATGTTTGGCAACGGAACAGTCCAGTTCCATAGGATGAACTGATCTTTTGCAAATGAACGATTTACGATATGGTTTTCCGATTTTACTGAGTAACTCTGTAATTTTCGTTAAATACAATGCGGTTGCCTCCACCTGTGTTCTCATTCACTACATTTGGTGTCGCTGCCTGCTCGAAGGAAGGGGCTCCCGTGGCCGAAGGAGTTGCAGGACGGAGATTGACGGAGCTTCCTGGAGGAGTTTGGGGCCACGGTGGAGCTGGTGGGGGCCTGGGGCGGAGTTGACGGTGCTGGGGACGCTGCGGGGAGGTGAGGCAAAGGCGGTACACGACAGCCTGGACGGTGCCACCGAGGATACGGCGTGGGAGACGGTCACCGGGCAGCTGATAATGGAGTTCGACAGCCCAGCGGACAGGGAGGAGGCGCCGCAGAGGTTCCGGTTGGCGCGGCTGTCGGCCGATGGTGACCTGTTGGTGCTTGCTGTGGAGCTCACCGGATTGCGCCGTGAGGAGTGGGCGGGGCACAGTCTTTGGCGTCGCAATTTATCGAGTGTGTGCCTGCCGCCGTGTTCCAGCATCGGGAACTTGTAAACGCTACACGTGGGATAGATGCCGTATCCATTCCAGACCAGTGATCAAGAACGATGACCGAAGTGGTAATCCGGCATATTGTAGCGTGTCACGGAATACGGAAGGTGATATTAACTGACCAGGGGCTCTGTTTTGAAGGACTACGACGACAGCTGATTAAAAGGGGGGACGAGTGTGGTGCTGAGGTGCGAACTACTTATAAGTAGTATATAGCGTGAGTGTCAACGTAAAGTCTGGTAGCATAATATGGGGGGAAGATCAAGAAAGGAAGAGTCAGAAAACAATGGAATTGGTATGAAACGCATGAATAGTGACAATGGATTGATGTTTGGCAACAGGAACAGTCCAGTTCGGTAGGATGAACTGATCTTTTGCAAATGAACGATTTACGATATGGTTTTCCGATTTTACTGAGTAACTCTGTAATTTTCGTTAAATACAATTCGGTTGCCTCCACCTGTGTTCTGATTCACTACAACACGAGCAATACTTCGGAGACACGTATGATCGAAGACTAGTAACCTACGAATGTCCTCTACTCCTGAGGGCTATGTTTCGCATCCATTTAGTAGGACGGAGCGAACTGCTGCGCAGTAGTACACTCGTCCTTTGGTTAACAAGCGGATATCTTGCCTGCGCCATAAGTGACGCAAGTTGGCAAAAGCCAATCGAGCCTTCTGAAATCCGAGCTTAGATTTCGTCAGTCACCAGGCCATCAGCACTGATGAGACTCCCCAGATTTGTGAAGCGGTCTACACGCTGGACTACTTCACCGTGAGTTTTTCGCAATGTTTTTATTTTTTCTCCATAAACTAAAAAAACCTTGAGAAATATATTTACGTGTTTTCTATCATGATTTTTTGTTTTTTCTGTGGTTTAGAATTTTCTACCTGAATCAAAATCTTTAATCTATGATTTATTAGATAGTCATGGTGAAACAGATGAATTTATTTATTTTATGGAATTAATGCATGGTAAGTGTGTGTGTTTTTATTTTGTCCGATTCATTAATTATTATTGGCTTGATTTTAGCTTTTGCCAACCTGCATCACTTATGGCGTAGGTGAGATATCCGCTCGCCAACCAAAGGACGAGTTTACTACTGCGTAGCAGTTCGCTCTGTCCTACTATACGGATGCGAAACATGTCCGTTAAGAGTAGAGGACGTTCGTAGGTTACTAGTCTTCTACCATCGATGTCTCCTAAGCATTGCTCGTGTATCATGGGACAATGAAGTAAGCAATGCTCTCGTTAGGAAACGAGTTCTAGGTAAGAATAGCAGATCAGTAAATGAAGTAATGAAACTTCATCAGTTGAGGTGGTTGGGACATGTGTTACGTATGCCTAACCACCGACTGCCTCGACAAACTATGTTTTGTGGAACTCATGGTTTTAAATAGATAACTGGATGTAGCCGAATGGAAATTCTGTTTCACTAAAATGTCATGCTGCTAAGTACTTGTTAACAGCAAAAAGTAACAGCAATTTTTAGAGAAATTGATACCCTACGCGGAGCTCGAATCAAAGAAATGACGTTTTACGGTTTGAGATGCTATTACTTACCTATTTGAGGCGCCAAAGACCATTTGTAAGAATTAAACTAATTATAAATGATTGATTTATTATGCGAATGGTTTTAACGATACTAGGGTTAGGAAATGGGTACTGTGTAAGCATGGCAAGTCACAATTGGTAAAGTAGTGAATATTTATTAGTTCAGTTGATTGGTACATGTGTTACATTTAATACATTTAATTTTACAGTTATTGTTCGTATGAGCTTCAATACTCATTTTATACTTAAGTAATGCATTTTTGAAACCATGAATCGATCAATATTAGACCACTATTAGAAACCTGGAAGCACTGGACGGCTGTTTCGTCCTGGTATGGGACTTTTCAGCAGTGTGCATCCATGACTCATGCACCTCGCAGAATCCGAACCCAGGACCTGCGGTGTTGTGCGCGAACGCCTAACCACTGGACCACTAAGCCGGTATCTAACGGTATTACTGTCTAACTTGATCAGTTCACGGAGTTGCGCAACCTAAGTAATGCTCGTGAACAGCGAACCCTGGAAAATCAGGATGAAGTCAAATTTACCTGTTGATGTATTGATCATACATCTACTCTCTCTCTAGAATCCAGTTTATATTTACCAACTCAGCTCACATGGGCCATTAAAGTTGTAATGAGCTCTACTTCGAGTTTGTTGTGGACGTTAGATCCTCAGAATTCACTTGATATAAAGTTCCTAATTTTGGATTTTATGTTTCAGCGCATGGTTTGATCAGTTGACCTTGAGACTACATTTCCTACCTGGAAAATCTTTGACTGTTATTGGTCTGTGTATTATTTTAGTACGCTATTTTTATGGCCCTCCAAAGGACGTTTCTATAATGTATAAATAAACTCGATTTGTGTGCTTGTGAACCTCATATTTTCCTAGTGCTTGTAGAATACATTCTTCTACACCTTATCAAGACGTATTCATCTACTTAGTGGTGGTACATTGGGATGCTCGGATTATAGTAGCCTATCGTGTCACTGGATCATTTGTCTTCGTTCTCTAATTTACCGAGTAATATGAACTCGTAATAGTTTCAAACGGATCAATTGACTAGCATTACAGAGTTCAACGCAACCCACTAAAAGTGATGAGCTCAATCATGAAGTTAACCTAGCCTACAAAAGTATATACATTTATCTATCTGTTAGGATATTCATCCAATATTGTAAGAGAATTATTGGTCAATTCCTATTGGTTAATTTCTACTGGTCAATTTTACGGTCGTTCTATATATCAATGTCACGTGCTCCAATGTTGTTTCTTATTGGTTATCCTGACTATCAATGTCATTTCAAATATTGCTTCCTATTGGTCGTCTTCACTGTCAATGTCACAGACTTCGATACTGTTTCCTATTCGACCAAAATGTATAAATACGCATTACCTATAACGTTTCATGACCAGGACGATACAGGTTCTACTTCACATTCAAGTTTTCTTTTTTTCACTCAATATGGGGCTTGGGATAATCTGATTTGAGTAGCATGTGGTGTCGCTCTCGTTTTCCGACTAGGTAGACTCGTAATAATAGTTAAAGTATATCAAGTTGACGTGTTTATGTGCAGGGGTGAACACGATCATCTTGATTAAGGTTGATTAAGGTCATTTTTTAATCGTTATGCATATTTATCATTGTCATTGTATTTTTACAATGGAATGCACTCAATTCTTTCTTTGCCTTTTCGTTTATTAGATTATTCTCGTTTAATGTCTTATTATATACGTCAATCGATGTATAGTGATGCATTGAAAATTGTTGTAATGCATACGACACCGGATTGTTTACAACAATTTTATGCGAATGCATCATGTTTAGCTAGTCAATGTCCAGAAGAATTTCTTAATGTATGCCTTCGTTTAAACAATAAATTAGATAGTAATCGGTTAGTTTTTTAAAATTTTTTGAAATAAAATCATGATTTTTAATTTTTTGTTTTAATGTAAAGATTAACTGTTCAACTGTAAATATTTTTTCTTGAAATGATGAACATATAGAGTCAGTGAGTGAGTCAGTTAGTCAGTCGTTGTCGGTCAGCAGCTACACAACATAGAACTGTGTACGTCTATCTATGTGCATCAGTTGAAGTTGTAATACCAAAACAGTAGTACACATGGATGCAATTTTGAATTCAAATCCTATAGTCGTAGTAGAGTTGTATCATCAGTAGTGTAGCGGTAATCGAAAAGATTGGTGATCGGAAATGTGATTCGAGAAGTACAGTCTAGCGAAATAAATTTAAAAATAAGATGAAAAAGAGGCGTTGTCAGTCAGTCAGTTGCAACGTAGAACTTCGTACGTATGTACATAAGTTCATGTTGCCATACCACATTACCACACAAAGACGCAAATGTCAAATCAAATCCCTTAGTGATAAAGATAGTAGAGGTATTAATGATAATGAAGAAGACTAGAGTTCAAAGATATTATTCAAGAATAACAATTCAGTGAGATAAGGTTAGAAAGACAAAGATAGAGGTGCTGACGAATCCAGAAGATTAGGATTTGAGAGAGCACAACGAATGGATGCACTTGCGCCATTGAAAACGATTTTGAGCGATGCCGTTCAAGGTCTCTAACCACTGGTGAAAATCGTCTCGCGGACCCCATCCAGGTAGTCTACATCTACCAACATGACTCAGTCCACTAGTCAGTGACTTCATGGATTTCTGCCATGTTTTGGTTTGGCCGCCTCTAGCTTTCTTCCAAACTACTCCTACATTGCAAAACATATCTTGTCGATGCAGTCAGTGGTTAGGCATAAATAACACATATCCCAACCACCTCAACTGATGAAGTTTCACTACTTCATCTATTGATCTGCCATCGTTACCTAGTACCCGTTTCCTAACGACAGCATTGCTTACTCGGTTGTCCCACGATATACGAGCAATGCTTCTTAAACATCTATGATCGAATACTAGTAACCTACGGAAGTCCTCTACTCTTAACGGCCATGTTTCACAGACATATAGGAGAACGGAGCCAACTGCTGCGCAATACATCCGTCCTTTGTTTAGCGAACGGATATCACGCCTACGCCATAAGTGAGGCAGGTTGGCAAAAGCCAATCGAGCTTTCTTTTGCCGCGCTGAGATTTCGTCAGTCACCAGGCCATCAGCACTGATGAGACTCCCCAGATAAGTGAAGTGATCAACACGCTCGACTACTTCACTCCCTATCACTAGTTCAGTTGCCGATGCAACCCTATCTTGAAGCAACATTTTGCATTTGAAGGGGGAAAACCGCATCCCGAACATGCTCGCATCGTTGCTTAGGGTAGTCAGAAAACTCTGCATTTTGTCAGCGTCTTCACCGATTAGAACTGTGTCATCGGCATATTCTAGATCAGTAAGCGACTTTCCTGGTAGAAAGTCAACCCTTGAAAAGTCTGACGAGCTTAATGTTAACTCTTAGAGGATGTCTACGACAAAGTTAGACAAGAATGGAGAGAGTGGACAGTCCTGTGGGACACTACTTGATGTAGAGAATTCAGATGACAGTTCGCCATAAGCTTTCACTCGACCAGTGGTGTTCGAGTAGAGTGCTTGTATAAGGTTAATGTACTTCTTTGGTACACCTTTCATTGACAGACACTGCCACAGAACCTCTCGATCCACAGAGTCGAATGCCGCTTTGAGATCTAGGAACACGACTATAGTTGGTTATCTGAGCACAGTTACAACAGACGGTCGCCATATACAGTAGAACTATTTAGATGTGGGCTCCAAGCTGAGCTCCTATCAGTCAGTCAGAACGAGCGACAGTCTTCTATCGAACCCCTCCATCGGTGGCTGATGGCGATGTGTTCTAGTTGAGTCCAACGTTGAGACGACTTCGGGGGTCGCCAGGTCATTAAAAGCTCCAACATGTAGTCTAGAACGGGGTTTCAAGAGACCAGGAACGACGTTTCGTGATCTCGCTTCGTCTGCATTAGCGGTGCAGTGAGAAAACGGAGTGTGAGTAGAGTTAGTCGTAGAGATAAGAGAGACATTAGGGGGTGTAGGAAGGATTTGATTTTGACCAATTTGGTCTCGCATGCTGTTACGGGTACGAGGGCGGTTGTCACTTACCGGCTGCCCACACCGTGGAAGGTTGTTTGTTGAGGGACCTGAAAAGGAGGATAGATTTCTGTTGGTCTTAGAGACCTGGGAGCGTGACCGCAGAGTCCAAGGGACAACTGCTTGAAGCCGGTCACAAACGGCCTTTTTATGAAAGGTTTTTTGAGTATTAGCTTCGCTCTTAAAGGCCCTCAGTGTGCACCCTTACCGCCGGAGACGGAGGTAGGGTGAGGTGTGACATTTTTAAGGTCAACCTTTTCTAACGACTTCGCCCTTGTGTAGCTGCTTTTAGTCTCATCGTTCTCCAATCGACCTGCCTGGCATGGTAGGACCTGCAGGAACATATGTTCCAGCCAGTATAGCTCGGTTGGGTCATCACGATAGGCAAGCTCGACCACTACGTCAAGGTAGCAGCTACGGTCGGGGAGCTCCTATAAAACGTATTTTCGTCAGGAAAAGAAAAGCCAAAACACCCCACCATCTCTCACCTAAACAAACAAACTTTCTCTTTACATCACTTTTTGTTCTGACCGATTGATTTATAATTGAATCTTTTGGTTTTCTATTTATTAAAATAATAGACTTCTTCCTTCAATTATGTTATTATCACGTAAACAAGCAATACGTTATTTAGAAGATTCAATTGAAAAATCTATTCCTAATCCAGCTGAAAATTATTCACCTAATCAAATTGCTCTACATCATATGTTAATCTCATTATATGCACATGAATATCATTTAAATCCTAGTGATGAGAATGATCATCGTTTCATGAATTATTTAGATAAAGTTAGTTTACAAGCAATCAATATGAGACGATTTAAACATCAACAGAATTTTCAACACCGTCGACAACAAACAATTCATGATGATCTGATTGTTAACGAGGATGATGATGATGATGTTGGTGATCATTTTGCGCATGATTATCAAGCATTGAATATTGATTTATCGGAATTATCTTTGGTAAAAAGCAAGAATGATGATGATGATGTGAGTTCGACAAGAAATCTATTGAACACATCGAATAGTTTCAATGATCAATCTACAGAACAAAATATTCAGTTATGTAAGTGATACGTATATATATATCTATGTGCATAGTCAGTCAATCAGTCAGTCAGTTGCAACGTAGAACTTTGTACGTATTTACATAAGTTCAGGTTGCCATACCACATTAGCACAGAGACACAAATGTCAAATCAAATCCCATATTGATAAAGATAGTAGAGGTATTAATGGTAATGAAGAAGACTAGGGTTGGAAGATATTATTCATGAAGTATAATTCAGTGAGATAAGGTTAGAAAGACAAAGGTAGAGGTGCTGACGAATCCAGAAGATTAGGATTTGAGAGAGCTCAACGAATGGATGCACTTGCGCCATTGCAAAGGATTTTGAGTCATGTCGTTCAAGGTCTCTAACCATTCGTGACTTTCGTCTGGTGGACAACAACCATGTAGTCTACATCTACCAACATGACTCAGTCCACTTGTCAGTGACTTCATGGATTTCTGCCATGTTTTGGTCTGGCCGCCCCTAGCTTTCTTCCAACCTACTCCTACACCACAAAACATAGCTCGTCGAGGCAGTCGGTGGTTAGGCATACGTAACACATGTCCCAACCACCTCAACTGATGAAGTTTCACCACTTAATCGATTGATCTGCCATCCTTACCTAGTACCCGTTTCCTAACGACAGCATTGCTTACTCGGCCGTCCCACGGTATACGAGCAATGCTTCTTAAACATCTATGATCGAATACTAGTAACCTACGAACATCTTCTACTCTTAACGGCCATGTTTCACAGCCATATAAGAGAACGGAACGAACTGCTGCGCAGTACACCCGCCCTTTGGTTAGCGAACGGATATCACGCCTACGCCATAAGTGACGCAGGTTGGCAAAGGCCAATCGAGCTTTCTGTATCCGAGCTGAGATTTCGTCAGTCACCAGACCGTCAGCACTGATGAGACTCCCCAGATAAGTGAAGTGATCAACACGCTCGACTACTTCACTCCCTATCACTAGTTCAGGTGCCAATCCAACCCAGTCTTGAAGCAACATTTTGCATTTCGAGGGGGAAAACCGCATCCCGAACATGCTCGCATTGTTGCTTATGGTAGTCAGAAAACTCTGCATTTTGTCAGCGTCTTCACCGAATAGAACTATGTCATCGGCATATTCTAGATCAGTAAGCGACTTTCCTGGTAGAAGGTCAACCCCTGAAAAATCTGACGAGCCTAATGTTAACTCTAAGAGGATGTCTACGACAAAGTTGAACAAGAATGGAGAGAGTGGACATCCCTGACGGACACCACTTGTAGTAGAGAATTCAGATGACAGTTCGCCATATGCTCTCACCCGACCACTGGTGTTCGAGTAGAGTGCTTGTATAAGGTTAATGTACTTCTTTGGTACACCTTTCAATGACAGACACTGCCACAGAACCTCACGATCCACTGAGTCGAATGCCGCCTTAAGGTCCAGGAACACGACTATTGTCGGACGTCTAAATGTGTGTCTGTGTTCCAGGACCTGTCGTAGTGTGAAGATGTGGTCTATACAACCACGTCCAGGTCGAAAACCAGCCTGGTTTTCTCGAGTCTGCTCTTCGCGAGCTCTAGTTAGACGTCTAAGTATAATCGAGGCTAACAATTTAGAAACTATATTAGTTAAACTTATTCCCCTGTGATTGTCACAAGAGGACTTCTGTCCTTTCTTGTAGATTGGGACAATTAGTGACTGAGACCAGTCAGATGGGATTACGTCCATTTCCCAGATTCTACCTAAGATCTCGGTCAGTTTAACCGTTAAAACTGGACCACCATACTTAAACATCTCAGGGGTAAGCCTATCGGGACCTGCCGCTCTACCTCTCCTTAGATTTCCTATAGCTTTCTCAACTTCATGTAAACTGGGAGGACTTAAATCGATTTGCCATTCAGGATGACTGGAGATCGTGGGCAACCGAAGAGTGGCTGAAGGCCAGTTGAACTGATCCCTAAAGTGTTCTGCCCATCGGTCCAGCCTCCTAGATTGAGAATGGATAATAAGACCATCCTTTTCCGAGATAGTCTCACTTACATTCGGGTTCCTAATACCGGTTTCTTTGATAAGGCGGAAAAGTTGTCTGGTGTTGCCGATCGCCGCTGCCTTCTCCATCGCTTTTGCTTTCGCCACCCACCACTGTTCACGGTCGTTACGTAGGCTTTTTATAAGTCTGCGCCTAAGTTGAGTACGCTCTTCATCATGTTCAGAGCCAGGTGGGATGCGTTTTCGTGCATCCATCAGTTCGGTGGATGCGACTGAAATCCACGGCTTCATCCTACCCTTATGGTTTACCTTCCTAGCAGATATCACTGCTGTTTCCACAGCCTTCTTTATATCATTCCAACCTGACTCCGGATGGGAATCACTCGCATGATCGCCCAACTGTTTTTCCAGTTCCTCCTGAAATACTTTCTTAGCTTGATTATCATCAAGTAAAGCCCTAAGAGGCTTCCTTACGGTGTCTTTCCTACGTCCAGCAAGCCTCAAACAAATACGTGCTCGCACTAGGGCATGATCCGAATCTAAACATGTGCCCCAGAACGAGCGACAGTCCTCTATCGAACCCCTCCATCGGTGGCTGATGGCGATATGATCTAGTTGTGTCCAACGTTGAGACGACTTCGGGGGTCGCCAGGTCAAAAGGTGTTTTTCCTTATGCTTAAAATTAGTGTTTGCTAGAAATAGTTGGTTATCTGAGCACAGTTGCAACAGACGGTCGCCATTGTCTGTTCTTTGAGTCGCGAGACCGTAACATCCACCTAGGTGTCTTTCATTTTCACTTAGTCTACCTACTTGTGCATTGAAGTCACCAGCCATTATAACTATATCAGAGCGCTTAACTTTTTGGAGGAGGTCCGAAAGCTTTCTGTAAAACTTATCTTTTACATCATCTGGGCTGCAGTCAGTGGGGGCGTAGGCTGATATGACGAAGAGGCAACGGCGAGTGTCCCTATCTTTCCGAGTCCTTACTGTCCCGTTCAGTCGGACGGCGCACAAGCGACTATCTACAGGGATCCAGTCAAGGAGAGATTGTTCTGCCCTACGACTCAATGCTATACCTACACCGGCGAGGCCCCTAGAAGCAGCATCAGGGCTACCGGATACACGAAGGGTAAATCGAGCTGCTTCTTTATCTTGACATGGTGAGGTCAAATGAGTGATGCTACTCGGATCCTGTATGCGCGTTTCCGAGACGCAGCACACATCGATGGAACGAGATTCTAAAGTCCTAGCTAATGACGCCTGTTGCCCTATTTGACACAATGTCCGTACATTAAATGCTCCAACATGTAGTTTGGAACGGGGTTTAAGGAGACCAGGAACGACGTTTCGCAAACTCGCATCGTTTGCATTAGCTGTGCACTGTAATAAATGAATGTGAGAAGAGTTAGTTGTGGAGATAAGAGAGGTATTAGGGAATGTAGGAAGGATTTGATTTTGAACAATTTTGTCTCGTGTGCTGTTGCGGGTATGAGGGCGGTTATCACTTCCCGGCTGCCCACACCGTGGAAGGTTGTTTCTTGACGAACCTGAAAAGGAAGATGGATTAGTGTTGGTGCGTGACCGCAGAGCCCAAGGGACAACTGCTTCAGGCCGGTCACGCACGGCCTTTTTATGAGAGGTATTTAGAGGATTAGCTCCGTTCTTAAAGGCCCTTAGTGGGCACCCTTACCCAAGGAGACGGAAATCCGTGAGGTATGGGAGGTGTGACATTTTTAGGGCCGACCTTTTCTAACCCTTCCTTCCTTGTGAGAAGGCAGCATCGCTGCAGATGCTGGTTGTCCGAGGGAAACACCTTACTGCTGTCACACCCCTCTGCAGTCAGCAGTACGACTTCGCCCTCAGACCTTGGGTAGCTGCTTTTAGTCTCATCGTTCTCCAATCGACCTGCCTGGCATGGTAGGACCTGCAGGAACATGTGTTCCAGCCAGTATAGCTCGGTTGGGTCATCACGATAGGCAAGCCCGACCACCACGTCAAGGTAGCAGCTTCGGTCGGGACTATAGGATTTGAATTGACAGTTTCATCTCTGTGCTAATGTGTTATGTCAACTTGAACTGATGTACGTACGTGCCTACGTAATAAGTACTACGTTGTTGTTGATTGATTGATCAAATTAGAATATGCTACTTTCAATAAGTTCTGATATGTTTATGTACTTGGTTTTGATAGGCGTAGGTTTTTTTCTCAAATACACTTTCTAGTTTCTAGAAATCGGCTCCTGTTGAACTTGGAATAGAAAGTAGATAATGGCGAAAAATACGTGAAAATGTTTACTTAGGCAGGCAATTTATATACAGAGAACAAGTGTATTTATTGGTTACGTGTTTTTCAATTTCTAGAATGTTCTTGTAAAAATGCCAGAATTTTAGCGATATAATTTTTGGTTATTAAGCAATCAGATTCTTTTGAAAGTTTCGAATGAATATGTTATCATCATTATTACTATTATTCAGCATAATCATTGATACGAAGAAGTACCCTGAATATTTATTCACCACTGAAGTCACTGAGTTTCTTTTGTTAGCTACGATCCTGCCCAGCTGCCAGGACCGAGGCAGGTGATTTTCCTGGGAGAGGCCACTCCTCAAGCCCCAGGAGGTCAACTTTAGGAGATTTGGTGCCTTGCTGGCCCGTGACCGGCAATAAAAATATACGGTATTTGTTCCTGGAGCTCATATGCGTTATTGGTTCAAAAGAAGGGTTTTCGAACTCTTCTAGGTGGAATCTTCTCCCCTTGCCTACCAACTCTGGTTTAAGCTTCAACTGAACATTTAGTTTTTCTCCCTTGAATTTCGCGAACAACTCGCCGGTGCACGAGAAATCATTGAGTAGGACACGGCTAACAGTGGTTTTGTACGACTTTTGGCCGTAAGAGAATATTTTGAACTGATACATTTTTCTAAGTGGACTTGGCCATGTTCGTAAATGTGGACTACCTCGTTGGGGTACAACACAAGACAATCGTGACTAGTGGTTAGAGACCTTGAATGATATGGCTCAGAATGGTTTTGCGATTGCGCAAGTGCATCGATTGTTTGTGTTCTCTCAAATGCTAATCTTTTGAATTTTATTCACGACCTTTCTCTTTCTCTTCTCAGGTTTATTTCTTTGCATGATACTCCTTGAATAATATCGTCGAACCCTAATCTTTCCGATTACTGCTCATACTTCTCCTGCCTCTCCCACTATGGGATTTGAATTGAAAATTCTATATCTCTGTGCTAATGTAGTATAGTGACTGGAACTGATATACGTATGTAAGAAGGATTTGATTTTGACCGATTCGGTCTCGCGTGCTGCCTCGGGTATGAGGGCGATTATCATTTCCCGGCTGCCCACACCGTGGAAGGTTGTTTCTTGAGGAACCTGAAAAGGAAGGTAGGTTAGTGTTGATCTTAGAGACCAGGGTGCGTGACCGCAGAGCCCCGGGGAAAACTGCTTGAGGCCGGTCACGCACGGCCTTTTGATGAAACGTCCTTTTAGTATTACCTCCGCTTTTAAAAGACCTTAGTGAGCACCCTTACCGCCGGAAACAGAAATCCGTGAGTTGGGGTGAGGTGTGACTTTTTCAGGGTCGACCTTTTCTAACATCTTCCTTCCTTGTGGGAAGGCAACATCGCTGCAGATGCTGGTTGTCCAAGGGAAACACCCTACTGCTGTCACACCCCTTCGCAGTCAGCAGTACTGTGGTGCGTGCTACTTATAAGTAGAATATGACGCGAGTAAAAACGTAATATCTAGCAGCAGAAGATGGGGGAAGATCAAGAAAGGAAGAGTGCGAACACTATGGAATTTGTATGAAACGCATGAATAGTGAAATGTCAGACAATGAATTGATGATGGATTGAAGGTTTGCAAATTAACGGTTACGAAATGGTTTTCCTATTCTACTGAATAACTCTGTAGTTTTCGCTAAATACAATTCGGTTGCCCCCACCTGTGTTCTCCTTCACTACAGTACGACTTCGCCCTCAGACCTTGAGTAGCTGCTTTTAGTCTGATCGTTCTCCAATCGACCTGTCTGGCATGGTAGAACCTTCAGGAACATATGTTCCAGCTAGTATAGCTCGTTTGGTTCATCACGTGTGTAAGAAGTTCGACGTTGTTACTAACTAATTAACTAACTGACTGACACAACATCATATTTACTGTCTCTCTCTATCTCTTTAAAAAGTGTTAATAGTGTTTTGTAGTTAGTTAGTTATCTTGTAGTTAATTTTTTTCTATTTCTATTTTCATCATCTCCATAGTGTTACCTTATGATCCTGGTTATGTGCTACGTTTATGCAAAGAAATTGGTCATTTAAAAGGTATGATTTATATACTACAATTATTGGATATGCATCAAGAAGCTTTACAATTAGCTATTGAACGGGTATGTTTTTTTGTTGTTGTTGAAGAAAAAGAGAAGAAATAATATCACTATCATTTTACTTAAACATTATGTACATTTGTATTTTGTAGTTGTTTTTCAATGATAGGGAGTGAAGTAGTCGAACGTGTAGACAGCTTCACTTATCTTTGGAGTCTCATCAGTGCTGATAGCCTGGTGAATGATGAAATCTCAGCTCGGATACAGGAGGCTCGATTGACTTTCGCGCCAACCTGCGTCACTTATGGCGTAGGCGAGATATCCGTTTGCTGACTAAAGGACGAGTGTACTGTGCAGTAGTTCGCTCCGTCTTACTTTATGGCTGTGAAACTTGTCCAGTGAGAGTAGAAGATATTCGTCGGTTATCGGTTTTCGATCATAGGTGTCTTCGAAGCATTGCTCGTATATCGTGGGACACCCGAGAAAGCAATGCTGTCGTTAGGAAACGGGTACTAGGTAAGGATGGCAAATCAATAGATGAAGTGGTGAAACATCATCAGTTGAGGTGGTTGGGACATGTGTTACGTATGGCTGACCACCGACTGCATTGACGAGCTATGTTTTGTGGTGTAGGAATAGGTTGGAAGAAAGTTAGGGTCGGCCAAACCAAAACATGGCAGAAATCCATGAAGTCACTGACTAGTGGACTGAGTCATGTTGGTAGATGTAGACTACCTGGTTGGGATCCAAGAGACGAAAGTCATCAATGGTTAGAGACCTTGAACGACATGGCTCAAAATCGCTTGTAATAGCGCAAGTGCATCCATTCTTTGATCTCTCTCAAATCCTAATCTTCTGGATTCGTCAGCACCTCTACCTTAGTCTTTGAAACCTTATCTCACCTAATTATACTTCTTGAATAATATCTTCAAACCTTAGTCTTCGTCATTACCATTAATACTTCTTCTATCTTAATCACTATGGGATTTGATTTGACATTTGCGTCTCTGTGCTAATTTGGTGGTATGGCAACATGAACTGATGTACATAGACGTACGAAGTTCTACGTTGCAACTGACTGACTGAGCCTATGGTGTCGCTAAATCATTGATTTTCGTTCTGTTTACTACTGACTAGGGTAAACTCGTAATAACTGCAAGCATATATCAATTTCGTAGTAGGTTTGTTTATGTCAAAACGTTGTCATCTTTTTGTATCCTCTTTCAATTCGATGATATTCAATGCCGAAAAACAATAATTTATCTTTTGAATTGTCGGCTCCTTTTTTTTTGTTCGGAATTCAAACTTTTATCTTTGTTTTTTTTCAATACCACATACTGAGTGTACTTACTGGTTAAGTGAATGAGTTTTTTTTTTTAAAAAAGGAATAGTTACCTTTTTTTATTTAAAATCCTTTATTGTCTCTTGAATTCTTCAAAATGATTTTTTTATTTTCTTATAATGACGACAACACATTAGATTACTTTAATTATTATTTTTGTTATTCATGTGTTCAATAGTTTATTGAAAATTTGTTACGTTTAACGTTAATCTGTTACTGTGGCTTAATAAGATATCATGAATCAATCGATGTTCGACCATCATTAGCCCGAGTGTAGCTGCTACCTTGACGTGTTGGTGGTCGGGCTTGCCTAACGTGATGACCCAACCGAGCTATATTGGCTGGAACATATGTTCCTGAAGGTTCTACCATGTCAGACAGGTCGACTGAAGGACGATGAGACTGAAAGCAGCTACTCAAGGTCTGAGGGCGAAGTCGTACTGCTTGACTGTGATGGAGGGATGTGACAGCAGTAAGGCGTTTCCTTCGGACAACCAACATCTGCAGTGATGCTGCCTTCTCACAAGGAAGGAAGATGTTAGAAAAGGTCAATCCTAAAAATGTCATACCTCACCGTACCTCACGGATTTCCGTCTCTAGCGGTAAGGGTACCCATTAAGGGCTTTCAAGAGCGGAGTTGATACTTAAAAAACCTTTCATGAAAAGGTCGCGTATGACCGGCCTTAAGCAGTTGTCTCTTGGACTCTGCGGTCACGCACCCAGATTTCCAAGACCAACACTAATCTACCTTCCTTTTCAGGTCCCTCAAGAAACAACCTTCCATGGTGTGGGCAGCCGGGAAGTGACAATCGCCCTCATACCCGTAACAGGACAAGAGACCACCATTAGAAATTTGGGAACACTGGTAAACGCTTGTGGTGCAGTTTCGTTCTCTAAGCTGTATGTTTTGGCTGTGTAGCTTTCATTGTTCTTCACAATCAAAACATCCAGCTCAGAGAATGAAACTTCCCCACAATCATCCACTTGTGCTACAAATTCTCCCTACTGTTGAATGCTAGCTCGATGGTGTAGAGAAGTTAAGCGTTCGCGCGCACTATCAAACGTTCTAGGTTCTATCCCTATGAGTAGCGGGAGTCGTGGATGGTCAGTCGGATGCAACGTAGAACCTCGTACGTAAGTAAGTCAGTTCAAGTTGCCATACCACATCAGCACAGAGATATAATTGTCAATTCAAATGCAATAGTAGAAGAGATAGTAAAGGTATTAGAAGTAATCGGAGAGGTTAGACAGACAGACAGATACAACGCAGAACTTCGTACGTAAATACATCAATTCAGGTTGCCATGCCCCAAGTCTCGCATCCGTATGGTAGGACGGAGCGAACTGCTGCGCAGTACACCCGTCCTTTGGTCAGCGAACGGATATCTCGCCTGCGCCATAGGTGACGCAGGTTGGCAAAATCCACTCGAGTTCTCTGTATCCGTGTTGAGATTTCGTCAGTCCCCAGGCTATCAGCGCTGATGAGACTCCCCAGATAAGTGAAGTGATGAACACGCTCGACTACTTCCCTCTATATCACTAGTTCTGGTGCCTATGCAACCCAATCTTGAAGCAACATTTTGCATTTGGAGGGGGAAAACTGCATCCCGAACATGCCTGCATTGTTGCTTAGGGTGGTCATTGCTAGCTGATGAGTCCTAAAACGGGACGAAACGATCCGGTCCAGTGCTTTCAGGTTTCTAATTGGTTAATCTAACAGTGATCGATTCATGAGATATATATTTATGCATAAATATTGTCCACAAGTTGTTTAATAATTTTTTTAATCTGTTTATAGAATAATATTCCGTTAGCTAAAGAAATTGCTCAAAGTGATTATCTAAATTCTAATCTTCGTCGTCAATTATGGATTCAATTAGGTAAGTATATTGTATAGTATATTGTTGGGTTATACATCATTTTGAATTATTTCTTTTTGGTTATGATATGCGATAACCTTTTCTTAACTGCCGACCTGAGCAAGAAGGCAAGAGTTGGAAAATAAAGTCCTTTTATCTATTTATCTATTATGTATACAACTAGTCACTTATTGAAAACATGAGTCGATCAATGTTAGACCACCATTAGAAGCACTGGATGGTCGTTTTTTCCTGGTATGAGACTCGTCAGCAGTGTGCATCCACGACTGCTGCACCTGGCAAGATTCGAACCTTCGGTCTTGCGCGCAAACGCTTCACCTCTGGACCACTAAACCGATACCAACAGTGTTAATGTTTAACTCTGGTCGATTCACCGTCTTGCGCAACCTCATTTACTGTCTTCATTAGTTACTGTCTACACCGGAACAGGGTTGAACTCCACTCACTGGTCAGGTCGTCTATCAAAATAGAAAGCGAATCCATTTTTGACCAATCATTATGCCACCATCCTTTAGGCTATTTTCTATTGGTCATCAAATCACTTTTACATTTGGCCATTTTTGATTGGCTCACCATATCACTTTTCATGAATATATCATTATTAATATTTTTTGTCTTACACATAAATAAATATTAAGGCTGAAAAAATTTTTGCAACTGGTTTCTATTCTTATTACCTTTTATGTTGACATTCTATTTTCCATTTATTTCGGTAGATAGATGCTTAGTGTTGCATACGAACTTGTTATTATTATTAACGAAATTGTTTATTTTTGAAAGCATGAATCAATCAATGTTAAACCACCATTAGAAACCTGGAAGCACTGAATGGCCGTTTCGTCCTGGTATGGGACTCTTCAGCAGTGCGCATCCACGACTACTGCACCCCGCAGGACTCGAACCCAGGACCTTCGGTATTGTGCGGGAACGCCCTAACCGTCAGACCAATGAGCCGGTATCTAACGGTGTTAATGTCGAACTTGATCAAATTCACAGAGTTGCGCAACCTCATACACAGTCTTCGGTAGGCAGTGCCTACACCCGAACAGGTTGAACTTCACTGGTCACGTCTTCCCATACCAGGACGAAACGGCCGTCCAGTGCTTCCAGGTTTCTAATGGTGGTCTAACATTGATCGATTCATGCTTTCAAAAATGTGTAACTTAACAATCTCCACAACCCCGTAATTAAAATTGTTTATGTAAAATGGTTAGAGTTGTTTGAAAGTGTGTTTAATATATATATATGTAATCAGTGTTGTAGCACATCCCAATGTATCGATTGGAAAAACATACAATTATGAAGAGCTATTGAGAAATAACTGAGTGTATTGAGTTCATTTCGATTAAACTGTCATTGAAAACAACCAAATATTGCACATGTGTTTCGTTTTTGTATCGGACTCCGCAACCATACATGCAGCATGCATGACTTCACTAAGTGAACTGATCCATTCAAGTCTATGGACAAACAACTAATTAGTAGAACGACTGTAATTTCAAGTTTGTGAAGTTAGAGCGTTGCTTGTCTGTAATGCCATTGAAAGCAGTAGATGGCCATTTCACTGTAGTGTGTATGCGTGTGCTTGTGGGACTCCTCAGCACTGGGTATTCACAACCTAGCGCACACAAAATCGAATCTAAGACCTTTGATTTTTTGTCTGTGATTTTTCTGATTACTTGTCCTTCGGATTTTACATACGAATGATTGAAGTGATTCTGTTGGTTTGTGTGCTACACGTATTCCACATAGTTTCAGTAATCGTGTAATAGTCGTCCGATATGTCTTTTATGTATGTCAGAATGATCTGTTTGTTGGTACCTGCACTTGATTTCGCTTCTGTTAATGGTTTCAGTTGATATTTTTTTGATGAAGTTGCGTGGATAGCCTTTCTTTTGGAAGATGCTTTCTCCTTCGGTTTTTTTTACTTCATGTGTGCTGCAGTTTATCTTTTCTCTCTTTAACAAAGTTTGTACGCACTGGTTGATTTTGTCAGTTCTTTAGTTGTGGCTACTGTGGTTGAGAATTAGACAGAGAGAGAATTTTAAGAAGCTTGACATTCAAGTCAATCAGTAATCAACAAACACATCGACTCTGACTCAATTTACCAACTATTCAGGAGAATCATAGGCAATCATCGGATCAAGAAACAGATCAAAGATGGATACAATCAAAATCAAGGTGTAAACAACGACAGCTTTAAGGTTAACAGCAACGAATCAAGATCGAAGTTATTACAACAAGCTATACGTGAAGAAATTCAAATACTTCACTTCTGTTACCTGATGTTTTGCTGATAACACGGTATTCAGAAGAACAATGAAAGTATTATGTTCGTCACTGAGTATGCTTGAGCCCGACCGAAGCTGCTACCTTGACGTGGTGGTCGGGCTTGCCTATCGTGATGACCCAACCGAGCTATACTGGCTGGAACATATGTTCCTGCAGGTCCTACCATGCCAGGCAGGTCGATTGGAGAACGATGAGACTAAAAGCAGCTACCCAAGGTCTGAGGGCGAAGTCGTACTGCTGACTGCAGAGGGGTGTGACAGCAGTAAGGTGTTTCCCTCGGACAACCAGCATCTGCAGCGATGCTGCCTTCTCACAAGGAAGGAAGGGTTAGAAAAGGTCGGCCCTAAAAATGTCACACTCCCCCTAACTCACGGATTTCCGTCTCCCTGGGTAAGGGTGCCCACTAAGGGCCTTTAAGAACGGAGCTAATCCTCAAAATACCTTTCATAAAAAGGCCGTGCGTGACCGGCCTCAAGCAGTTGTCCCTTGGGCTCTGCGGTCACGCACCAACACTAATCCATCTTCCTTTTCAGGTCCCTCAAGAAACAACCTTCCACGGTGTGGGCAGCCGGGAAGTGACAACCGCCCTCATACCCGTACCAGCACGCGAGACCAAATTGGTCAAAATCAAATCCTTCCTACACCCCCTAATGTCTCTCTTATCTCTACGACTAACTCTTTTCACACTCCCTTTTCTCACTGCACCGCTAATGCAGACGAAGTGAGATCACGAAACGTCGTTCCTGGTCTCTTGAAACCCCGTTCTAGACTACATATTGGAGCTTTCAATGTACGGACATTGTGTCAAATAGGGCAACAGGCATCATTAGCTAGGACTTTAGAATCTCGTGCCATCGATGTATGCTGCGTCTCGGAAACGCGCATACAGGATCCTAGTAAAGTCATTAACCTGATTTCACCTTGTCAAAACGTAGAAGCAGCTCGATTCACCCTTCGTGTATCCGGTAGCCCTGATGCTGCTTCCCGGGGTCTTGCTGGAGTAGGCATAGCGTTGAGTCCTAGGGCAGAATTATCTCTCCTAGACTGGATCCCAGTAGATAGTCGTTTGTGCGCTGTCCGACTAAACGGGACATTAAGGACTCGTAAGGATAGGGACACTCGCCGTTGCCTCTTCGTCATATCTGCCTATGCCCCCACTGACTGCAGTGCAGACGAGGTTAAAGATGAGTTTTACAGAAAGCTTTCGGACCTCCTTCAAAAAGCTAGGCGCTCTGATATAGTAATAATGGCTGGTGACTTTAATGCTCAAGTAGGTAGACTAGGTGAAAAGGAAAGACATCTTGGTGGATGTTATGGTGTAGCGACTGAGAGAACAGACAATGGAGACCGTCTGTTGCAACTATGCTCAGATAACCGCCTATTCTTAGCGAACACCAACTTTAGGCATAAGGAAAAGCATCTGCTGACCTGGCGGCCTCCAAAGTCGTCTCAACGTTGGACTCAACTAGATCACATCGCCATCAGTCACCGATGGAGGGGTTCGATAGAAGACTGTCGCTCGTTCTGGGGCACATGTTTGGATTCAGATCATGCTCTAGTGCGAGCTCGTATCTGTTTAAGGCTTACTGGGCGTAGGAAAGACACCGTAAGAAAGCCTCTCAGGGTTTTACTTAATGATAATCAAACCAAGAAAATATTTCAGGAGGAACTAGAAAGAGAGTTATGCAACGATGTAAGTGATTCCCATCCAGAAGCAGGTTGGTATGATATCAAAAAGGCTGTGGAAACAGCAGTGATATCTGCTAGTAAGGTAAACCATAAGGCTAGGATGAAGCCGTGGATATCAGTCGCATCCACCGAACTGATGGATGCTCGAAAACGCATCCCACCTGACTCTGAGCATGATGAAGAGCGTAGTCAGCTTAGGCGTAGACTTATAAAAAGTCTGCGTAACGACCGCGAACAGTGGTGGGTGGCGAAAGCAAAAGCGATGGAAAAGGCAGCGGCGATCGGCAACAGTAGACAACTTTTCCGCCTTATTAAAGAAACTGGTATTAAGAACCCGAATGTGAGTGAGACTATCTCGGAAAAGGATGGTCTTATTATCCATTCTCAATCCAGGAGACTGGATCGATGGGCAGAACACTTTAGGGATCAGTTCAACTGGCCACGAGCCACTCTTCGGTTACCCACGATCTCCAGTCATCCTGAATGGCAAATCGACCTAAGTCCCCCTAGTCTTGATGACGTTGATAAAGCGTTAGGAAATCTGAAACGAGGACGAGCTGCAGGTCCTGATAGACTGACCCCCGAGATATTTAAGGATGGTGGTCCAGTTTTAGCAGCTAGGTTGACTGAGATCTTAGGTAGAATCTGGGAACTGGACGTAATCCCATCCGACTGGTCTCAATCCTTGATTGTCCCAATCTATAAGAAAGGACAAAAGTCTTCTTGTGACAATTACAGGGGAATCAGTCTAACTAATATAGTATCTAAAATACTGGCCTCAATAATACTTCGACGCTTAACGAAAGCTCGTGAAGAGCAGACTCGAGAAAACCAGTCTGGTTTTCGACCTGGACGTGGTTGTATAGACCACGTCTTCACACTCAGACAGGTCCTGGAACATAGACACACATTTAGGCGTCCTACAATAGTTGTTTTCCTAGACCTTAAGGCGGCATTTGACTCAGTGGATCGTAAGGTTCTGTGGCAGTGTCTGTCATTGAAAGGTGTACCAAAGAAGTATATTAACCTTATACAAGCTCTTTACTCGAACACCACTGGTCGAGTGAGGGCTTATGGCGAACTGTCACCGGAATTCTCTACATCAAGTGGTGTCCGTCAGGGATGTCCACTTTCTCCATTCTTGTTTAATTTTATCATAGACATGCTCCTAGACATAACATTATCCTCGTCTGAATTTTCAGGAGTAGAACTTCTACCAGGTGGCTCGCTGATTGACTTAGAATATGCCGATGACATTGTCCTACTTGGTGAAGACGCTGACAAAATGCAGAGTCTTCTGACTACCCTAAGCAACAATGCAAGCATTTTCGGGTTGCGATTTTCCCCCTCGAAATGCAAAATGTTGCTTCAAGACTGGGTAGCATCGGCACCTGAACTAGTGATAGGGAGTGAAGTAGTCGAACGTGTAGACCGCTTCACTTATCTTGGGAGTCTCATCAGTGCCGATGGCCTGGTGACTGACGAAATCTCAGCACGGATACAGAAGGCTCGATTGGCTTTTTCCAACCTGCGTCACTTATGGCGTAGGCGAGATATCCGTTTGCTGACTAAAGGACGAGTGTACTGTGCAGTAGTTCGCTCCGTCTTACTTTATGGCTGTGAAACATGGCCAGTGAGAGTAGAAGATATTCGTAGGTTAATGGTTTTCGATCATAGGTGTCTTCGAAGCATTGCTCGTATATCGTGGGACACCTGAGTGAGCAACGCTGTTATTAGGAATCGGGTGCTAGGTAAGAATGGCAGATCAATCGACGAAGTATTGAAACTTCACCAGTTGAGATGGTTGGGACATGTGTTGCGTATGCCTAACCACCGACTGCCTCGACGAGCTATGTTTTGTGGTTTAGGAGTAGGTTGGAAGAAAGTTAGGGCCGGCCAAACCAAAACATGGCAGAAATCCATGAAGTCATTGACTAGTGGACTGAGCCATGTTGGTAATTGTCGACTACCTGGTTGGGGTCCGCGAGATGATAATAATCGATGGTTAGAGACCTTGAATGACATGGCTCAAAATCGTTCGCAATGGCGCCGGTGCATTTATTCTCTGTGTTCTCTCAAATGCTAATCTTTTTGGATTCTTCAACACCTCTAGTTTCGACTCTCTAAACTTATCTCACTGAATCATACTTCTTGAATAATATCTTCTAATCCTAACCTCTCCGATTATTTCTAATTCCCTTACTACCTCTTCTACTATTGGATTTGAATTGACGATTACTTCTCTGTGCTGATGTGGTATGGCAACATGAACTGATGTACTTATGTACAAAGTTCTACGTTGCATCTGACTGACTGACTGACTGAGTATGCTTGAGGCTATTACGAGTTTACCTTAGTCGATAAACGCGAACGAGACAATTACAAGCGTCCAAATAGGCTATCTTGAATCCCAACTTACTTACTTACTTTCGCCTGTTACCCCCAATGGAGCATAGGCCGCCCTCCAGTTTTCGCCAACCAACTCTGTCCTGGGCTTCCTTTTCCAGTTCAGTCCAATGTTTGTTCATTCCTCTCATTATATTTCTCTATTTCTCGGTGTAATGTGTTCCTTGGCCTTCCTCTTTTCCTTTTGCCTTGAGGGTTCCATGTGAGGGCTTGTCTCGTGACGCAGTTAGATACCTTTCGTAGTGTGTGTCCTATCCACTTCCACCGCTTCTTCCTGATTTCCTCCTCCACTGGAATCTGGTTTGTTCTCTCCCACAGTTTGTTGTTGCTGATGTTATCTGGCCAACGAATCCGAAGTATTTTGCGTAGACAACTGTTCATAAATACTTGTATCCTCTGGATGATGGCTTTGGTATTTCTCCAAGTTTCCGCTCCATACAGTAGAACTGTCTTGACATTTGTATTGAAAATCCTGATTTTAGTGTTGATCGATATTTTTTCGGAGTTCTAGATGTATTTCAATTGTAGAAATGCAGCCCTTGCTTTACCGATCCGCGCCCTCACATCTGCATCGGATCCACCTTTCTCGTCGATGATGCTGCCAAGATATGTAAAGGTGGTAACGTCCCACAAGGCATCTCCATCAAGAGTGATTTGGTTGGTGCCTGTTGTGTTGCATCGGAGAATTTTGCTTTTTCCTTTATGTATGTTGAGACCCACTGCTGCAGAGGCTGCTGCTACACTGGTCGTCTTCTCTTGCATTTGTTGTTGCGTGTGCGATAGAAGAGCCAAGTCATCTGTGAAGTCCAGATCGTCCAGCTGCGTCCTAACTGTCCAGTTGATACCGTGCTTCCATCCAGATGTTGACGTCTTCATAATCCAGTCGATGACCAGGAGAAAGAAAAAGGGTGAGAGTAAGCAACCTTGCCTGACACCGGTCTTCACCTCAAAAGAGTGTGTCAGCTGACCTCCGTGCACGATTTTGCAGTTGAATTCATCATAAGAATTCCGTATGATGTTGACTATTTTCTCAGGCACACCGTAGTGTCGAAGACGCCTCCACAGTGTTTTCCTTCGAATCCCAAGCTGAAGATAAAAGGCCTTGTAATCGTAGAAAGTATATTCTAAAAAGACCCAGCCATCGCACAATACAATCAAGCATACAACTCTCGTTGATTTATACATCATAGAAACGTCATTTGGACAGTTACGAAGATAGCAAACTAAAATACATAGCAGCCAATCACAGCCATGGATTTCCGTGGTGGGAATTGAAATCTCATGGTCAACTGATCAACCCATGCTGGCAAACGTGAAATCCAAAATAAGGCATTTAACAAGCGAGTTTTGGGCATCTAACATCCCCAACAGAAAGCTCCACAACCAAAACATTCATCTGACAGAGTGAAACTTCACCGCAATCATCCAACTTTTCTTGGTCATCTGAAAGGCCTGATTCTAATGTCTGTCTAAAGATATTCTCAACTGTTTATCGCTTCATGATAGCTAACTATTTTTTTGTTACTGAATAACATCATTTCATCGGTTCGTTTTCATCATGATGGTATGGGTATGTTATTGATATTCTATGTGATTAACATCGTCCGTGTTTTTTGTTTCAGCTCAACATATTATTAGTACAGATGGAAATATGCAAGAAGCAATTAATTTGCTACGTGAATGTCCTTTATTAAAATTAGAAGATATTCTGCCATATTTTCATCAATTTGTTACAATCGATCAATTTAAAGTGAGTGTGTGTGTGTGTGTGATGATCGTTTATGTTATTTACATAATTGATAATGTTCTTGATGACACACTGCACTACTTTACGGTTATAGACTGTTATAGACTGGATTATCTTGTGGTGATATTTATGGTGCATTGACTACTAGTAAGGTTTAAAAATTTGACTTTTGTTTTTCTGGTTCGCGTGTTTTAGTTAGTTTTTTTTTGTACAGGATGTGGTCGCTAACCCAATGCACCGAACGGTTCTCCTTTATTTGGGCTTGAGACTGGTAGTTGTTGGGGATGTTAGATCCCCGAAATTCGCTTGATAAATGCCTTATTTTGGTTTTCGCGTTTGCCAGCATGGGGTGATCAGTCAGTCAGTCAGATGCAACGTAGAACTTTGTACGTAAGTACATCAGTTCATGTTGCCATACCACATCAGCACAGAGATATAATTCCTAATTCAAATCCAATAGTAGAAGAGATAGTAAAGGTATTACAAGTAATCCGAGAAGTTATGATTAGAAGATATTATTCAAGAAGTGTGATTCAGTCAGATAAGCTCAGAAAGACAAAACTAGAGGTGTTGAAGAATCCAGAAGATTATGAATTGAGAGAACACAAAGAATAAATGCACCTGCGGCATTGCAAACGATTTTGAGGCATGTCATTCAGGGTATCTAACCATCGATTATTATCATCTCGCGGACCTCAACCAGGTAGTCGACAATTACCGACATGGCTAAGTCCACTCGTCAATGACTTCATGGATTTCCGCCAAGGTATACATCTAGTAATCCTTCCCAACAGTGCAGATTCAATCAAAGTGTGTTTACTGAAACTGTCAACTTTGTACTAATAATAAGATATGACAATTTCTTTTATCAATAATAAAACTAATTTAAGATGGCATCCATAGATATCATAACTTTTCTACATTGTAATTTTCAACACATATGTAATATTTGTTTGGCGTCTAATGAAATCAAAGTTTCTACTGTGTTACAACGCACTGTTGATCAGAATCAAACAAAACATTTGTGCTTGTTGAGTATAACCTAGTTACCGAATAAGTTTTGATACGATATAGGTAAAAAATAGTTGAGGTTGTGTTTGATCAACAGTAACCGATATGTCAATAACTACTCAGAAGGTCACCGGTTGATGAACTAGTCAATAATCGGATCACACAGAGAGAGAGAGAGAGAAAGATCATACGAGACCCTAATACAATTGAAGTAAAAAAATGAATGAATAGGGTTATTTGTTGTAAATTAGAAATTCTTAAGGTAGATGGTTTAGATTTCCACTCACATACAACCTCCGCAGATGGCTGTCTCAGTTCTCTGTTTGGCGGGATAACAGTAACCTGGTGGTTGGAGAACTTGAATGGAATGACTCAAAATCGTTTGCGATAGCGCAGATGCATCTCATTCCTTGTCTGCTCTCAAATTCTAATCTTCTGAATTCCTCATCACCTCTATCTTTCTCTTCCTAAGATTATCTCACTGAATTATACTTCTTGAATAATATCTTCGAACCCTTATCTCTCCGATTACTGCTTATAATTCTACTATCTTTATCATGATGGGGTTTGAATGGGCAATTCCATTCCTCTCTGTTAGGATATTCATCCAATATCGTAAGAGAATTATTGGTCAATTCTTATTAGTTAATTCCTACTGGTCATTTTCATGGTCGTCCTTGATAACAATGTCACGTGCTCCAATGTTGTTTCTTATTGGTTGTCCTTACTATCAATATCACTTCAAATGTTGCTTCCTGTTGGTTGTCTTAACTGTCAATGTCACAGACTTCTATGCTGTTTCCTATTCGACCAAAATGTATAAATACGCATTATCTGTAATGTCTTATGACCACGATCAGGACCCGGTCCCGGTGCGGATCCTTAGTCCTGGATCCTGATTCTCTTCTGGACTCGGACCTGGTATTTTCTGGATGCTTGTACAATACAGGTTCTACTTTATATCAAGTGTTCTTATTTTTTTACTCAGTATGGGGGTTGGGATAATCGGATTTGAGTAGTATGTCGTGTCACCGGATCCTCAATCCTCGCTCTCTCATTTTCCAACTAAGGCAAACAACTCGTAATAGTTCAAGCATATCAGAATGACGTGTTTACGTGCAGGCGTAACACTCTCATCGTGCTAATGTGATGGTATGGTAACTTGAACTGAAGTAACTGACAAGTGGACTGAGTCATGTAGGTAAGTATACACTACCTTGTTGGGGTCCGTGAGATCATGGTAACTGATGGTTAGAGACTTTGAATGACATGGATGAAAATCATTCACTATGGCTCAGGTGCATCCAGTGTTTGTGTTCTCGCAAATCCAGATCCTTTGAATTTTTCATCACCTTTATCTCTTTCTCTTTTTAAGTTTATTTCACTAAATTATACTTCTTGAACAATTTTTCAAATTCCAATCTTTTTGATCAGTAGAAATAGTTTTACTACATCTCTCTCTCTCTCTGTGCACTAATGTTGTGGTGCGACAGCTTGAACTGATGTACTTGCGTACAAACGTACGTACTTACAAAGTTCTACATTGTGTAGCTAGCTGATTCACTGACTGACATTCATTGTTTACATTTATTACTCACTGTTTTATTTTCCCACTCTTATTTGTTATTATTGTTGCTCTACTACTTACTCCGATTTTTTACAAATCAATCAGGATGTCATTTGTTCATCGTTGGATTCATATAATGAACGAATTGATAATGTGAAAAATGAAATACAACGTACCATGAAAACAATTGATGAATTACGTACACAATCAAATAATCTACGTTATAGGTAAGTGAGTGTGACTATATTGTATTGTGTTTTTTGTTCTGGGTGTTGAGTTTTTTCCCCTCATTTTCCTTTGTATTGATGATAAAATATGTATTGTCAAATTTACAACTTTGGAAATCATCAATCAATCATTGTTAGACTACCATTAGAAACCTGGAAGCACTGGACGGCCGTTTTGTCCTGGTGTGGGACTCATCAGCAGTGCGCGAGTTTGGTAGTTACTGCCTACAAATGGGTGAGGTCGCGCAAAATCCCTAGATTTATCAGAGTTAGACATTAACACTGTTGGATGCCGCCGGCCCAGTGGTCCGATGGTTAGGCGTTCGCGCACAATACCGAAGGTCCCGGTTTCGAATCCTGCGAGGAGCAGGAGTCGTGGTGGCGCACTGCTGATGAGTCCCATACCAGGACGAAACGGTCATCCAGTGCTTCCAGGTATCTAATGGTCGTCTAACAATGATTGATTGGTGATTTCAAATGTGTAAAAACACAAACCTTCAAAACTCTGCCCCAAAATATACAACTGTTATACATTGTGTTTGTTAAGATCATACGGAACTCTTATGATGGACTAAATTGTGAAATCGTACACGGAGGTCAGCTAACAGACTCGTTCGATCTGAAGATCGGTTTCAAGCAAGGTTGCTTACTCTCATCGTTTCTCATTCTCCTGGTAATCGACTGCATTATGAAGACGTCAACATTTGAGGGGAAGTTGGGGTATACAGTGCACATAGGTTAGGATGCGTCTAGACAATCTATACTTCGCAGATGATCTTGCTCTTCTACCTTACACGCAACAGCTAATGCAAAAGAAGATAACTAGTGTAGCAGCAACAGGTTTCAGCATACACAAGGGAAAAAAAAGTCGGCAAAACGATAGCGAAGATAAATGATCCAGTGACACGTCAGGCCACTCTAATCCGAGCGTCTCAAGGTACCACTAAGTAGAGGAAGTAGTCTTGATAAGGTGTAGAGAAGTGTTTTATAAGCACTAGGAAAATATGAGGTTCACAAGCACACAAATCGAGTTTATTCATACATCATAGAAACTCCCTTTGGAGAGCAATAAAAATAGCGTACTAAAACAATACACCGACCCATAACAGTCGAGGATTTTCCGGGTAGTAAATGTAATCTCAAGGTCAACTGATCAACCCATGCTCGAAAGCATAAAATTCAAAATTAGGATGTTCATCAAGTGCATTCTGGGGATCTAACGTCGCCAACACAATTCTACTGCTGTGCCGATTCGCATCTTCACATCTGCATGTTGACTATCTTTTCAGGCAGGGGGTTCAGTGGGGCTAGTTCAATACTAATTACCTCTGAACTTAGAAAAAGAACACAAGCCTAATGATCATCTTTAGTCCAAGATCGTTATTATATTTCAAATATGTTCATTCATATACACAAAAGATCAGACCACATAACACCAATAAATAACTGAGGATGAACAATGATACGTGAATGAGACGAAAAGTCGCTGTGTGTGAGTAAAAGAGAAACTGTCCATTGGTAAATTCAATACCATCAGAAACCTGGAAGCACTGCTGGCTTTTTCGTTCTAGTGTATGGGACTCATCAATAGCAGTGAGCACCCACAACTCCTGCTACTCAAAAGATTCGGACCTAGTGTGGTGTGAGCTACTTATAAGTAGTATATGATGTGAGTGTCAACGTAATGTCTGGCATCATAACATGGGGGAAGATCAAGAAAGGAAGAGTTAGAAAACAATGGAATTTGTATGAAACGCATGAACAGTGACATTGGATTGATGTTTTGCAACAGGAACAGTCCAGTTCGATAGGATGAACTGATATTTTGCAAATGAACGATTTACGATATGGTTTTTCGATTTTACTGAGTAACTCTGTAATTTCGCTAAATACAATTCGGTTGCCTTCACCTGTGTTCTCGTTCACTACACTAGGACCTGCGGTCCTGTGCGCGCAACCGCTTAACCTCTGTACCACTGAACTGGCCGGCATCTGGTGGTGTTAATATCTAATTGTGATCAATCTAAGATTTTTCTGCGCAATCTCACATACTAGGATGAAACAGCTGTCTTGTTCTTCCAGGTTTCTGATGGTGTCCTAAAAAGTATAAAAAGCGATGATCTCCATAAAACTATAATGTGAACTTAAGAATAATTGTTTATTTTGCTCTAATCTTTTCTCTCTCTCTCTGTTGTGTCTTTCTTTTCTTTTTACATCAATAGATTTGAAATTATCGAAAATGATTCACGTTGTATTCATTGTAATCATTTATTAATTTTACGTACATTTTATGTATTTCCATGTGGTCATAATTTTCATATAAATTGTCTTATTGAATTGGTAAGTAATAAAATAACAAGTTGGTTGACTTTTTTTTTGTTGTTTGTATAAAAAAAAGGAACTTTGTACATGACATTTTTTTTGGCTGAAATTATGAATTACAATGATTGTTAGATCTGGAAGCACTGAACAGTCGTTTCGTCCTAATGTATGTGACTTATTGGCAAGTAGTGCACATCCATGACTCCTGTTACCCGCAGGATTGGAACCTAAGATCTTTGGTCTAGTACACGCAAACGCTTGACCACTGATGCATGTCATTCAAAGCCTCTAACCACTGGTTACGATCGTATTGCGGACCTTAACCAGGTAGTCTACACTTACTTGTCAGTCACTTCATGAATTTGTATCATGTTTCAGTTTGACTGCTCCTAGCTTTCTCTCAGCCTACCTTTACATCAGACAACTTCGTCAGGTCCTAGAACATATGCACACGTCCAAATGTCCCACAACAGTTGTATCGTTCTCAATGGCGCCGGTGCATTTATTCTTTGTGTTCTCTCTAATCCTAATATTCTGGATTCTTCAACTTTGTAAACTTTTCCCACTGAAACATACTTCTTCAATAATATCTTCTAATCCTAACCTCTCCGACTACTTCTAATACCTTTACTACCTCTTCTACTATTGGATTTGAATTGACAATTACATCTCTGCGCTAATGCGGTATGGCGACATGAACTGATGTACTTACGTACGAAGTTCTACGTTGCATCTGACTGACCCAATAAAATACAAATCATCATAAAGGATTAAGGGTAATCCCAACTGTTAGAATATTCACTAAATATCATACGAAGAATTAATTTGTAAGTGTAAATTCTATTGGTCGATTCTTATTGGTCAATACTATGGTCGTCCCAACTGTCAATGTCAAATACTTCAATGTTTTCTCCTATTGGTCGTACTAACTGTCAATGTCACTTCAAATGATGTTTCCCATTGGTCGTCCTAAACTATCAATGTTACAGACTTCAGTGATGTTTCTTATACGACCTAATTGTATAAATAGGCATTATTTGTAACATTTTATGACCTGAACCCCCTAGTCCGTGATCGTGATTTTCTTCTGGACTCGAACTTCGTACTCTCTGGATGTTTGTAGAATACAGGTTCTACTTCACATTCAAGTCTTCTTCTTTTATTCAGTGTGGGGTTGGGACAATCGGATTAGATTAGCATGTCTTGTCACCGGATCCGTGATCCTCGCTCTTGTGTTTTCCGACTAAGGTAAACAACTCGTCATGATTCAAACATATCAAATTGACCTGGTTACGTGCATACACAACACCAAACATTTTCGCATTTTTTGTTATTTCCGTTAAATTCATCATTTGTTTACCGGTTTAATTCTTCCTTTTTTTTGCAGGTAAAACCATATTTATCAACAGAAGAAAAATTACAATTGTCAAAAGTTGTTGAATCACAAAATCTTGGAAAAAATGCATCTGTCACTAATCTTGAAGTGAGTAGTAAAAATAACAATGATTATCATTCTTTTCCATTACTGCTAATAATTCTACTATCACTATCACTCTTGGATTTGAACTGACAGTTTGCGTCTCTGTGTGCTGATGTGGTGGTATGGCAACCGGAACTGATGTACTTACGTACGTACGAAGTTCTGCGTTGTATCTGTCTGTCAGTCATTCTTTTGCATAAAATACTTGATTTATTGTTATCTATCCATACCAGCAGTCATTTATGTACATCTGACAACAATCAACGGTATTTGTCCAAAGTTTATCTATCTTGGATATGATTCTGTTAGGATATTCATCCAATATCTTATGATAATTATTGGTCTATCCCTATTGGTTAATTCCTACTGGTCAATTTTATGGTCGTCCTAGATATCGATGTCACGTGATCCAATGTTGTTTCCTATTCGACCAAAATGTATAAATACGCATTATCTGACCACGACCAGGACCAGGATCCGGTCCCTGATCCCTAGTCCAGGATCTTGATTCTCTTCTGGACTCGGACCTCGTACTTTCTGGATGCTTATCGAATACAGGTTCTATTTCATATCAAGTCTTCTTATTTTTTACTCAATATAGGGATTGGGGTACTCGGATTTGAGTAGTATGTCGTGTCACCGCTTCCTTGATCCTCGCTTTCGTGTTTTCCGACTAGGTAAACTCGTAATAGTTCAAGTATATCAAGTTGACGTGTTTACGTGTGGGCGTAACAGATTCATAATAGACTAACTGATTCATTGATTGGCCATGCAATAATGATTGATCTTATGTTCATTTCTGGTCCATTGTACTGATATAGGATTTTGTCGGTTAAGTTGTAGCCTGTGCCACTAGTCCCTTGGACTTTTTATTACCACCAATGGAGCAGAGGCCACGAAACAGTAATTTAAAACCTACTCTGGGCCTTACTACCTAGTTCTGTCCAATTGTTGTTCATTCTCCTCGTATCTGTCTTCATTGTTCTGCATAATGTGTTCTCGGGTCGAACTACTTTCCTTTGACCTTGCGGATTCTAATTTATGGCTAATCTTTTGACACATTTGGGTGCTTTCCTCAATGTGTGTCTTATCCACCTTCAGCGCTTCTTTCTGATCTGGTTTGTTCTTGTCCACAGTAGGTTGCTGCTGATAGTGACTGTTATAATTCTGCTACGTAGCTATTCAAATCCTACCGACGTCCGAATCCAAATGCTCCAATACGACCCAAATACTATTCCTAAAACTCCTATATAGATCAGAACGCAACACCCTTGGATGGAGTTGTTTATTGGGCCGAGTACAGAAAAGATGTAGGCATGAAGGAACGGAATCATGAAGTCTTACAGATAGTGCGTATTTATACATTTAGGTCGAATAGGGAAGAGCATCGAAGTCTGTGGCATTTGACAGTTTAGGACGACGACTAATAGGAAAGAACATTTGAAATGATATTGACAGTCTGGATGACCAATAAGAGACAACATTGAAGTATTTGACTTTGACAGTTAAAACGACCATTTATTTTGACCAATAGAAGTCGACCAATAGGATTATACTTCCAAAAATAGTACTCTTAGGATATTTGGGGAATATCCTAACAGTGACTAACGGGTTTGCAATATATTGTATATATTGCAATATATATTGTATATATATTGTAGATAGTCGCCAAAGAGGAAACCTGGACAAAACGTAACTGCAATTCGCAATAGTAACGTTTCAGTTTGTGAAATCGATTGACCCGAGTCAAAATCCAATAAAGTATGGATTAGTTTCCACAAGATTTCCATAAGATTTCGCAGTTGAAGACAATTAGTGTATCAGCAGCCTCTGCAAAAGTAGAGGAAAAGCAAGATCCTTCAATCCAACACAACATACACTAAATAAATCACAATTGACGGTGAAACCTTTGGAAGACGTGTAAAAAGCTATACATATCTGGGCAGGTGAATCCTATGCAGATATGAAGGCGCAGATTAGCAAAACAAGGATAGACTTTCTACAATTAAAGAACATAGGCAACTCCAAACAACTATCAACCAACATCAGAGTCGTAAATTTCAATACAAACGTTAAAGATATCCTATTGTATGGAGTGGAAATTTGAAGAATTAGGAAAGCCATCATCCGAAAGTTACTGATATTTATCAATAGTTATCTACACAATATACTGCAAATCGGTTGTACAGACGTCATTAGCAACAACCTACTGTGGGATAGAACAAATCGAATTCCAGCTGAGGAAGAAATTAGGAAAAAGCCCTGGAAGTGAATAAGACCTATATTGAGGAAATCAGTCAACCGCGTCACAAGGCAAGCCTTCAATTGGAATCCTCATGATCAAAGGAAAAGAGGAGGACCATGGAACACACAATCCCTTGAGAATTAGAAACAGACATGGAAGAAATGAATGAATAGCATTTGCGTAGAACTGGAAAAAATGGCGTTGAACAGAGTAGGTTAGAGAATGCTTGTTGGCTGTGAATGCTCCATTTGGTGGTGACACGTGTAAGTAAGTAAGTAAGTTATTAAATACTTTTTTTTCTAAACTCTACTTGTTTATATATTGTTGTCTCATTTAATCATTGCCTGATTTTCTATTCTTTTCTTCAACTTATTCAGGATATATTTGATGAAATCATAGCGAATGATTGTATTCTTTGTGGTCATATTGCAATTGAAAATGTATCGAAATTATATTATGAAAATCAAGCAAATTATGAAAGTGAATTATCTATTTGGCAATAAAAAATTATGCTTATTTTGATTCATACAAAGGAGATATGTCTATCCCACATGAATAACGCATATCTGTCTATCATTCGACAGATTGTTTAATAGACATGTATAAATGTGTTTATTCCTCTCGCCGTTTTTTGTGAGATTCGTTGCAGAAACAATTTGTCATAACCTTGAATTTACCTTGGTAATCTTTAAGCCTAGGGTAATGTGATAATTTTCCTACCCCTTCTTATTCTTTTCATATTACGTTAATTTTCTCTCTCCTTTATTTACAATTATCACCCTATGTCTATTTGAACTTTTATTTAATTGACCTTTTATTCATCTTCATATAAAATGCCTTGACAAGTAAATATGTGTGACCAGATTGTTCGAAATGTATGAGGCGCAAATACATCACATTTTTCAGATCAATTACGTCTTCTCACTGTTCTATCAAAATTTATAAAAGGGACTAATTGTTTTAGATTCGTTGTACAGACAGACATGTGAAATTCACTAATGTGTCACTGAATTTGTGTGTCTATGTCTGTATGTGTTTCTAAGAGTGTGATGGTTTGTCTTTCCGCTGTCTTTATTATCCTCATTTATTTGTTTAATTGAAACTTATTTTATGTCGGTCGGTGATGATGATGATTGTCGTCATCCTTGTCCGTTTTTTTAATTTTGATATTGTTATTTTCAATTTAGATAAAAATGGATTAATGATTTGGTCAAATTAATTTTGTATATTTAATCTCTTAATGATGAAACATGATGAAAAATAAACGTATTTTTCAACAAGTTACCACTTTTTAGTTAGTGTGTCTATAAATTTTAACATATCAATTATGTTCGTGTAATCCAATCAGGTGGTTATATAAAAAGTTTAAATGCTATTGCTTCACAGTGTACGAAAATGGTATAATCCGAGACATTGTGGAAGATTACTTTCGACTTATTTATTTACCTGCGCCTGGGTACTAACTTACATACGCCTGTTACCCCCCAATGGAGCATAGGACGCCGACCAGCATTCTCCTACCTACTCTATCCTGTGCCTTTGTAGTTCTTCTTATGTCTGTCTCCGTTTCTCAGCGTAATGTGTTCCTTGGCCTTCCTCTTCTCAGTTAGCCTTGAGGATTCCGAGTGAGGACGGACTTGTCTTGTGTCGCAGTCGGGTGCTTTCGTCAATGTCTTTTCTGATTTATTCTTCCGCTGGAATCTGATGTTTTCTCTTCCATAGTAGGTTATTGTTGACAGTTTTACTGGTCAGCGGATCCTGTGATGACTTTTGTAGTTCTCTGAATTCCGGTTACCTACACTAAGATGCCTTTGACGTTTGTATTGAAAATTCTGACTTTGGTGTAGGTTGATAATTGTTTCGAGTTCCAGTAGTTCTTGAACTGCAGAAATATTGCTTTTGCTTTGCCTATCCGTGACAGCGCGCATCCACGACTTCTGCAACTTCCAACCGAACCTGGGACCTTCGGTCTTGTGCGTGAACATCTAACCTCTGTACCATTGGACCGAAACCCAGAGGTGTTAATGTTTAACTGTAGTGATTATAAGGATTTTGCGCAACCTCACCCGTTTGTTTTCGGTAGTTACTACCTACACTTAACCGCGTTGAGCTTCACTGGTCACGTCTTCTCACTAGAACTTCAAGAATTTCCTTTTGAAGCTACTCACTAGTGATCATGCTGTAGGATCTTTCATTACGATAAATGCTTAATTATTAAAAAAAGCACTAAGTTGACATATTCAACAGTACAATCAATCCGTAATAAATACAACCTACAAAAACTTTTTTTTAACTAAACTAATCCAATTAATAGTCAGTCACTCAGTTGCAACGTAGAACGTCGTACGTATGTACATATGTTCATGTTGCCATACCACATTATTAGCACAAAGACGCAAATGTCAAATCAAATCCCATAGTGATAAAGATAGTAGAGGTATTAATGGTAATGAAGAAGACTGGGGTTTGAAGATATTATTCAAGAAGTATAATTCAGTGAGATAAGGTTAGAAAAACGAAGGCGGAGTTGCTGACGAATCCAGAAGATTAGGATTTGAGAGAGCTCAAAGAATGGATGCACTCGCGCCATTGCAAACGATTTGGAGCCATGTCGCTCAAGGTCCCTAACCATTGGTGACTGGTCTCGTGGACCCCAACCAGGTAGTCTACATCTACTAACATGACTCAGTCCACTTGTCAGTGACTTCTGCCATGTTTTGGTTTGGCCGCCCCCCCCCCTACTCCTACACCAGAAAACACAGCTCGTTGAGGCAGTCGGTGGTTAGGCATACGTAACACATGTCCCAACCACCTCAACTGATGAAGTTTCACCACTTCATCTATTGATTTGCCATCCTTACCTAGTACTCGTTTCCTAACGACAGCATTGCTTACTCGGTTTTCCCATGATACACGAGCAATGCTTCGAAGACATCTATGATCGAATACTAGTAACCTACGAACATCTTCTACTCTTAACGGCCATGTTTCGCATCCATATAGGAGAACGGATCGAACTGTTGTGCAGTACACTCGTCCTTTGGTTAGAGAACGGATATCTCGCCTACGCCAAAAAACAGCGTAAATTGGCAAAAGCAAATCGAGTTTTCTGTATCCACGCTGAGATTTCGTCAGTAGTAGTTCATTTACAACTTACTACAATCTATTTTTCAAATTCTAATGTGAAAATACTTGACTGATGAAGTTCAAGCATGTTGAAAGTATTATTGGAGGATGATCATTGCACGTTATCATTTTTCACTTACGCCTCAGTGGTTCTGATGAATAATAAACCATGGTCATATAATACTTGAAGTGACTACTGAGCAGGTATATTATCTCGTATTGTCAATAACATCTCAACTGAGACCAATCTATGACGAATGTAACATATACAAATTAAACTAATCTCTGACAAATTCATTCCATCGCTTTTATTGTACGCATAAAAAGTTTTTTTCTCCGAATTTCAGTTCATTAAAACAATAAAAAATTAGAAATTGCTAATCAAACCCCTGGATACTACTGATGATCAATATGTAACTGAGTATAAAAATAAGTCAGAAAGAGGAGATTATACTAAATTGCATTGATTAACCCAAATAATTTCTGTAAGCAGTTGTAATAGACGACAGACTCCTCAATTTTTTTAACTGTTTGCAAGTTCGACCTTTGTTATGAATCTTGTGTTGTTTCTTATGGTTGTAATGACGATACGTCTGTTTAATATGAAGTGTTTTAGTGTGAATTACAACTGATATATATACATATCCACATACCTTAACAGATATCCGCCAAAGTAACGAATTTGAAACGAATATAACAGCAGAACAGACATTTAAGCTCACTAATTATATTGTTGATTTTTATCAGACAGATTATGAGTTAAGTTGATGATACTGATTTCAGATCACAGAGATGTTATTGAATAATTTGTTCAGTCAACTATCTCAAAGAGAATAACGTCACTTGAGAATCAAACCATTACTTTTTGTTAACCCGTATTCTTTCGGTGGCGTTTATACTTTCCTCAGTGCTTATTCAATACAATCCACCAGGTTACAATGATCTTAATTCGACTTCAGAAAAATTAATTTCACTGGAGTATACTTCTCGAATAATATCTTCGAATTCCTAATCTTTCTCACCATTACTACTACTACTTCTAATATGGGATTTGAACTAACAACCCCGCCTTTCTGTACTTGTGTTATGGTAATTGGAACTGATGTATGTACCTATGTGCCAAGTTACACGTTGTAGTTGACTGACTTACTGATTAGGTTACTATTTGTTTACTTCTCTAGGTAACTGGACATTGTGTACCCGATATTCAGACGATATTATATTTAGAGGCAACCAACTGAAAACGCCAATTTTTTGCATTCATCAAGTAAAGCGTACCCTTAACTAACTGGTAGATTTGAACCTGTATCGATAAGTTAAAACGTAGAACTTTATACGTACGTACATCAGTTCAAGTTGCAATACCATATTAGCAAAGAGGTGCAATTGTAAATCCAAATCCCCTAGTGATAGAGATAGTAGAAGTGTAAGCAGTAATCAGAAAAACTAAGGTTCAAAGATTTGATTCGATGTGTATGATTCAATGAAATAAATTTAAAAAGAGAAAGATAGAGGTGATGAGGAGTTCGGAAGATTACAATTTGAGACAACACAAAGAGTACCTAAGCAATCTGATTCAAGGTCTCCAACCTAAAGTTTTTTTTCTCCGAATTTCAGTTCATTAAAACAATAAAAAATTAGAAATTGCTAATCACACCCTGGATACTACTGATGATCAATATGTAACTGAGTATAAAAATAAGTCAGAAAGAGGAGATTGTACTAAATTGCATTGATTAACCCAAATAATTTCTGTAAGCAGTTGTAATAGACGACAGACTCCTCAATTTTTTTAACTGTTTGCAAGTTCGACCTTTGTTATGAATCTTGTGTTGTTTCTTATGGTTGTAATGACGATACGTCTGTTTAATATGAAGTGTTTTAGTGTGAATTACAACTGATATATATACATATCCACATACCTTAACAGATATCCGCCAAAGTAACGAATTTGAAACGAATATAACAGCAGAACAGACATTTAAGCTCACTAATTATATTGTTGATTTTTATCAGACAGATTATGAGTTAAGTTGATGATACTGATTTCAGATCACAGAGATGTTATTGAATAATTTGTTCAGTCAACTATCTCAAAGAGAATAACGTCACTTGAGAATCAAACCATTACTTTTTGTTAACCCGTATTCTTTCGGTGGCGTTTATACTTTCCTCAGTGCTTATTCAATACAATCCACCAGGTTACAATGATCTTAATTCGACTTCAGAAAAATTAATTTCACTGGAGTATACTTCTCGAATAATATCTTCGAATTCCTAATCTTTCTCACCATTACTACTACTACTTCTAATATGGGATTTGAACTAACAACCCCGCCTTTCTGTACTTGTGTTATGGTAATTGGAACTGATGTATGTACCTATGTGCCAAGTTACACGTTGTAGTTGACTGACTTACTGATTAGGTTACTATTTGTTTACTTCTCTAGGTAACTGGACATTGTGTACCCGATATTCAGACGATATTATATTTAGAGGCAACCAACTGAAAACGCCAATTTTTTGCATTCATCAAGTAAAGCGTACCCTTAACTAACTGGTAGATTTGAACCTGTATCGATAAGTTAAAACGTAGAACTTTATACGTACGTACATCAGTTCAAGTTGCAATACCATATTAGCAAAGAGGTGCAATTGTAAATCCAAATCCCCTAGTGATAGAGATAGTAGAAGTGTAAGCAGTAATCAGAAAAACTAAGGTTCAAAGATTTGATTCGATGTGTATGATTCAATGAAATAAATTTAAAAAGAGAAAGATAGAGGTGATGAGGAGTTCGGAAGATTACAATTTGAGACAACACAAAGAGTACCTAAGCAATCTGATTCAAGGTCTCCAACCATCGGTTATAATCGAATCTAAGACCCCAACTTAGGTAGTCTACATCTACCCACATGACGAAGTTCACTCTTTAGTGACTTTACGGATTTGTGCCATGTTTTGGCCGCCCCTAGCTTTATTCCACTCAAACATGTATAGTGCATTTTTTTCTGCATTAGAAAAAAAACAGATGAATCTTTTACATCAAACTATAAAAAGAAAATATTCAATCACTGTTCTACTGCTTCTTTAAAGTTGTCAAACATCAGTTCACCTACTACTACTTAATTATCAACAAGTTCAAACGATCGCTTAGCTCTCTCTCTATATATATATTCCAAAGTTTTTTATAAAATGTAAAGCAACAATGAAAAGTGTATTCAAGTTGTGTGTTTCTAACAACAAACGAAACCCTTTCTCTATCTTTCCGTTTTTAAATTTATCACACTGTATTCTAACTTTTTGAATTATATCTTCGAATCATAATCTTTTCTCCATTATTGCTAATTGTTACGCCTGCACGTAAACACGTCAACTTGATATACTTGAACTATTACGGGTTTACCTAGTCGGGAAACAAGAGCGAGGATCCGGCGACACGACATGCTACTCAAATCCGATTATTCCAACCCCCATATTTAGTTAAAATAAGAAAACTTGATATGAAGTAGAATCTGTATTCTACAAGTATCCAGAAAGTACGAGGTCCGAATCCAGAAGAGAATCAGGAACCCCGACTAGGGATCCGCACCGGGACCGGGTCCTGGTCATAAAACGTTGCAGATAATGCGTATTTATACATTTTGGTCGAATACGAAACAGCATCGAAGTCTATGACATTGAGTCTAGGTCGACCAATAGGAAGCTACATTTGAAGTGATATTGATAGTCAGGACAACCAATAAGAAACAACATTGGAGCATGTGACATTGATATCTAGAACGACCATAAAATTGATCAGTAAAAATTAACCAATAGGAATTGACCAATAATAATTCTCTTACGATATTGAATGAATATCCTAACACTAATGTTTCTACTATCTCTACCACTTAGGGATTTGAAATGACAATTACGAATCTGTGCTGGCTGATACGGTATGGCAACCACGCTGTGCACTGACTGAAATTCATGGTCAGTTAGTGAATAACAATTGAATCAAAAAAAATTAAAATTTTATTTGTACAAAAAATTATCTTAATCGATAATTAGTAAATAAATACATCATGTTCATCCATGTTCATTTTTTGCAAACAAACAAACAAAGAAACTTACATATCACACTACTCACTTATCGCTACTACTACTTCTACTATGACTTCTACTATTATTATGACTTCATCTTACAATGAGCACAACAACAATTAGAATACCATTTTACATTTTTTGAAAAAAAAAATTATTAACACTGATGATGATGATGATGATCACATAATCACAATAATACAACATGTATATATATTCATTCCAGTTTTTTTTTAACATAGACATCAAATATGATAATATATATGTATATTTCTCGTCTTTTGTACAAATCCTAAATGGTCGGTTGGCTGTGGATCACTGGAGTGTGTGTGTGTGGAGAGTTTGTGTATATCAAATAGAAATGAAAGACTAGTTGACAAAGAAAAAAAGAAAACGCGTGGCGGGGCGGGCGCGGGGGTGGTGGCAATTCATATTGAACAGAAGAAATAACACCAAAAAACAGGGGAACAATGATGTTTTTAAAGTGTAAATAAATAATGGTTTTGTTTATCAAAAGACAGAACAACAGCCACTACAACAACAAGAAATGCTTCGTCGTTTTCATGGTAAACAAAATGAGAGCGGAGAAAAAAGAACAAAACAGCACTGAAATGAGGTTGGGGTGGGGGGTGTGATTAGGATCTTGAAGTGTTGTAGTACATCTAGCATGAGGAGCGCTTACATTGTCCAGTTTGTTTTGATCATTTAGCGTGCGCCAGTGTGTGCATGTACATGTGTGAGTGTATGTGTGTGGGGGGGGGGTCGGTGGGGTGTGCGCGTATATGTTTCATCGGAGATGAACAAGAAAGTAGTTAGTTCAATTTTATTAAAATTCATTATCTTGTCAAAGTTCTCCATAGTATTTACTGGTACACGAACAACAATAATAATAATCTCAAAAAGAGAGACATCACAGATGATAAATACTGTTGTTTTGTTGTGTGTGTGTGCGTGTTTGATTCGTTAAGCCAATAAACTGCCATGTGAACCGGATGCTACACCAGTATATGGTTTAGCTGGATATGATGGACTACGATGTAATTTTGGGAGACGATCTAATAATTTAACTAATGTAGTAAATTCTGGACGTTTACAAGGACTATATGCCCAACATTGAACAAGAATTTCCTATAGAGAAAATAAAATAAAAAAAACATGACAGAATTATTCACCTTCAATTTGTCAAGAGGAATTCTACGCTAGTTTTCACAGAAGAACCAAGGAGACTGTTGGCTTGTTCAGTCAGTCAGATGCAACGTAGAACTTTGTACATAAGTACATCAGTTCATGTTGCCATACCACATCAGCACAGAGAAGTAATCGTCAATTCAAATCCAATAGTAGAAGAGGTAGTAAGGGAATTAGAAATAATCGGAGAGGTTAGGATTAGAAGATATTATTATTCAAGAAGTATGATTCAGTGAGATAAGTTTAGAGAGTCGAAACCAGAGGTGTTGAAGAATCCAGAAGATTAGCATTTGAGAGAACACAGAGAATAAATGCAGCGGCGCCATTGCGAACGATTTTGAGCCATGTCATTCAAGGTCTCTAACCATCGATTATTATCATCTAGCGGACCCCAACCAGGTAGTCTACATCTACCAACATCACTCAGTCCACTAGTCAGTGACTTCATGGATTTCTGCCATGTTTTGGTTTGGCCGCCCCTACCTTTCTTCCAACCTATTCCTACACTACAAAACAAGGCTCGACGAGGCAGCCGGTGGTTGGGCATACGTAACACATGTCCCAACCACCTCAACTGGTGAAGTTTCACTACTTCGTCGATTGATCTGCCATTCTTACCTAGCACCCGATTCCTAATAACAGCGTTGTTCACTCAGGTGTCCCACGATATACGAGCAATGCTTCGAAGACACCTATGATCGAAAACCAATAACCTACGAATATCTTCTACTCTCACTGGCCATGTTTCACAGCCATAAAGTAAGACGGAGCGAACTACTGCACAGTACACTCGTCCTTTAGTCAGCAAACGGATATCTCGCCTACGCCATAAGTGACGCAGGTTGGCAAAAGCCAATCGAGCCTTCTGTATCCGTGCTGAGATTTCGTCAGTCACCAGGCCTTCGGCACTGATGAGACTCCCAAGATAAGTGAAGCGGTCTACACGTTCCACTACTTCACTCCCTATCACTAGTTCAGGTGCCGATGCAACCAAGTCTTGAAGCAACATTTTGCATTTCGAGGGGGAAAACCGCATCCCGAACATGCTTGCATTGTTGCTTAGGGTAGTCAGAAAACTCTGCATTTTGTCAGCGTCTTCACCAAGTAGGACAATGTCATCGGCATATTCTAAGTCAATAAGCGAGCCACCTGGTAGAAGGTCTACTCCTGAAAATGTAGACGAGGATAAGGTTATTTCTAGGAGCATGTCTATGATAAAATTAAACAAGAATGGAGAAAGTGGACATCCCTGACGGACACCACTTGATGTAGAGAATTCCGGTGACAGTTCGCCATAAGTTCTCACTCGACCAGTGGTGTTCGAGTAAAGAGCTTGTATAATGTTAATGTACTTCTTTGGTACACCTTTCAATGACAGACACTGCCACAGAACCTCACGATCAACAGAGTCAAATGCCGCCTTAAGGTCCAGGAAAACAACTATTGTAGGACGCCTAAATGTGTGTCTGTGTTCCAGGACCTGTCTGGGTGTGAAGACGTGGTCTATACAACCACGTCCAGGTCGAAAACCAGCCTGGTTTTCTCGAGTCTGCTCTTCACGAGCTTTCGTTAAGCGTCGAAGTATTATTGAGGCCAGTATTTTAGATACTATATTAGTTAGACTTATTCCCCTGTGATTGTCACAAGAAGACTTTTGTCCTTTCTTATAGATTGGGACAATCAAGGATTGAGACCAGTCGGATGGGATTACGTCCAGTTCCCAGATTCTACCCAAGATCTCAGTCAACCTAGCTGCTAAAACTGGACCACCATCCTTAAATATCTCAGGGGTCAGTCTATCAGGACCTGCAGCTCATCCTCGTTTCAGATTTCCTAACGCTTTCTCAACGTCATTAAGACTAGGGGGACTTAGGTCGATTTGCCATTCAGGATGACTGGAGATCGTGGGTAACCGAAGAGTGGCTCGTGGCCAGTTGAACTGATCCCTAAAGTGTTCTGCCCATCGATCCAGTCTCCTGGATTGAGAATGGATAATAAGACCATCCTTTTCCGAGATAGTCTCACTCACATTCGGGTTCTTAATACCAGTTTCTTTAATAAGGCGCTGCCTTTTCCATCGCTTTTGCTTTCGCCACCCACCATTGTTCGCGGTCGTTACGCAGACTTTTTATAAGTCTGTGCCTAAGCTGACTACGCTCTTCATCATGCTCAGAGTCAGGTGGGATGCGTTTTCGAGCATCCATCAGTTCGGTGGATGCGACTGAAATCCACGGCTTCATCCTAGCCTCATGGTTTACCTTCCTAGCAGATATCACTGCTGTTTCCACAGCCTTTTTGATATCATACCAACCTGTTTCTGGATGGGAATCGCTTGCATGGTTGCTTAACTCTCTTTCTAGTTGCTCCTGAAATATTTTCTTGGTTTGATGTTGGCTTGTTAGCATGTAGTGAGTCCTGTTATGTCTAACTCACAGGGCTCGGCCCTACTTTCTGGACAAATTAATTAGCCCACTTGTGAAGACAAGATCTTGTCAGTCAGTCATTTATATCTGCGTTACTTTTATTCGTCTGTGTATGCAAGCCTATCACGCTTATTCCATGTCTGACTATAAATTCTTAGTCATGTTTAATTGAAAAGAGTTAGCTCTCTCTCTTTCGACTTCTACACTTCAACTCACTTCAATTTCCTTTGCTTTGTTTGTATGATTTTCGTTGTCATGTCTGCACAGCTCGACGAGCTATGTTTTGTGGTGTAGGAGTAGGTGGCCAGACCAAAACATGGCACAAATCCATGAAGTCATTGACAAGTGGACTGAGTCATGTCGGTAGGTGTCGACTACCTGGTTGAGGTCCACGAGACGAAAGTCACCAATCGTTAAATACCTTGAACGAAATGGCTCAAAATCGTTTGCAATGGCGCAAGTGCATCCATTCGTTGTGCTCTCTCAAACCTTAATCTACCTTTGTCTTTCTAACCTTATCTCACTGAATTATACTTCTTGAATAATATCTTCAAACCCTAGTCTTCTTCATTTCCAATAATACCTCTACTATCTCTATCACTATGGGATTTGATTTGACATTTGCGTCTCTGTGTTAATGTGGTATGGCAACCTGAACTTATGTACATACGTACGAAGTTCTACGTTGCAACTAACTGACTGACTGACTGAATGAAACTCAGAAAAAATGAAGAAAGAATTTGGCATTTCTTACTTTAAAATCTTTAGGACATTGAATACGTAGATTTGGTTTAACACCATGTCCAACTAAATAGGTGATTGCTTCAGCAGGTAATCCTTTGAATGGATATTCATTAGTTAATAATTCATACCATACAGTACTACAAATTATAATTGAATAATCATGGTTAATTCAATAATACGGGAGTAGTAATAATTAAAATTACTGATAATAATAATAATAATCATAATAATAAGGTTTAAAATTGAATAGGTGAATCATTCAAGGAGGATTGAGATATAACTTTATAAATACTATGTTGATGTGTGATGGTGTAGTGCCTCCACATATAATATTCCAGTTCGCTTACATCCAGCTTGGTTAAGCCCTTTCGATTAATTTATTTAACCAAGCCAATATGTATTGAGAGCAACAATTTATATGTACCATTCGTTCTTATTATTGTCTGGTTTGTATGAGGAGCTCACATGACGTGTCTCACTTGACATTTTGACCTTGTCAACTATTCGTCGCTTTTATTCATGTATGCCTATTTCGCTTGTCGCATGCCTGTCTTATGTTTGTCTGACGATATATTCTTAGCCACGTTCAACTTCGCTTTGTGGTGTGTACCAAATAAACGTATTCAACATTACGAGTTCACCTTCTGATTTATAAACCGTCAGACGCTACTTAGTAACGATTGACTAGACGAGCTAATTACCGAGCTTTAGAACACGCAGATATTTGGCCACCACAATGGTACGACTGCCTCTTCGGGGCTATGTTTCGTAGTGTAGGAGTAGTAGGTTGGAAGAAAGTAAAGGGGCGGCCGAACTAAAACATGACACAAATCCATGAAATCACTGACAAGTGAACTGAGTCATGTTGGTAGATGTAGACTACGTGAGTGGAGTACGCGATACGACAGTAACTGATGGTTAGAGGCCTTGAATGACTTAGCTCAAAACTGTTTGCAATGACGCTGGCTCAATCACTATTTGTGTTTTCTGAAAATCGTAATCTTCTGAATACCTCATAACCGTTTATGTTATTCGTTTTAAATTGATTCCTCCGGGGTATACATCTCGAACGATATATTCGATCATTGATTTTTCGATTGCTGCTACTACTTCTACAATTATGGGATTTGAATTGACAATTTCGTCTCTCTGTGTGCCAATGTAGTATGGTAACTCAAACGGATGTACCTAATTACTTTTCCAGGGTTAGGGAATAAATATCGTTCTAAATTTTAATCAACTGAAAATTGACGAGAATTATTCATAACTCTAAACATTACCCAAACAAGGCTGAAATGAAAACTTGTAGTGCGGAAATCAAAAATCAATACCAGCTAGCATTTACTTTTTCAGTGTAAATGATAATAAGATTTTTAAATTAAACGTAGCCTAGAGCACAGCGTTGGGTCCTGACTATCTTGAACCCCCAACAGTGTTTACGCAAGTATTATAAGGATTACAGGAAAGATAGTGTTATCTCTAAAAGCATGTCTATGACAAGTTGAATAAGATTGGAGAAAGTGGACAATCTTGACGAATAATACTTGATGTAATTAGTTCCGATGACAGTTCGCCGTAAGCTCTAACTCGTCCAGTAAAGAGCCTGTGTAAGGTTAGTGTACTTATTTAGTACACCTTTCAATAACAGATACTGCCATACAACCTCATAATCAACAGAGTCAAATGTCACCTTTAAGTCAAGGAATGCAAATATAATAGGATGGGTTTACGTTCCAGGACCTGCGAATTTCTGATCTTTACAGTCACCTGCAGGTGTGAAAACAGCCTGGTTTTCTTTAGTCTGCCCTTCACGAGCTCTCGTTAGGCGTCATAGTATTACTAAACGCAATATCTTAGACACTATATTACTTAAGCGAATTCGTTTGTAATTAACACAGGAGGACTTCGGTCTTTTTTCATAAACAGGGAAAATCAGTAATTGAGACCAGTCAGATTCTACCCAAGCTGTCAGTCAATCCAACTGTTAAAACTGAACCACCATCCTTAGAAATTTTTTTCAGCGATTAACCTGTCAGGTCCCAAACACGACAGAACCTACAAAAACATATGTTCCAGACAAAATATTGCTCGATTGGTTCATCACGATAAGGCGAATCCAACAACCATGTCAAAGTAGCAGCGGTACGATCGGAATTTAATCATTTTTGTTTTGCCTTTGTTAGTGGTACATAGATGAAGTTAAAGCATGACTGCAACAGCTGCGCGCTGATTGGCTAATTTCCTATCCAATCAGCGCCTGATCGATTCTTGGAGAACAGGGTAGAAAATTCTCTTATTCATTTGAAATCATCAATCAATCATTGTTAGACCACCATTAGAAACCTGGAAGCACTGGACGGCCGTTTCGTCCTGGTATGGGACTCATCAGCAGTGCGCATCCACGACTCCTGCTCCTCGCAGGATTTGAACCCGAGACCTTAGGCATTGCAGGCGAACGCCTTACCATCGGACCACTGGGTCGGCTGGCATCCAACGGTGTTAATGTCTAACTCTGATTGATCTAGGGATTTTGTGCGACCTCACCCATTTGTCTTTGGTAGTTACTGCCTACACCCGACAAGGCTGAACTTCATTGGTCACGTCTTCTCAACTATAACTCCGAGAATTTCCTCACGAAGCTAGTCACTAGTGAGCACTATTACGATATTTTGGGGAACAGTTTTAGAGGTTTGCGTTTTTACACATTTGAAATCTCTTATTGTTAGAGCTGCATGCTGATTGGCTAAATCTAATCAAGCCGGTCACGTGAATTACTGACTATCCAGAAGCTTCTCATGTAAATGCTATAAATAAATTAACGTTCGCCTTCGCCATCACCTTTGGCTTCTTATTTCCATTTAACTTTGCTATTTTGGAATATAATCTTTACCTGTTCAACCGTGTTTTTTGATTCTTGGGAACTTGTCCAGTGCATTGTGTGGTCAGAGAATACTAAGCAATAGGATTTAGCTAGAAATTATTTAAGTAAGCGTTACAACAGCCTTGAATGAACAGACATCTCAACAATTCAACAATGACTTACCCAAATGCAAATACATCTGACGATGTAGTTAATGGTAATTCATTTGTGGTTGTAGTCAATACATAACTAATATTTAGTGTATGAATTATTTCCGGTGCAACATAACATAACCAAAATGGTGGAACATTTAAATAATTATTGCCCCATCTAGAAAAGAGTTGTTGTTTTAGTTTTTTGTCACATTCATGGAAACAAATAAAGATATACACAGGTAAATTATAATATCAGAAAAACGAAGGATATTCATCCAATATCCTAAGAGAATTATTGATCATATCCTATTGGCCGATTTCTATTGGTCAAAATTATGGTCAAGTACTTCAATGTTGTCTCTTATTGGTCATCCGGACTGTCAATGTCACTTCAAATGTTACTTCCTATTGGTCGTCTTAACTGTCAATGTCACAGATTTCGATGTTGTTTCCTATTCGACCAAAATGTATAAATACGCATAATGTGTAACGTTTAATGACCAGGACCGGGACCAGGTCTCGGATCCCTAGTCCGGGATCCTGATTCTCTTCTGGATTCGGACCTCGTACTTTCTGAATGCTTGTAGAATACCGGTTCTACTTCATATCACGTCTTCTTATTCTTACTCAATATGGGGGGGGGGGGGTTGGGATAAACGGATTTGAGTAGTATGTGTCACCGGATACTCGATCCTCGATCTCGTTTTCCGACTAGGTAAACTCGTAATAGTTCAAGTATATCAAGTTGACGTTGTTACGTGCAGCCGTAACAGAACTGACTCATCAAGAATGTGCATCACACGCGCAAGAACACTTTACTTCCGAATCATTCACATTGTGATGGTTGAGTTTCAATGTTAGACCACCGAAAGAAACCTTGAAGTACTGAATAGCCGTTTCGCCCAAGTACGGTACTCATCAGCAGTTAGCATTCACGACCCTCGCACGAGAGAACGTTTGACCTCTATACAAATGAGCCAGCATCTAACGATGTTCATATCTAACTTCCGTGAATCCACGGTCTTGCAGGACCTCTTCAATTATCTTTGGTGTGCACTACTTTACACCCAACAATGTTGAACTCAAATTCTCACTAGAACTTTCTCATGTTGAAGATCAACATCAGTAGTTGTGTTGTGTTGATGGCTAACGAATTCGTAGCATGGATTTATAGAGCACGATTGACATATTCTAACTTGCGACACTTGTAGCGTAGTTGCAATAGCCATCTATCAACCAAAAGATGAGTTTATTAAGTAGCAGTTCTAATCGTTTCATTTGTTGAAAGTGAAACATGCCCATTACGAATAGAAAATGTCCGTAGGCTACTAATATATATGTATATTCGCTGCGCCTGCACGTTAACACTTCAACTTGATATACTTGAACTATTACGAGTTTACCTAGTCGAAAAACGAGAGCGAGAATCGAGGATCCGGCGACACGACATGCTACTCATCGAATCCGTTTATCCCAAACCCCCCATATTGAGTAAAAATAACAAGACTTGATATGAAGTAGAACCTGTATTCTGCAAGCATTCAGAAAGTATGAGGTCGGAATCCAGAAGAGAATCAGGATCCCGGACAGGGTCCTGGTCGTGGAATTGACCCATAGGAATTGACTAATAATTCTCTTAGGATATTGGATGAATATCCTAACAATATTCGAATTATCGATCGTGTATTTTAAAACCACTGAGTGATCAAAGCTAAGGTTAATCAGACAGTACTAACTAAAAATAGTAAGTTGGTTGGTCAGATAGAGAATCTTGATCGAATGACGTCATCGGAGCATATTCTACGTATGCCCATCTACTACAAACTAACTCAGCAGGCAATGTCGCAGTTCATGGATAGGTTAGAAAACCAACCAACGACAACCGACAAACAATTTGACTGACCCATGTCTACCTGGTTCGAGTCCGCATAGCAATCGTGACCAATGGTATAACATTCAGCGATACAGGTCAGGATCCTTCACAATGACACTCACCCTTTGCCTTCTTTGACAATATGAGTCCGAAAATCACCATTGTTACAAACCTCCTACTTGTTCTGCAGTTGGTATTTATGACTTAAAATTCGTGAACACGTACACACACGCACACACACGCATACTTCGTTTCATAAATCCATTCATACACAAAAAAACGTACAAAACTTACTTTGCTTTTTTACATAATCGTACAAAATTGAATACACCAAAATCACCAATAACAACACGTGAATTATCTTCTAAAAATAAATTTCGTGTTTTTAAATCACGATGTACTATGCCTTTTGCATGTAAATAACCCATACCTTTAGCTATTTGACTAGCTATACTGATAGTACGATTAATTGGCATTATGGTATCACGATCATGAATTAAATGATATAATGTTTCACCCTTGTAATTACGTAATTGATTATGTATAACAAGAGAGAAAAAAATAAAAAAATAGTAGATAGATATGTTCAACAGAAAAAAAAAATCACATGATCACAAGACTGTTTTTTTGGCATGTAATTACGAAAATTACAAAAGTTAACATACATTATGTAAGAAGATTAGTTATAATAATGTCAAGGGTCTAACGCAGAGTCTTGTGACTACCATGAGCAACAATGCGAGCATGTTCATGATGCGGTTTTCACCCTCGAAATGCAAAATGTTGCTTCAAGATTGGGTTGCATCGGCACCTGAACTAGTGATAGGGAGTGAAGTAGTCGAGCGTGTTAATCGCTTCACTTATCTGGGGAGTCTCATCAGCGCTGATAGCCTGGTGACTGACGAACACTTAGCGCGGATACAGAAAGCTCGATTGGCTTTTGCCAACCTGCGTCACTTATGACGTAGGCGTGATATCCGTTCGCTAACCAAAGGACGAGTGTACTGCGCAGCAGTTCGCTCCGTCTTACTTTATGGCTGTGAAACATGGCCGTTAAGAGTAGATGTTCGTAGGTTACTAGTATTCGATCATAGATGTTTAAGAAGCATTGCTCGTATATCGTGGGACAATCGAGTAAGCAATGCTGTCGTTAGGAAACGAGTACTAGGTAAGGATGGCAGATCAATAGATGAAGTGGTGAAACTTCATCAGTTGAGGTGGTTGAGACATGTGTTACGTATGCCTAACCACCGACTGCCTCGACGAGCTATGTTTTGTGGTGTAGGAGTAGGTTGGAAGAAAGCTAGGGGCGGCCAGACCAAAACATGGCACAAATCCATGAAGTCACTGACAAGTGGACTGAGTCATGTTGGTAGATGTAGACTACCTGGTTGGGGTCCGCGAGACGAAAGTCACCAATGGTTAGAGACCTTGAACGACATGGCTCAAAATCGTTTGCAATGGCGCAAGTGCATCCATTCGTTGTGCTCTCTCAAATCCTAATCTTCTGGATTCGTCAGCACCTCTACCTTTGTCTTTCTAACCTTATCTCACTGAATTATACTTCTTGAATAATATCTTCAAACCCTAGTCTTCTTCATTACCATTAATAACTCTACTATCTTTATCACTATGGGATTTGATTTGACATTTTCGTCTGTGTGCTAATGTGGTATGGCAACCTGAACTTATGTACATACGTACGAAGTTCTACGTTGCAACTGACTGACAAGGGTCTAACAATGAAATAAATGTGTCAAGAAGGATTCGAACTGGTGAGTTTTCAAAGTTGAAACTTGACTAGCCTTGTAGTGAACGAGAACACAGGTGGGGCGACCGAATTGTATTTAACGAAAATTACAGAGTTACTCAGTAAAATAGGGAAAACCACATCGTAAATCGTTAATTTGCAAAATATCAGTCCATCATATCGAACTGGACTGTTCCTGTTGCAAAACATCAATCCATTGTCACTATTCATGCGTTTCACACAAATTCCATTGTTTTCTAACTCTTCCTTTCTTGATCTTCTCCCCATCTTCGGCCTCCAGACATTACGTTGACGCTCACGTCATATACCACTTATAAGTAGCTCACACCACAATATGACTGAGTCAGTCAGTGAGAACGAAAGAGTAAACGAGTTGACATCGCATGTGCTTTGTTTCGATGTTAGATAATTGGAAGTAGATTGGCAGTAAACCCTGTCAGTAAACCACATTAGGTTTTCTTCATGGAGGATTTGAACTCGTACCTAAAACGTTGTAGGTATCACAATCTCGCACAATAATTAACTAACCCAAGTATCGTTGTACTATACAATAGGTCAGATCAGTTTTTGTCGCGAACGCTAGAACGCCAGAACTCACTTGGAAAAGGTCCTAATTTTGTGATTCATAGCTGAAATCTTGACTTTTTATGTTTTTGCGCATAAGACGCTTAGTTGACCTTCAGCTTACACTTCTAACTCGGATAATTCTTGACAGCTATTGGTTGATGGATTATTTTAGTACGCTATTTTGTGGCTCACAACAAGGGCGTTTTATAAGTTGTGTAAATAAGCTTGAATTGTGTGCTTGGGAACCTCAACCTTTCTAGGTGATTGTGGAATACATTCCCATGCTCTAGTGAAAGGGGCCTGAGACAATCGGATTAGAATAGCCTATCGTGTCACTACATCGTTGATCTTCGTTCCGTAAGTGAGTAAGGTAAACTCCTAATAGCATTCAAGCATATCAATTTGTAATTGTAGAAATGCTTGACGTGATTTTAAATAAAACAGAGAGCACCAATTGCCTGTGTAGATTACAGGCATACTGCAGAGATGAGGGTATCACCTAGATTATATAACCAAGGGGGGTTAAGGATTGGCTGTCAACTACTTTAAAACAAGTTAACTCTATAAAAATACTGTTTAAAAAATCAACAACATCAAACTTACTCGACTAAGTTGTGTAACAATCGCTAAATCTGGTGCTTTCATACAAGCACCCATAAACAGTACTAAATTTTCATGACGTGTTTTATGCAATAATGCAACTTCACGTTTAAATGCTTCAACACGTATTGAATCGTCAACATCTTCTGGATCAAAATCAATACGTTTAATAGCTACTTCACCATGCCATTTACCACGATATACAGTGCCAAATGTACCACGACCAATAATTTCACCAATAAATAAATTCTCCATTGGTATATCCCATTCTTTTAATGTTACTGATATCTAATAAGAAATGTATATATACAAACAATCAAGATGGAAATAATCAGATTTGATTTTGATTAGTAAGAATTTACAGTGTATTAGCCGCGGCAGCAGCCGCACCAAGCTCAGCAGCAATAGGCCTCAATGTATACTAATCAAATCATACATGACGGAAGATGTAACAACTTTTATATGTCTAGGTAGCATCACTGATGAACAAGGTGGATCGGATACAGAGATATGAAGGCGAGGAACGGTAAAGCAAGGGAAGCGTTTCTAGAATTCGAACAACACCAAAGTCAGTATTTCCAACACAAATGTCAAGACAGTTCTACTGAATGGAGAGGAAACTTCAGTCAGGGTATGCTGTTACGGGTATGAGGGCGGTTATAACTTCCCGGGCGCCCACACCGTGGAAGGTTGTTTCTTGAGGGACCTGAAAAGGAAGATAAATTAGTGTTGGTCTTGGAGACGTGGGAGTGTGACCGCAGAGTCAAAGGGACAACTGCTTGAGGCCGGTCACGCACGGCCTTTTTATGAAAGGTTTTTTGAGGATTAGATCCGTTCTTAAAGGCCCTTAGTGGGCACCCTTACCCAAGGAGACGGAAATCCGTGAGGTAGGGTGAGGTGTGACATTTTTAGGGTCGACTAACCCTTCCTTCCTTGTGAGAAGGCAGCATTGCTGCTGCTTTTAGTCTCATCGTTCTGCAATCGACCTGCCTGGCATGGTAGAACCTTCAGGAACATATGTTCCAGCAAAAATAGCTCGATAGGCTAGCCCGACCACCACGTCAAGTTAGCAGATTCGGTTGGGGAGGAAACTTGGTGAATCACGAAAGCCATCCTCTGGAAGATATAGGTATTTATTAACAATTGTCTACACAGAATACTTCGGATCCTCTGGTCAGACATCATCAGTGTCAACCTACTGTGAGAGAGAACAAACCAGATTCTAGCGGAAGAAGAGGCGGAGGTGGATAGGACATTCATTGAGGAAAGCATTCAACTGTGTCACTTGGAATTCTCGAAGCCGAAAGAAAAGCGGAAGACCAAAGAACATATTACGCCGAGAACCAACTATTAAAAACCAGAAAGTATTGAGAATTATTTCATTCTAGTATGCAAACCCCTCTTAGGAGTGCGTATTCATAGTCTGAGTATTTTGAGATGAGTACTTTAACCTGTATACACCACATCTTCACACTACGACAGGTCCTGGAACACAGACACACATTTAGACGTCCGACAATAATTGTATTCATGGACGTAAAAGCGTCATTCGACTCAGTGGACCGTGAGGTTCTGTGGCAGTGTCTGTCATTGAAAGGTGTACCAAAGAAGTACATTAACCTTATACAAGCTCTCTACTCGAACACCACTGGTCGAGTGAGAGCCTATAGCGAACTGACTAATAAAGTTTAAGTCTTGGCTTAACACTCACTTTTCCTCTTATCAATGTTGTAAACATCCCTGGTACCACGAGAATACAGTGAAGAGAACTTGACTGGCAGTATTTGTTATATATATGCGCATGGCACAAATCCATAAAGTCACTGACAACTGGATTGAGTCATGTTGGTAGATGTAGGCTATCTGGTTGGGATCATCGAGACGAAAGTCACCAATGGTTAGAGACCTTGAACGATATGGCTCAGAATCGTTTGCAATGGAGTAGGTGCATCCACTCTTTGTGTTCTCTCTAATTCTAACCTTCTGAATTCTTCATCATCTCTGTTTCTCCTTCTAAATTTATCTCACTGAATTATACTACTTGAATAATATCTTTGCTCCCTATTCTTCTGAAAAGGGAAGCCCAGGACAGAGTTGGTTGGAGAAAACTGGTGAGCGGCCTATGCTCCATTGGGGGTAACAGGCGTAAGTAAGTAAGGAAGTCCCTAATCTTCTCCATTACTGCTAATACTTCTACTATCGCTATCACTCTTGGATTTGAACTGACAGTTACTTCTCTGTGTTGACGTGGTATGGCAACCTGAACTTATGTACATACGTATGAATTTCTACGTTGCAACTGACTTTAACCTACAGACACCAATTGAAGTAGTCGAAGACTTGTCTCTTAGTCTTGAACAATTCAATTAATCCATTCTCGTCGAGTTATTCATTTATATTTTGTCTTTTATTCACTAATAACCTTGCTTGTTTTTCACTCGAATGTGCATGTGCATACTCACTCCGCTGATTGCATGTTTGGCCTATTTTCGTTTGACTATAAATACTTAGTCATAACCTCAGTACGATGAGCTTGCGCGCTCACCTTCTCCACTTTGCTTTGCTTTACTTTCGTTGTACGCTTTTCATTCTTATATCTGCTACACGAACGATTGCTTAAAATAAGAAATTGATTCAACCCAATTCGTAATTGACTTCTATAATTACCTCTATCGCATAAAACGAGGTTCGCGTAAGTATGGTATATATGAATATGCATTACGGGGTTGTGAAGATTGTTAAGTTGCACATTTTTGAAACCATCAATCGATCAATGTTAGACCACCATTAGAAAGCAGGAAGCACTGGACGGCCGTTTCGTCCTGTTATGGGACTCTTCAGCAGTGCGCATCCGCGACTCCTGCACCCCGCAGGATTCGAACCCAGGACCATCGGTATTGTGCGCGACACCAGCTCAGTGGTCTAACGGTTAGGGCGTTCGCGCACAATACCGGAGGTCCTGGGTTCGAATCCTGCGGGGTGCAGGAGTCGTGGATGCGCACTGCCACTGATGACTCCCATACCAGGACGAAACGGCCATCCAGTGCTTCCAGGTTTCTAATGGTGGTCTAACATTGATCGATTCATAGTTTCAAAAATATATGAATATATCAAGAAATTGATGCGAAAATCTATTTCAGGTCACAGTTTGATTGTTCATAAAGATAACAGCCAAAGTTAGATCGCTGGCCACCAGCTACACTACTGAGTCCTTCCTACATGTCCATTTTAAATGAGGTCACTAAAACACAGCATTGTCGAAACGCGTCACTGCTGTGGCTAAACTTATTTTATTTTTTCACGAAATGACATCAGAGATCTTTTTCACCGATTTCGCAATCATCATCATCACTAACCTAATATGGCGAAAATCATGAAAACTACACACACACACACACACACAATTCATGTATGTCTCAATAAACTATCTTATTTAAAAAAAAGACAACTTACACTATTAGTTCTCATTAAAGATGATTCGTCTTGACTATCCATTGATTCAAAACGACGTACCGCATTCTGAGTAAACATTTAGAAAGCAAAAAAATCAACAATAAATAAAAAAGGAAACAGATAGAATTACCAAGATGTGTATACTTGTGTGTGTGTGTACAAGAGAGAGAGAGAGAGTGAGCGGGAGTAGGCTGAGATATTGGAATATAAGTAATACATATTACTATATTTGGTAACAAGAAGAAAATTCGCATTTGGATTTTTGTATACAAATAAACATAATTAATTCATGAAAAGATTATCAATGGTAACGTGAAATTCATAGGGGAATCTCTTTCAAGTATATACTCGTGGGACAACCGAGTAAGTAATGTTGTCGTTAGGAAACGAGTACTAGAGGTAAGGATGGCAAATCAATAGATGAAGTGGTGAAACTTCATCAGTTGAGGTAGTTGGGACATGTGTTACGAATACCTAACCACCGACCTCCTCGACGAGCTATGTTTTGTGCTGTAGGAGTAGGTTGGAAGAAAGTTAGCGGCGGCCAGACCAAAATATGGGACAAATCCATGAAGGCACTGACAAGTGAACTGAGTCATGCTGGTAGATGTAGGCTACCTGGTTGGGGTCTGCGAGACGAAAATAACCTTTGGTTGAAAACCTTAAACGACGTGGCTCAAAATCGTTCGCAATGGCGCAAGTGCATCCATTCGTTGTGTTCTCTCAAATCCTAATCTACCTTTGTCTTTCTAACCTTATCTCACTGAATTATACTTCTTGAATAATATCTTCAAACCCTAGTCTTCTTCATTACCATTAATACCTATACTATCTTTATCACTATCGGGTTTGATTTGACATTTGCATCTCTGTGCTAAAGTGGTATGGCAACCTGAACTTATGTACATACATACGAAGTTCTACGTTGCAACTGACTGACTGATAAGTATACTGAAGTATGAAGATTGACTAGAAATTGTTGGAAAACACACTGTTTGAAAAGCCAACTTCGGGAAGTAAATGCAATGAGTCAGTCAGTCAGTCGTACTTACATCAGTTCAAGTTGGCACTCCACATTAGCACACAGACAAATGGAATGGTCAATTCAAATCCTATAGTGGTAGAGGTAGAACAAGTATTACCAGTAATCAGAAAAGATGAATGCACTTGCACCATTGCAAACCGTTTTCAGTCATATCATTTAAACTCTCTAACCATTAGTTACTATCGTCTCATGGACCCAAACCAGGTAGTCTACATCTATCAACATGATTCAGTTCACTTGTCAGTAACTTTATGAATTTAAGCCATGTTTTGGTTTCACCACCCTTAGCTTTCTTCCAGCCTACTAATCCCACATCACAAAACATAGCTCATCGATGCAGTTGGTGGTTGAGTTTGAGTAACATATGTCCCAACCACCTCAACTGATCGCCGAAGGATGATGACTGACATCATGAAGAATCGTTTCAATATTCAACAAATCATCTTAAAACTACAATGGTAGAGTAATGGATCAGTAAGTACAGGTGTATGCATGCACACAGCAGACCACTATCGCTAGTGTTCAAAGAGGTAGGTATACAACGAATTCATACATGGTAGATGAGCCTATCATCAACATCATCATTATAATAATACAGAACCACAGATGGTAAGTAGGAGAGGTGAATATAGTTTTAACTAAGTGTTGGATACGTTAAATCCCCAGAACTCACTGGGAAAAGGTCCTAATTTTGTAATTTATTGCCGAAATTTTGATTTACTTTTTATGTTTTCGCTCCAAGAGACGCTTAGTTGATCTTCAGCTTACATTTCTCACACGGAAAATCTTTGAAAGTCAGTGGTTGACGGATTTTTTTAGTACGCTATTTTATGGCTCTCCCAAGGACGTTGCTATGATTGTATAAACAAGCTCAATTTGTGTGTTTGTCAACCTCTTTATTTCTGGGTGCTTGTAGAATACATTTTCTACGCCTAATCAAAACTTCTTGTTATACTTATCAGGGCCGTGGAAAATCGAATCAGGATAGCCTATCGTGTCACTGGATCATTTGTCTTCATTCTCGTTTACCGACTATAAGGAACTCGAAATAGTTTCAAACATATCAGTTGACGAGCATATAACTAAGTGTGTATGCAAATTCTTCAACAAGTCAGTCAGTGTTAAAGATTACAATTTATTGAAAATCAGAGAGCCCTTAAATATCAGTGGATTGAATAAAATGTACTCTGCTATGAATAATAAGATACTTACATCAACAACAGTCTGTTCACTTTCTCCAGATGAAACAGTACTATAATAAAGAAACAGTGAAACATATAAGCAATTTTCAAAAGTTTCATATGAAGAATTTTGATTGAGTTAAATGAATAACAGTATAAAAATTTTAAATGATGTAACCAGTCAGATGTAAGGAAAATGGATAAGTAAAAAAATCGTCGGCGATCGCGCCAAACCCCGAATCGAACTCGGGATCTTCAGTCACATACACGAACGTTTAACCTGTTAACCAATGTAAGTCGAAATTCAGTAGTGCCCATGTCGAACGAACATAATCAATCACCCACAACATCGCGGAACTTCACTGTTTACGGAATTGTGCAAGACCAAAGATCTTAGTTTCGAATCCAGGTTGTTTCGGTCATAGATGTGTATTGCTGAGGAGTTCCGTTTTAAGATGAAACGGCTATTCAATGCTTCTAAGTTTTCGATGACGGTCTCGAGAATTCCACGACTAATAGACTGACTACTTCTAGATGATGACGTCACAGCTCCGTAATATTTCTTACATCCATAAAATACATGTTAGCATGTAATTTTATTGAATCTATCAACTTCTACAGACGAGACCAGACAGACAGATACAACGCAGAACTTCGTACATAAGTACATCAGTTCAGGTTGCCATGCCCCATCAGCACACAGACGCAACTGTCAGTTCAAATCCAACAGTGATAGCAATAACAGAAGTATTAGCAGTAATGGAGAAGATTAAGGAGCGAGGATATGATTCGAGAAATATAATTCAGTGAAATAAATTTAAAAGGAGAAAGATACAGATTATGAGGAATGCAGAAGGTTAGAATTAGGGAGAACACAAAGCGTGTATGCACCTGCGCCTTTGCAAACGATTCTGAGTCATGTCGTTCAAGGTCTCTAACCATTGGTGACTATCGTCACGCGGACCCCAACCAGGTAGTCGACATCTACCAATATGACTCAGTCCAATTGTCAGTGATTTCATGGATTTCTGCCATGTTTTGATCTGGTCACCGCTAACTTTCTTTCAACCTACTCTTACACCACAAAACGTAGTTCGTCGAGGAGGTCGGTGGTGGTTAGGCATACGTAACACATGTCCCAACCACCTCAACTGATGAAGTTTCACTACTTCATCTATTGATTTGCCATCCTTACCTAAAACTCGTTTCCAAACGATAGCAATGCTTACGGAATTATTCAAGACCGAAGATCTTAGTTTCGGGTCCAGGTTGTTTGGGTCATAGATGTGTATTACTGAGGAGTTCCATCTTAAGATGAAACAGCTATATTCAGTGCTTCCAAATTTTCAATGATAGTCTAACATTGATTGATAATAATTATCTCAAGAATTACACAACTACTAAACTAACTCTTTCTAGATGATGACGTCACAGCTCCACACTATTTCTTACATTCAACTTAAAAAATACATGTTAGCATGTAATTTTATTGAATCTATCCAACTTCTGTGGTGCGAGCTACTTATAAGTAATATATAACGTAAGTGTCAAACGTAATGTCTGGCAGCAGAAGATGGGGGAAGATCAAGAGAAAGGAAGAGTTAGAAGAACACAATGGAATTTGTATGAAATGCATGAATAGTGACAATGGATTGATGTTTTGCAACAGGAACAGTCCAGTTCGATATGATGGACTGATATTTTGCAAATTAACGATTTACGATATGGTTTTCCGATTTTACTGAGTAACTCTGTAATTTTCGTTAAATACGATCCGGTTGCCCCACCTGTGTTCTCGTTCACTACAATTCTACGCAATAATAATAATAATAATCATTCATCGTGGTGTATTTTTGGACACACACAGAGTTAGATATTATGCGCACATTTAAACACACTTGTTTTTTGACAATAAACTGGGTAACAATTTACAGAGAAAGAGAGAGAGAGAGAAAATTTTTTTTTTCATATTTTTCCATCAAGACATCATGACCAAATTGCATACACTAAATTTCTATGATTACTCAATTTGTTGGACAAAATATGATTACTGTTTTCGTTTTATTGGTTAATCATGTGACTACTGAATCGTAAATTTACAAAGAATATGTATACATGACTTTATTATCATGTGAATAAATATTACATTGAATTGAATTGAGAATTGAAAATATGTTATTGATAATAATAGGTATCATAATAATAATAATAATATTGACTATTGAAAGTTTGTTCATGATAAACATTGATCAATTGAACTATATAATTACTAACAATAACAAAAAGTAGAACAATCTTTGAACTGATACAGTTGAGAATGCGAAGAGTTTACTCTCTCTGCCTCTCTCCCGAAATGCTATCATACGGTTATGCGCATATATCAGTCAGTCAGTTGCTACGTAGAACTTTGTAAGTAAGTACATTAAGTTCATGTTGCCATACCACATTAGCACACAGACGCAAATGTCAAATCGAATCCCATAGTGATAGAGATAGTAGAGGTATTAATGGTAATGAAGAAGACTAGGGTTTGAAGATATTATTCAAGAAGTATAATTATGTGAAATAAGGTTAGAAAGACAAAGGTAGAGGTGCTGACGAATCCAGAAGATTAGGATTTGAGAGAGCACAACGAATGGATGCACATGCGCCATTGCAAACGATTCTGAGCCATGTCGTTCAAGGTCTCTAACCATTGGTGACTTTCGTCTCGCGGACCCTAACCAGGTAGCCTACATCTACCAACAAGACTCAGTCCACTAGTCAGTGTCTTCATGGATTTGTGCCATGCGCATATATATAACTAAAACTGCCAGCCAAGTCCTCCTCACTGCATTCTCGTGCAGCGAAGGATGTTTACAAAATTCAGAAGATGAAAAGTGAATGTTAAGCCAAGACTTAAACTGCATCGGTGAGTACAAACAATCCATTTATGGGAATCGGAAAACCATCATTCCAAACACTATTGGTGTAAATGGGGATGAATGTATTAATGGTCAACGGTTAACAGAAGACTGCATCTCCCCACGTTATGGATTAGACTTTTTAGACCGGCGGTTCAGGAAATTTTCACCTAAGAAAACCGACAGTTTTGGCATGGGCGTCCAGGGAGTATCTCAGTCCACTCAAAAATCCAATGATTTTTGTGACGTAACCTATAAATATTCTCTACTCTTACTGGTCATATCTCGCCATCCGTATAATAGCACGGCACAAACTGCTGCATAATAGACTCTTCCTTTAGTTACCAAACGGATATCTCGCCTATGCCATAAATAATGCAAGTAGGTGTAAGCCAGTTGAGCCTTTTGTGTTTGTGCTCAGATTCTGTCACACACGAGACCATCAGCTCTGATGAAACATCCAACATAAATGCAGCGATCAACACGCTCAACTACTACCGATGCACGTCAATCCTGAAGCAACATTTTACATTTCAATGGAGAGTATCTCATCCCGAATATGCCTGTATTGTTCCTTGAAGTGGTCAGAAGACCCTGCACTAGACAAAACCCAACTGAGTCGAGATTAACTACGCCTGTAGACCCTTCGGGGCTACTGCCGGTCCCAAGCCCGCATAAAGCAGGAGGGTTGGGTATGGGGTTAGCGACCCCATCCTGTCAAAAAACTAACTTGCCAAAACAACGCTAACCAGAAGAAATAATTCAAACCACATAGTATTCGGAGAGAAAACACCGATTGTTTTCCGGAAATGTTAAAAAAGGGAAGTACAAAAACAACTCTCCCATATTGTATCAAAGTATTGATCTGTTGGAAATGTAAAAGGCAATCAATCCGATATACATTGAATACTCACTCACCTAATTAAAGCATGATTGTTATCATTAATAATAGTAATACTATTATTATTATTAGTAATATTATTACTATGATTATTATTACTAATAATTATATTATTACTATTATTATTAATATTTAAATTTCCATCAACCAATTGATTTTCCATAATGGGATGATTGACATCTGAAATAGAATACAATAGTATACAATACACATTGAGTAAACATGTATGTTCTGATTAACAACCATACATACATGTAAACATTACACAAAGTAAACTCTTCATTGTTATATACTTAAACGCATACAGAAAAAAGACAACAGTGGAAAGTACCATATGAAAGTTATTATGTGCTCTGTTAGTGGTATGACGGTAAATGTCAATTGCCGGCTGCTTACACTGTGGAAGAGTGCTTCTTCAGGAACATGAAAAGGGAGGAGTTGGATTCGTGTTGATCTTAGTGACCTGAGAGAGTGACCACAGAGCCCAACGGACAACTACTTCTGGTTGGTCACTTACGACCTTTCTACATGACGCTTTTGAAGTGTTAGCTCCGATCTTCAAGTATCCTTACCACCGGAGACGGAGACCCATGAGGTATTGTGAGGTGTGACATTTTCAGGGTCGAACTTTTCTAACCTCTTCCTTCCTTTTCAGAAGGCAGCATCCCTGTAGATGCTGGTTGTCCGAGGGAAACACCTTACTGCTGTCACACCCCTCTGAAGTTAGCAGTACGAACCCAACCGTAGCTGCTACCTTGACGCGGTGGTCGCGCTTGCCTATCGTGACGACCCAACTGAGCTATATTGGCTGGAACTCATGTTCCTGAAGGTTCTACCATGCCAGGAAGGTCGATTGGAGAGCGATGAGACTAAAAGCAGCTACCCAACGTCTGAGGGCGAAGTCGTACTGCTGACTGACTGCAGAGGGGTGTGACAGAAGTAAGGTGTTTCTCTTGCACAACCAACATCTGCAGCGATGCTGCATTCTCACAAGGAAGGAATGGTTAGAAAAGGTTGACCCTAAAAATGTCACACCTTACCCTACATCACGGATTTCCGTCTCCGTCGGTAAGGGTGCCCACTAAGGGCTTTCAAGAGCGGAGCTAATACTCAAAAATCCTTTAATAAAAAGGCCTCAAGCAGTTGTCCCTTGGGCTCTGCGGTCACGCTCCCATATCTCTAAGCCCAACCCTAATCTATCGTCCTTTTCAGGTCCCTCAAGAAACAACCTTCCACGGTGTGAGCAGCTGGGAAGTGACAACTGCCCTCATACCCGTAACAGCACACGAGACCAAATTGGTCGAAATCAAATCCTTTCTACACCCCCTATTATCTCTCTTATCTCCACGACTAACTCTAGTCACATTCCTTTATCTCACTGCACCGCTAATGCATACAATGCAAGTGACTGAGCAGCTACGGTTGGACGTTTTAATTTACTTTATTTACAAGAAACTACTCTTACTCCAAACATTTCACCAACGAATCACTTGATGATCTACTAACCCTGTCGTGTCATAACTACAAGTAATTAAACTATTTATATCTGGAGAGTCAATATCTGCATCCACTGTTTGTGTTTTCTGAAATTCTAACTTTCTGAATTCCTCATCATCTCTATCTTTCTCTTTCTAAGTTTATTTCATTAAATTACACTTCTTGAATAATACCTTCAAACTGTAATCTTCTCCATTGTTGATAATACTTCTACTAACTCTACTACTATGGAATTTGAAGTGACCATTGAGTCTCAGTGTGTTAATGTGTAATGGCAACTTGAGCGGATGTATGAAAGTACGTAGAAAGTTCTACGTTGTAATTGACTGACTAACTGAAGTAAGTAAGTAATTGTTAGGATATTCATCCAATATCCTAAGAGAATTATTGGTCTATTCCTATTGGTTAATTCCTACTGGTCAATTTTATGGTCGTCCTAGATATCAATGTCACGTGCTCCAATGTTATTTCTTATTGGTTATCCTGACTATCGATGTCACTTCCCATTGGTCGTCTTGACTGTCAATGTCACAGACTTCGATGCTGTTTCTCATTCGACCAAAATGTATAAATACGCATTATCTGTAACATTTTATGACCAGGAGCCGGATCCCTAGTCCGGGATCCTGATTCTCTTCTGCACTCGGACCTTGTACTTTCTGGATGCTTGTAGAATACAGGTTCTACTTCATATCAAGTTTTCTTATTTTTACTCAATATGGGGGTTGGGATAATCGGATTGAGTAGCATGTCGTGTCACCGGATCCTCGATCCTCCCTCTCCTATTCTGACTAAGGTAAACAACTCGTAATAGTTCAAGTATATCAAGTTGACGTGTTTACATGCAGGCATAACAGTAATTCAGTAAAATATATGCATATACATATTTATACCAAATATAAAATGAACAACAGTAAAGAAAAAACGAAAACGAAAAAAAATGCACATACTTGGAAATTCAAAATGATTGAAACATTGACCGGAATGTCGAGGAGAATGTGGCTGTTGTTGTTGTTGTTGATGTTGTGGTGTATGTATACTAACTGGTGAAGATAAATGACTTGAATTGGAATGATTAAATAGACAACCAGCGCCAACACCGACACCACTACTACTACTAATACTACTATTAGTAGTAGTACTAGTATTATTATTATTATTATTTTTATTGAAATTTCTTGCTGGAGGTGAAGATAATGAAATGAATTGACTAGTTGTACCACTTATACTACTATTATTAGTAGTATTAGTAGTAATATTAATATTATTATTACTACCATCGAAACGTGTACAATATGATGCTGTAGCCAATGTTGTACTACTATTATTGATCAATGATGTACTACCAGCACCAGTGACAAATGGTGAACCAGGTGTTGAACTTGTACATGATGAAGCACTGTTTGAATCGGAACTCTAGATGAATGAAAGAGAGAGAGGATAGTATTTTATGATCCGTTGAAGATAACTTACTTTTATGATCGTTATTATTATCGTTATCGGATTACGGGTTTGTATGAAGTTGGCCTTGAAACATACATTGATGGCACATCCGTTTAAGGTGATATATAATAACATCAACACAGGAGTACACTATTTATATAGACAGCTAATCGAAAGTGACCAAACGAGAAGGTCACCACTTCACGTGGTGATGAACAGAAATGTCTTAAAGGACGAATTCATTTTCTGTTAGGATATTCATCTAATATCCTAAGAGAATTATTGCTCAATTCCTATTGGTTAATTCCTACTGGTCAATTTTACGGTCGTCTTAGATATCAATGTCACAGACTTCTGTGTTGTTTCCTATTCGGTCAAAATGTATAAACACGCATTATGTGTAACGTTTTCAGGCCAGGAACAGGACCGGGTCGCGGATCCCTAGTCCGGAATCCTGATTCTCTTCTAGACTCGGACCTCGCACTTCTGGATTCTTGTAGAATGCAGGTTCTACTTCATATCAAGTCTTCTTATTTTCACTCAATATGGGGGTTGGGATAATCGGATTTGAGTAACATGTCATGTCGCCGGATCCTCGCTCTCATATTTTCCCACCAGGTAAACTCGTAATAGTTCAAGCATATCAAAATGATGTGTCTACGTGCAGTCATAACATTTTCCAAGGGGAAGGAATATATATACGTATACAAATGAGTATTATGTGGTACCCAAATAGGTAACCTCCTCCACTCTTGCCTTCTTGTATAAGTAGCCGGTTTGGGAGTTATTGAATCTCGGACACCGCTTATTATAACAGTTATAGCGATCGATTCTAAGCCATGTCATCCATCTATAATCCTTAGTCACAAAAATCAGGTCAACCGTGATCAGATGTTCTCTACCTACATGTAGAGTTGTCCTGTTTAGTTAAAATTAGTCAGCGATAACGTAGAACTTCCCACATGTGTACACTAGTTCAAGTTGCCATACCTCATTAGGACAGAAACAGATCAATTTGTCAATTCAAATACCATAGTAGTACAGGTAATAGCAGTATTAGCGGTAATCAAAAAGATTAGGATTCGAAGATATTATTCAAGTAGTATGATGCAGTGAAATAAACTTTAAAATAGAAAGATAGAAGCGATGACGGATCCAGAAGATTACAATTTGAGGAGAACACAAACAATGGATGCACCTGCACCATTGCAAACGATTTTGAGCCATGTTATTCAAAGTCTTTAACCATCAGTTACTATTGCCTCGACCAACCCCAACCCAAAGTAGCATACATCTGGTAACATTAGCTCAATCAAGTTGTCTAGTGACGTCATGTATTTCTGCCACGTTTTGGTCTGGCTGGCCCTATCATTCTTCAAACCTACTCCGACATCAAAAAGTATCTGTTGTCAAGGTAGTCGATCGTTAGGCAAAGAAAACACATGTCCCAACCACTTAAGCAATAAATTTTCACTACTTCATCGATTGATCTGCGATCTTCACCACGAGAACTGCTTACTCGATTATCCCAGGATATACGAGTCACGCTTCAAAAACACCTACAATCGAATACTAGTAACCTACGGATAACCTCTATCCTTAGTGGTCATGGTTCACACCCGTAAACTAATAGGACGGAGCGAACTGTTATCCTTTGATAGACAGTTTGAACAGTTCTCACTAAACTGATTGAGCAAAACAGAAATGATCTGAATGTCATTTAAATCATACATGTTAAAAAGTACCGATAATCAATTGTATTCATTTTGTACAAAAAAAGGATAATTTTACAGAAATAAAATAAAGTTATTATTATTATTATTATTATTATTATTATTATTATTATTATTGACTAACTTGAAATGCTGGTGTAGAATGTGCAGGACGAAGATTTGTTTGACTAGTTGTTAATACATTTGCATGCAATCGATGTGAAGCATTTGGAGAACCTTGAAATCAAGTGTATTACATAACAACAATAATAATAATAATCATAAAGATTTTGTCATTAAATCAAATTAAGTGTCAATTTTATTTTATGCAATCACATGTAAAATGTATATTCACAAATGTATTTCAATCACATTTCTGTTTAAACAGCATGTAAGCATGTTAATCACTACTATAAAAACGACCCTAGAAAAAAAAACCTAGGTGATTAACAGTAAAATATACCTTGATTTGTAACTTGTAAACACAGAAATAACACAGAGTAACTTTGGAATACAAGTAAATTCAACTGATGAATACTGAATAGGATGAAATGTGAGTTTCTAAATATTCTTGCTGGCTGGCTATATTCTATTTATTCTATGGAAGGTTTGTGTGTCATAAATGACTGCTGTATCAAGGCAATCCGAATAGGATACAGTCAGTCAGCTAGAACAAAGAACTTCCTACATGTACATACATCCGTTCAGGCTATCATACTCTATCAGCACAGAGACGCAACTGTCAGTTCAAATCCCATAGTGGTAGAGAGAGTAGAAGTATTAGCAGTAATGGAGAAGATTAGGGATCGAAGATATTATTCAAGAAGTATAATTCAGTGAGATAAGTTCAGAAAGAGAGGTGATGAGGCATTCTAAAGATTAGAATTTGGATGAACACAAAGATTGGATGCACCTACGCCACTGCAAACGATTTTGAGCCATGTCGTTCAAGGTCTCTAACCATCAGTTGGTATCGTCTCGCCGATCCCAAACAGGCAGTCTGCATCCACCAACATGACGCAGTCTAGTTATCAGTGACTTCATGGATTCGGTCGCCCGTAGCTTTCTCATAAACTATTCCAAAACAATAAAACAGCGCTCGTCGAGGCAGTCGGTGGTTGGGCATACGTGCCTGTTACCCCCAAATGGAGTATAGGCCGCCAACCAGTATTCTCCAACCTACTCTGTCCTGGAATGACAGTCTGCATTTGAACTCAACAGCTAAGTGGATAACGCGCGTCAGTCGTTTTAATATAAACAGTATACAGTTCCAGTCACAAACTCCATGAAACGCAAATACTAGATTCGCTCTCCTGCTAGCCACATTCAATACATTATTACGTAATCATATCAAAATATTCTTCCGAGTTATGCCTTACATGACTCATTTATCTATCTACTGTACATGTGACTGCATTCTACTTAATTTTAAGATGTATACACGTCATGTTATTATTTTATGTAATACAACTAGCTAGCTACCTTAGTTGTATGGTAAAGTTCAATGGGTACTTGAATCCAAATACTGTGAACATGACTAATAGTGACAAACATAAAGGTTGTTTGTGTTCAACAATCACCTCTTACACGATGAAATGAATCTTCTTGTTGAGTGAGTAATAACAAGTATTATTATAGATTGTATTTCACAAGTCAAACGTGATATTTATGAGAAAACAAAGAGCAACACAACTTGTTTACGATTGTTATCATTATTACTACTACTACTACTACTGTGGTGTGAGCTACTTATAAGTAGTATATGACGTCAGTGTCAACGTAATGTCTGGCAGCCGAAGATGGGGGAAGATCAAGAAAGGAAGAGTTAGAAGAACACAATGGAATTTGTATGAAACGCATGAATAGTGACAATGGATTGTGATGTTTTGCAACAGGAACAGTCCAGTTCGATATGATGAACTGATATTTTGTAAATGAACGATTTACGATATGGTTTTCCTATTTTACTGAGTAACTCTGTAATTTTCGTTAAATACAATTCGGTTGCCCCACCTGTGTTCTCTTTCACTACACTACTACTACTACTACTAAAACTACCTGTAAATTGTACAAAATGACATATACACATGATAAATGAAATGTAATTTTTTTAAATTTAATTCAATTAATAAAATAAACATTTTCAATTTGTTGTAACAAACAATTTACTAAAAACTTATAAAACATTTATAATAATCGAGGTAATGCAATACGAAGCTGACCCGTGTAAAGGGTTGAGCAAGCTCACAGCATTCGTCCGAAGGTGAAAAATACAGGTAATTTTATTGGTCTCAGTTTAGAGACCGTTGTAGATATTACACTGCAAAGAACAGATACTATGAATGATCTTAGCTCAGAGAGCCAAGAAGGAACAATGAAAAAAGGGAAACACCTTGACACTTCACTAAAACAATTTAGTTCAAGCAGTCAGTCAGTCAATTGCAACGTAGAACTTCGTAAGTAAGTACATCAGTTCGTGTTGCCATACGATATCAGCACTGAACGAGTTTACAAGAGACCAGGAATGACGTTTCGTGAACTCGCATAGTTTGCATTAACGGTGCAGTCAGATAAGGGAATGTGAGTAGAGTTAGTTGTGGAGAGAAGAGAGGTATTACCGGGTGTAGGAAGGATTTGATTTCGACCAATTCGATCTCTCGTGCTGTTACGGGTATGAGGGCGGTTGTCACTTCCCGGCTGCCCACACCGTGAAAGGGTGTTTCTTGAGGGACCTGAAAAAGAAGGTAGATTAGTGTTGGTCTTAGAGACCTGGGAGCGTGACCGCAGAGTCCAAGGGACAACTGCTTAAGGCCGGTCACGTACGGCCTTTTATGAAAGTTTTTTTGAGGATTAGCTCCGCTCTTAAAGGCCCTTAGTGGACACCCTTACCCAAGGAGACGGAAATCCGTGAGGTAGGTTGAGGTGTGACATTTTTAGGGTCGACCTTTTCTAAGCCCTTATTTCCTTGTGAGAGGGCAGCATCGCTGCAGATGCTGTTTGTCCGAGGGAGACACCTTACTGCTGTCACACCCCTCCATCACAGTCAGCAGTACGACTTTGTCCTCAGACGTTGAGTAGCTGCTTTTAGTCTGATCGTTCTCCAATCGACCTTCCTGGCATGGTAGAACCTTCAGGAACATATGTTCCAGTCAGTAAAGCTCGGTTGGGTCATCACGAAAGGCAAGTCCGATCACCACGCCAAGGTAGCAACTACGTTCGGGTAAAAGCCGGCGACACCCGGTATTCCCAGCCGGTCACCCACGCAAGTACTAACCGGGCCCAACGTTGCTTAACTTCGGTGATCGGACGAGAACCGGTGTTTTCAACGTGGTATGGTCGCGGATTGTTCTTTTTCTTCACAATAAGTCAATCAGCTGACCAACGTCGAACTTGGTACGTCTACGTACGTAGGTCATTTCAATTTGCCATATCACCACCAACACATTAGCACACAAAGACATTGAAATGTCAACTCAAATACCATATTAGTAGTAGAGGTAGTAGAAGTATTAACAGTAAACGGAGAGATTAGGGTTTGAAAACATTATTCCGGAAGTATAATCCAGTGAGATCGATTTTTGAGGAGAAAAGTGAAGGTGATGAGGAATTCAGGAGATTAGGATTTCAGAGAACATAAACAATGGATGCATCGGCGCCACTGCAAACAAATTTTCAGTCAAGTCAATCAGTTTCTAACAACCGTCAGTTTTGATTGTCTCGAGGATTCTAACCCCAAGTAGTCTACATCTGCATAGTCCGGTTTCCCATGACTTCATGGATATGTGCTATATTTTGGTATGGCCACTCTTAGCTGCTACCTTGATGTAGTGGTTGGGATTACCTACCGTGATGATCTAATCGAGCTATATTAGCTGGAACACCTATACCTGTAAGTTCTACCATGCTAGGCAAGACGATTTCAGAACGGTGGTACTAAAAACAACAACTCAAGGTCTGAGGGCGAAGTCGTACTGCTGACTGTGATGAAGGGGTGTGACAGCAGCAGTAAGGTGTTTACCTCGGACAACCAGCGATACTGCCTTCTCACAAGGAGGGAAGGGGTTACAAAAGGTCGACTCTAAAAATGTCACACCTCACCTTACCCCACTAATTTCTGTCTCCGGCAGTAAGGCATTTTATGAAGAGAGGAACTAACACCTTAAAAACCTCTCATACAAAGGCTGTGCGTGACTGGCCGGAAGCAGTTGCCCCTTGGGCTCTACGGTCACGTTCCTAGGTCTCCAAGACCAACGCTAATCCGGCAGTAAGGTGTTTACCTCGGACAACCAGCATCTGCAGTATTGCTGCCTTCTCACAAGGAAGGAAGACGTTGGTAAAGATCGACCCTAAAAATGTCACACCTGCTATCCTAACCACTACTTCATCAAGGGAACAATAAATTTTATTGCTTTAAGATTAAATAACTGCACATATCACAGGTGAAAAAGTACAATTTGATAGTATGGAAGACAAGTGTACTAGTAGTAGTAGTAGTAGTGGTAAGACCCGACCGTAGCTGCTACCTTGACGTGGTGATCGGGCTTGACTATCGTGATGACCCAACCGAACAATACTGGCTGGAACATATGTTCCTGCAGGTCCTACAAGGCCAGGCAGGTCAATTGCAGAACGATGAGACTAAAAGCAGCTACTCAAGGGCGAAGTCATTAGAAAAGGTTGGCCCTCAAAATGTCACACCTCAACCTACCTCACGGATTTCCGTCTCCGGCGGTAAGGGTGCCCACTAAGGGCCTTTAAGAGCGGAGCTAATCCTCAAAAAACCTTTCATAAAAAGGCCGTGCGTGACCGGCCTCAAGCAGTTGTCCCTTGGACTCTGCGGTCACGCACCTAGGTCTCTAAGACCAACACTAATCTATCTTCCTTTTCAGGTCCCTCAAGAAACAACCTTTCACGGTGTGGGCAGCCGGGAAGTGATAACCACCCTCATACCCGTAACAGCACGAGAGATCGAATTGGTCAAAATCAAATCCAGTGGTAAGAAAAATAATAAAATACACTAACAAAAGTTCTAGTCAATAAGTTGAACACTGGAATTTAATTGTAGGTCAAATAAGAAGTAACTGTCCACCGTGTGTGTTGTTATTTTAAAATATTCACAATGTATATATAGCAAAAATGAAAAATATTTTAAAAATTTAATAGTTGTTCTAGATTGGCATTTAAGTTTTTTCTAAATATAGAAACAAACTTATCAATGATAAATTAGTAATCTTTTTTTGCACTGTTTGATAGACAAAAAGAAAAATTCATAATCCCTTGATATCATTCATGAATGAATGATTGTTAGACTACCTCACCCTCGAAATGCAAAATGTTGCTTCAAGATTGGGTTGCATCGGTACCTGAACTAGTGATAGGGAGTGAATTGGTCGAGCGTGTTGATCACTTCACTTATCTGGGGAGTCTCATCAGCGCTGATACAGAAAGCTCGATTGGCTTTTGCCAACCTGCGTCACTTATGGCGTAGGCGTGATATCCGTTCGCTAACCAAAGAAAGAGTGTACTGCGCAGCAGTTCAGTCCGTTCTCCTATATGGTTGTGAAACATGGCCGTTAAGAGTAGAAGATGTTCGTAGGTTACTAGTATTCGATCATAGATGTTTCAGAAGCATTGCTCGTATATCGCGGGACAATCGAGTAAGCAATGCTGTCGTTAAGAAACGGGTACTAGGTAAGAATGGCAGATCAATAGATGAAGTGGTGAAACTTCATCAGTTGAGGTGGTTGGGACATGTGTTAAGTATGGCTAACCACCGACTGCCTCGACGAGTTATGTTTTGTGGTGTAGGAGTAGGTTCGAAGAAAGGTAGGGGCGGCCAGACCAAAACATGGCAGAAATCCGATGAAGTCACTGACTAATGGACTGAGTCATGTTGGTAGATGTAGACTACCTGGTTGGGGTCCGCGAGACGAGTCACCAATAGTTAGAGAACTTGAACGACATGTCTCAAAATCGTTTGCAATGGCGCAAGTGCATCCATTCGCTGTGCTCTCTCAAATCCTAATCTTCTGGATTCCTCAGCACCTATACCTTCGTCTTTCTAAAGTTATCTCACTGAATTATACTTCTTGAATAATATCTTCAAACCCTAGTCTTCTTCATTACCATCAATACCTCTACTATCTCTATCACTATGGGATTTGATTTGACACTTGCGTGCTGTGTGCTAATCTGGTATGGCAATCTGAACTTATGTACATACATACGAAGTTCTACGTTGCAACTGACTGACTCTGACCTCAATGTGGAATTCGCTTAGACGACACCTGTAGTACATGTCCGTGTTTCAAGATGCTGACATCAAGTGAATTATCATTGCTGTACAGTCATTTGACTGAAAAGTGATGACTCTTCTATTCGGTGAGAGATAAATTAAACTGATTCAATATACACCAGTGATAGACAGATACAACACAGAACTTCGTATGTATGTACGTACATCAGTTCAAGTTGCCATACCGCATTAGCACAGAGATGCAACTGTCATTTCAAATCCGATAGTGATAGCGAGAGCAGAATTATTAGCGGTAATGGAGAAGATTAGGGTTTCGAAGATATTATTCAACAAGTATAATTCAGTGAGATAAGGTTAGAAAGACAAAGGTAGAGAAAGTGCTGACGAATCCAGAAGATTGGGATTTGAGAGAGCTCAAAAAGTGGATGCACCTGCGCCATTGCGAACGATTCTGAGCCATGTCATTCAAGGTCTCTAACCACCGGTGACTATCGTCTCGCGGACACCAACCACGTAGCCTACATCTACCAACATGACTCAGTCCACTTGTCAGTGACTTCATGGATTTCTGCCATGTTTTGGTCTGGCCGCAACTAGCTTTCTTCCAATCTACTCCTACACTGCAAAACATAGCTCGTCGCGGCAGCCGGCGGTTGCGCATTCGTAACACATGTCTCAACCACCTCAACTGATGAAGTTTCACTACTTCATCTACTGATTTGCCATCCCTACCTAGGATTCGTTTTCTAACGAGAGCATTGCTTATACGGTTTTCCTATGGTACACGAGCAATGCTGTCGGAGATATCGATGATTGAAGACTAGTAACCTACAAAAGTCCTCTACTCTTAACGGTATAGTTGGACAGAGCGAACTGCTGCTCAGGAAACTTGACCTTTGGTTACCAAACGGATATCTCGCCTACTACATACGTGATGCAAGTTGGCAAAAGCCAATCAAACTTTCTTTATTCGTGCTGAGATTTCATTAAACAGCAGACCATTAGCACTGATGAGACTCCCCAGATAAGTGAAGCGGTCTACACGTTCGACTACTTCACTCCTTATCACTAGTTCAGGTGCCGATTATAGACAAATGATGTCATTGGATTTAATTTAATAAACGAGTAACGCATAAGTAAACTTCAATTCATTTGCTTATTTACACGTATCAATGTTTACCACGCGCAATATAAAGTTTAGATAAAACGTTTTCTCTTCACAAAACTAATCAAAAACAAAATCACTAACCTTTAAAATCGTGTAATTCATTGGTTTGTCCACCGGCAGGTCCTGTACAAGGTAGTCGTCTTGAATGAGAAACACAACTTTTATGTACTTTAATTCTATAATGTAAGCAACAAAAAAATACAAAGAAATAGAGGTCAAATCAGTTGATTTGTTCAATTGAAGAAAATTGTTTTAGTCTTTTCATACATAACAGTAGCTTAATTTGAAGATTTTCGTCATTAGTTGGTATAGACTAGCTAGGTTGGGGTCTGCGAGACAGTATTAACCAATGGTTAGAGTCTTTGAATGATGGATGACATGACATGACTCTCGAAATCGTTTTCAATGGCTCAGATGCTACAATTGCTTGTCTTCTCTCAAATTTTAGCGCGTTGAATTCCTCAGTGACCTTCAACTTTCTCTTCTCAAATCTATTTCACTAGATTATACCTCACGGTTGATATCTTCGACACTTAATCTTTTCGATGAGTGCTAATAATTCCACTACATCTACCACAAATGGGACTGGAATTGACAATCGCTGTGGTAATGTGGTGGCATGACATCTTGGACTGATGTACGAAGTCCTACGTTGTAGCTGAATGACAGACTGATTAATGCATTAGTTGGTTGATGTTTCCACATTTTAAATGAGTGCAGTGACGGAGAGAAGGGGGATTCAACAGTTTAAAGCAGTTAGAAAAGTAAAATGAAATCGTTTTCAAACCAGTCAATGAGGTAGTGCGTTTTCATTAACTGAGCCGATTAGTACATGCTCAATAATAATTCCATCCCACTGTGTTGAAGATGTGACAACTTGAACCAATGGTCAAATGTGTCGAATTCTATGTTGCTAATAACTAACTGAAATGAAATTACTGACATCATGAACCGATCAATGTTAGACTATCATGGGAAACATGGAAGTATTGAGAGGACATTTCGTCTTAGCATAGGACTCCTCATTAGTAGTGCACACCTACAACCCTGCAAACTGGAATCGAACACAGGACCTTCAAGGTCGTGCACGAACGCTTAACCTTTAGTCCACTTAGCTGGCATGTAATATTTTGAATGTCGAACTTTAGTTAATCCAAAGTATTAAGCGACCACTATCCATCGTCTTCGTTGCGTAACTGCCTTACATCCATCATGGTTGAACTCCGCAACCTTTATTAGAACTTTAGGAATCGTATCTAAGAGCTAATCACTAGTTAGTAAAAAGTTATTCTCAATGTAGAGTTTTAGAAATCGCTGAGTTTCATTGACTGGTTTATAAGTTTAATGAAACTCACTCCGCAGTTCTATTCATACAAACAAACAGTTAACCTAGAAGTAGCCGAACAAGAAAATCACTTGAAAATAAGCATCAAAATGGTTTTAAACAAAGAACGTGTATCACTAGCTGAGAAATCAATGTATTTGTACATACCGTTCGATAGCCGAATAGACTTTCTATTCATCTCTTGCTTTCTTACTCACGTAATCAGTTTAATGGGCGAGGGGGGGCGGAATGACCATAGCACGTAAGTGGTGGTACGTTTCAATTTTAAACAACGTCTATCAGGGTTGCACGTACAATATTGAATTTAAACATACAAATGTGTATAGGATAAGTATGCGAGACGAAAGTCATCAATGGTTAGAGACCTTGAACGATATGGCTCAAAATCGTTTGCAATGGTGCAAGAGCATCCATTCTTTGAGCTCTCTCAAATCCTAATCTTCTGGATTCATCAGCACGTCTACCTTTGTCTTTCTAACCTTATCTCACTGAATTATACATCTTGAATAATAATATCTTCAAACCCACTAGTCTTCTTCATTACCATTAATACCTCTACTATCTCTACTAACACTATGGAATTTGATTTGACACCTGCATCTTTGAGCTAATATGGTGGTATGGCAACATGAACTTATGTACATACGTACGTAGTTCTACGTTGCAACTGACTGACTGACTGACTGAGGATAAGTATGCTGCATTTATGCTCTAACATTCTTTCTTTTATGACTAAGCTAATTATTATTCCTAATTTTTCTTTCATTCTTCGACTTGATTCATTCTTTATGTTTGTGAATAGGTATTTCGCATAATTAGGTTCGTTTTTTTTCTCATGTTGTGCCAACTTTAAGTGTGCATGTGCATGTGTGTTGTGTGTGTGTGTGTTGCAACTATGACCAATAGATACATTTGTGTCAGAGGTTCTATGCTGTCAATGACTGACTGACTGATTGATTGATTGATTGACATGAATACATCGAAAAGTGCAACAATTAGTGTACTTCTTATCAGTCAGTCAATAACATCAAAGAACTACGTACGTTCCATACATAAATCCATCTTGTCAAGGTCACATTAGCACAGAGATGCAATGGTCAATCCCAATACCATAGTAGTAGAGATAGAAGAAGTATTAACAGTAATGGAGAAGATTAAGATCCGCAGATACAATTCGAGAAAGAGAAAGAGAGAGGCGATGAGGAATTCAAAAGATTAGAATTTGGATGAACACAAAGAGTGGATTCACCTACGTCATTGCAAACGGTTTCGAACCGTATCGTTCAGGGTCTCTAACCATCGATTACTATCATCTCTCTAGCCCAAACTAGGTAGTCAACACCCACCAACATGACTCAGTCTGGTTATCAGTGACTTCATGGATTTCTGCCATGTTTTGGTATAGTCACCCGTAGCTTTCTTCCAACTTACTCCTACACCAACAAACATAACTGTTAGGATATTCACCAAATATCCTAAGAATACTATTTTTAGAAGTACAATCCTATTGGTCGATTTCTATTGGCCGAAATGATGATCGTTCTTACCGTCAGGGTCAAATACCTCTCTTATTGGTCATCGGGACTGTAAATGTCATTCAAATGTTCTTTTCTATTGGTCGTTCTAAATTGTCAGTGTCACAGACTTTGATGCTTTTTCTTATTCGACCTTAGTGTATAAATACGCACTATCTGAAAGACTTAATAATTTGTTTCCCCTGCCTACCTCTTCTTCTGTATTCGACCCAATAAACAACTCCCTTCCACGGTGTTGCATTCTGATATCTAGGAGATTTGAAAATAGCATTTTGGGTCGTATTGGGATATTTGAATCGGACGCCGTTAGGACTGAAGAGCTATACGTAGCAACGTTACAACAATAACTCATCGAGGTAGTCTGTGGTTAAGCATTCGTAAAACATGTCCCAACCATCTCAACTAATTAAGTTTTAATACTTCATCTATTAATCTGCCATCCTTACCTAAGACCCCTTTCCTAACAACATCATTGCTTACTGCATTGTCCCACGATACACGAGTAATGCTTCGAAGGCATCTGTATTTGATTATAGATGCCTTCGAAGCATTATTCATGTATCGTGGGACAATGCAGTAAGCAATGATGTTGTTAGGAAATACCCCGACCGTAGCCGCTACCTTGACGTGTTAGTGGTCGGGCTTGCCTATCGTGATGACCCAACCGAGCAATACTGGCTGGAACATATGTTCCTGAAGGTTCTACCATGCTAGGCAGGTCGATTGGAGAACGATGATACTAAAAGTAGCTACCCAACGTCTGAGGGCGAAGTCGTACTGCTGACTGTGATGGAGGGGTGTGACAGCAGTAAGGTGTTTTCCTCGGACAACAAGCATCTGCAGTGATGCTGCCTTCTCACAAGGAAGGAAGGGTTAGAAAAGGTCGACCCTAAAAATGTCACACCTTACCCTACCTTACGGATTTCTGTCTCCGGCGGTAAGGGTGCACACTAAGGGCCTTTAAGAGCGGAGCTAATACTCAAAAAAACCTTTCATAAAAAGGCCGTGCGTGACCGGCCTTAAGCAGTTGTCCCTTGGGCTCTGCGGTCACGCACCCAGGTCTCTTAGACCAACACTAATCTATCTTCTTTTTAGGTCCCTTAAGAAACAACCTTTCACGGTGTGGGAAGCCAGGAAGTGATAACCGCCCTCATACCCGTAACAACACGAGAGATCGAATTGGTCGAAATCAAACCCTTCCGAAATCAAAAACTAACACTATACGAATATTCCCAACCCTTACCAGCCTAGTTTCACAACCATAAAATAGAACGGAGTGTACATTTAACATTCCATGTACAGATTTTTTCAAAAAGAATTATATGAATATATAGATTAGAACTTACTTGCAATAAGCACAATGTTGTAGACGAAATCTCATTCGATTATTACAAACAGCGCATGGAGTACCTTTTACAAAATCACCAAATTTAGATTCTAATTCAAATCTACACAAATGAAAACAGAAAACAAAAACAAACCTGAGAATCCAAAAATTGTATTTATGAAATATAGATGATAAAGTTGTGAAGATTGGTGAGTTACCTTTTTAAAATCATGAATAGGCCAAATGTTAGACCAATATCAGAAAGAAACCTGGAAGCACTGAAAGACAGCCGTTTCGTCTTGATAAATTAGGGCTCATCAGCATTAGGCATCCACGAATCCCGCTATTGGCAGGACTCAAAACAAGGACCTTCGGTTTTGCCCGCGATCTTTTCCAACCCCTTCATTCCTTGTGAGAAGGCAGCATCGCTGCAGAGGTTGGTTATTCGAGCAAAACAGCTAACTGATGTCACACACCCTTCTACAGGCAGAAGTACGACCTTTAGCTCAGAACTTGAGTTGTTGCTTTTAGTCTTAACGTTTTAAAATCAACCTGTCTGGCAAAGTAAGACCCAAAGGAACATACATTCTAGCCAATATAGCTCGATTGAATCATCACGATAGACAAGTTCGACCAGCGAATATCAAACACTGGCCTAACATTTGCACTGATTGTGTCAATGCTTGTCATAGATGTTTAAGACTGAAATTGATCAGTCTCGATTCGACAAATGTGTATCCTGTAAGGATTATTTCAAAATTATCATTAGGTTACAAGCACTGTTAGCAAACATCGATGGTGATGCGATTCGAATATATATACAACTGACGAGTCTCAAACAGGACGAAGAGCATGTCCTGGATTCTACTGTTAACCATCACTTATCTCTTTCGACGTGAAGACCGGTGTCAGACAGGGTTGCTTTCTCTCACCCTTTCTTTTCCTCCTGGTGATCGACTGGATTATGAAGACGTCGATATCTGGAGGGAAGCACGGTATCAACTGGACAGTTAGGACGCAGCTGGACGATCTGGACTTTGCAGATGACCTGGCTCTTCTATCGCACACGCAACAACAAATGCAACAGAAGACGACCAGTGTAGCAGCAGCCTCTGTAGCAGTAGTTCTCAAAATACATAAAGGAAAAAGCAAAATCCTCCGATGCAACACAACATGCACCAACCAAATCACGCTTGATGGAGATGCCTTGGAGGACGTTAACACCTTTACATATCTGGGCAGCATCATCGATGAGAAAGGTGGATCCGATGCAGATGTGAGGGCGCGGATTGGCAAAGCAAGGGCTGCATTTCTACAGTTGAAAAATATATGGAACTCCAAACAAGTTTCAGCCAAAACCAAGATCAGGATTTTCAATACAAATGTGAAGACAGTATGGAGCGGAAACCTGGAGAACTACGAAAGCCATCATCCAGAAGATACAAGTATTTATTAACAGTTGTCTACACAAAATACTTCGGATTCGTTGGCCAGACACCATCAGTAACAACGTACTGTGGGAGAGAACAAACCAGATTCCAGTGGAGGAGGAAATCAGGAAGAAGCGGTGGAAGTGGATAGGACACACACTACGAAAAGCACCTAACTGCGTCACGAGACAAGCCTTCACATAGAACCCTCAAGGCAAAAGGAAAAGAGGAAGGCCAAAGAACACACTACGCTGAGAAATAGAGAAAGATATGAGAGGAATGAACAAACATTGGACAGAACTGGAGAAGGAAGCCCAGGACAGACAGAGTTGGTTGGAGAAAACTGGTGTGCGGCCTATGCTCCATTGGGGGTAACAGGCGTAAGTAAGTAAGTAATTAGTCCTACATTCTGGTCAATATTCTCATGATTCGTTGCCTTCAAACTCTTACAGCAAAAGCTCACACACACATACAATAGTTCCCTGTTAAAAAAAATTATATAATTGATTCACTAAAGTAAAAATGTTATAATTCAACAACTTACTTATGCATAAATCCACTTGCACTAACAACAAATGTAGCTCCACCTGAATTAGTTGGAACATTAAGGACACCTGAATTAAGGAGAAGAAAGTGTTAATTACTTGATCATACAAAATTTACAAATTAGAATATGCTCATTTCTACTACTGAATAACTTACAACTAGTTAGAACCACCCGACCGAAGCTGCTACCTTGACGTGGTGGTCGGGCTTGCCTATCGTGATGACCCAACAGAGCTATATTGGCTGGAACATATGTTCCTGAAGGTTCTACCATGCCAGGCAGGTCGATTGGAGAACGATGAGACTAAAAGCAGCTACTCAAGGTCTGAGGGCGAAGTCGTACTGCTGACTGTGATGGAGGGATGTGACAGCAGTAAGGTGTTTCCCTCGGACAACCACTATCCGCAGCGATGCTGCCTTCTCACAAGGAAGGAAGGGTTAGAAAAGGTTGGCCGTCAAAATGTCACACCTCACCCTACCTCACGGATTTCCGTGTCCGTCGGTAAGGGTGCCCACTAAGGGCCTTTAAGAGCGGAGCTAATACTCAAAAAACCTTTCATAAAAAGGCCGTGCGTGACCGGCCTCAAGCAGTTGTCCCTTGGACTCTGCGTCACGCACCCAGGTCTCCAAGACCAACACTAATCTATCTTCTTTTTCAAGTCCCTCAAGATACACCCTTCCACGGTGTGGGAAGCCGGGAAGTGATAACCGCCAACTCATACCCGTAACAGTTAGAACTAAAATTGTACTTAGTACAGCACGCTTAATAACATTTAAATCTATTGGATTCTTCTTAAGATGCTTAAAACTGATAAATATACATCTTTTGTACAATCAAACAGTGAACATGACCTAGTGTGACTACCTCAAAGAGTGATTTTTTGTGATGTGCGGGTAGTAGGCTAGAAGAAAGCTAAGGGCGGCCAAACCAAAACATGGTACAAATCTATGGAGTCACTGATAACTAGATTGAGTCATGTCGGTAGGTGTCGACTACTTGCTTGAGGTCCGTGAGACGATACAAACCGATAGTTAGAGACCTTGAATGACAAGGCTCAAAATCCTTTACAATGGCATCGGAGCATCCACTCTTTGTGTTCTCTCAAATTCTAACCTCCTGAATCCCTCATTATCTCTATCTTTCTCTTCCTAACTTTATCTCATTGAATTATACTTCTCAAATCATATCTTCGAACCCTAATCTTCTCCATTACAGCTAATACTTCTACTATCGCTACCACTATTGGATTTGAGCTGGCAGTTGCGTCGCCGTGCTAGTGCGATATGGCAACCTGAACTGATGTACTTACGTACGAAGCTGTCTCTGTGTTGTACCTGTCTGTCTGTCTATTTGTCTTGATAATTTCATCTCACTAAGTTGATATGTTATAGTAATGCGAACCAATGCACAGTAAAACTCATTTTTTAAGTATTCCGACAAATCAAACCGAAGGAGATGAGGCATAGCTAGAACCTGACAACTTACTACTTGAGAGTTGTGTTTTAACTATTAAAAACTTATCACTACTCCACTAGAAAGAATAATACGAATATTCTAACTTGAGGGAAAATGTTTACTGATATGAACTGTGAATCAATATGAAACACATGACAAATCTAAAAATTTAAAGCTTTTTACATAATATAGCACATTACTGTTAATAAAAATTCGTCTTTCGATTTTAATCATAGCCAGAAACTAGATAAAAGTTCAATACTGAGAGAGATATCCAATGGTAAATATAAAATGACTCACCATTACGCAATGTAATGAGTCAGTCAGTTGCAACGTAGAACTTCGTACGTATGTACATAAGTTCAGGTTGCCATACCACATTATTAGCACACAGACGCGAATGTCAAATCAAATCTCATATTGATAAACATAGAAGAGGTATTAAAGATAATGAAGAAGACTCGGGTTTGAAGATATTATTCAAGAAGTAGAATTCAGTGAGATAAGGTTAGAAGGACAAAGGTAGAGGTGCTGACGATTCCAGAAGATTAGGATTTGAGAGAGCACAACGAACGGATGCACTTGCGCCATTGCAAACGATTTCGAGCCATGTCGTTCAAGGTCTCTAACCAATGGTGACTTTCGTCTTGCGGACCCCAGCCAGGTAGTCTACATTTACCAACATGACTCAGTGCACTTGTCAGTGACTTCATCGATTTCTGCCATGTTTTGGTCTGGCCGCCCATGCATTCATCGTGGCAAAAAAAAGCAGAAACCAGTGTGTATAATTTGTCCTCTAAAAAAAAAATAGAACTCACCTAATAAATTATCACTATCTGCAGATGCAGTCATTAAAGGTTGTAAATTAGTTTTTGACGGTCTATATTCACAAGATACACGTCGACCTTGATCATAGGTACGTGAACTTGTAACAAGTGTAGCTGTACTATCATTAATGGAAGAAGAAGAAGTATGATAAAATGTTGACGCTGATTTATTTCCATTTGTCATTATATCATTGTTAATGCATACACCACCATATTGAGCAGTAGTTATCGTTGGTCGATTACCATTTACATAATCAGAATAATTAAAATAATCATTATGTAAATTACTGGAAGCATCTGGTGAAGTGGAATTGTACAATACTAACTGTGGTCTACTAACACAACAAGCAGAATTTGTATCTTGATGAAACATATGTGATACATTTGGCAGAGCAGATAAAATAATACGATTAGCAAGATTAGATTCATGAGATTTGCTACGATGAAGTGGAGAAGGAAATTTTAAACGATGTTTAGGTGGTGGAGTTCCTGATTGACGAGTTTGATGTTCACGATCTCGAGATGAATGATTACCTCCTCGACGTCCACCTGGAGAAAGTGAGATTACTTCATTTGGTAATGTATAACGACCTGCTCTAAATAGATTTGATGGTGATAAAATAGTTGAGGATAATTTATGCGAGATAGGAGTAGAGGGCACTGAAAGTCTACCGTTATGTAGATCAATTTCTGAAGGAATATTTGAATCAGATATACCTGGATAAAGATTAAATGTTTTGAAATCAGTTTTACACAACTTCCCAGAATGAGATTTATTATTTGTGATATTTTGTGAACTATTTATAGTGATACAACTGGAAGCATGTGGAGAAATAAATGAATTACAACTATTGTAATTTACATCGCTACCAGATTTGAATGTATTTATCTGATCAGAATTTGAATGACTAATAAGATTTCCACAACATATATCATGCTCTGAATGTGAACAAACAACTATTTCGGTATTTTTATACGGAGAATTTTGTACAGAAATTTCTTTGTTAACAAAAAGAGAATCTTCCGGACCGGTAACATATAAAGGAGGTGGTATACGAGAATCTTTTCGTTCTTCATAAGTTTGTACATTGAAAATATTGTTTAATTCTTCAATTTGAGAATCATCCTCAGATAAACGCATAATTAATTTGATTAAATTCCTAGTATCATCTTCAAATGCTAAGTCACTTTCGATCAGATCAATATTTCCGCGTATTTTTGCAAGACCAGCCAATACATGATCAACTTCTTCACCATAGTCTCCATAATTTTGTAAGATTGTTCTCACTTCACTGTCAGGCATATCCAACAATTGTAGAAAGCCAATACCACGAATACGAAGGAGACCCTAAATATATAGATAGATATATATATATATTAAAAATTTGAAAAACATTCACTACTTACCTGTATAGTATCATCATTAATACCGAGACAACGAAAACAAACTTCCGATTTTGGATATTCACGGAGAATAGCATTAGCTGTATCTTCATCAGCATTACAAATAGCTGAAATTTGCTGAGCTAAATATTCAAAAGTTTTATTCTATAAAAAAAAAAAATCGTATATATTTAAATATTTATTAAATTACCTCAGCATCTTGTATTTCAAGTGATAAAATTTCAGAATGTTCATCATTTCTTTTCAATTCTTTACGTAAAGGTGAAATGATTTGTTCTTCTGTTACAATGATTAAATTTTGTAAATCTTTACAAAATGCATATGGGGAAGCAGGTTCACTAAGCATGGTGCACAATAGTTTGTGCCCAGCTTTGTGTACTATAATTCAAATGATATCTCCAGAATTTATACATCAAAAGTTGTTAGGTATATGACTTGTTTGTAAATCCTCCAATTATTCTTAAAACTGTGTTTTTTTTCCTGTTGGTTGAATATGAACGATCCTTGTCAGCGCAAAACATGCAGGAATACTTGAAGAGAATAACAGAAACGTCTCTAAAAAAAACAACATCCAACTAAATAAGATAGACAGTTTATTCAAGCTTTCAGATTAAAAATAGGAAATAGTGTCTTTTAGTGAGCTATGAAACAGAATTGAGAATAACAGTGTTTCTTAGTCAATAGTGAACACCATTTTTATTTCGACCTTGTACACACGTATTCGATTTAAGCAATGAAGTAACTAAAAGCTACAGCTTCCATTCTTACAAGTGATATTCTGTAAACGTACCTATGACAGTGTACAGAGAGGTATTGTGCTGACACAAGATTTCATATACATATCCAAATATTTAAAGCACTTAATGACTTCATTTAGAGCATATATTCTGCATATAAACGATTCAACCGCTATGATGTAACCATAGGCACACATAGTCATCGAAAATCTGATGTGGCATTTATAAAATGCATGGTTTTGCAACCATTTGTAAATCCATATACTAAGCGTCTAGTGCTACCAATGAAATAATCCCATTGATCCAGAAAATGGAATGAGATCTAAGTGTTATTCGGCAGATAATAACTTCAACTAACGCTGTTTTGTATAGTTTTGGGAAATGAGTATCCGTCAAACTAATGGTTTCGTTCTTGCCTAGACAACATTCTTCTACGTTAATGAAAAACTAAGTAATCTCATTTTTACTGGATTAAGATAAATAAAATTATGAAAATAACCAGACACAACTTTTGCATTTGACTAAACCATACTCTCTAAGGCCTTAGATATCATTACATTGCTGAAAAAGAAGCAAATAGGTCACAAGTCCAAAATGCAATCTACTTCTAACAAATGAAATGCACAAATTACTGAACTAACGTATAAAAAATAGTACAAGATGGTGGATCCTTGCCGTATGTCAATGAATTAATGATTATGTTGTGCTGTTTTCGGTCGAAAGATGAAATTTTTAATAAAGTAGAGCTCAGCCAACGTAAGATAAACATGCAGAAAAGGAAATTCTGTTGCATTTTTTTATCAGATGAATTTTCTCGACTTTCTACACTCAAAGACGCGAAAAAGTAAGTAGCAATGATAATTCTCATCGCTTCATACTTCTTCTATGAAGACCAAACTTTAAACACACTCTAAAATGAAAGTATTTTGACCCCTAGCTAGATAAGATACACGACATATTTAGAGTGGAAAAAGTACTAAATGCCTATCTTTAGTACTTGACTTTAACTCGGGCTATTTTAGCAAGTTACTGGTTTATTCTAAATGATATCTCGGTAAGGAACTTTTATACATTAGTAGCGTGAAAAATCATTCGGTATTTGAAGTCAGCGACTTGTTGGGGTCAGGCAACAATCGAAGCATTCAGTATGAACCTCACTGATGCAAAGCAAGAATGCACAACTTACCTGGTTTTGTCGAAATAGCTAAATTATTCTTGAATGCTAGACATTCGAATAATAAACACGAAGAATATCTGAGAAAGTAAAAGCTTTTGATGTGTCCATCTATTTTTACTGAGCTTTTCTACATTTACATTGACTAAATTAAAATGTTCTACAGAATGTATGTGGATGCGTGAGACACTTTAAGGAGAACACGATATAGCACTGGGATTCGTTCACTGCCAAATTAAATTATGGTTGATAGAGTCTATTACTGAATTTAGATGTCTGTGAAGCATGAAAAGTATCAGACAATCTAGTTTCCTGTCTTCTAAAAAATTTTGATGTCCTTATTAATACTCTCGGGAATTTACATTAACATTAAGTGAAGAAAGAAGTATATTCTTAAGAACAGATACAAATAAGACATGTAAGCTAATAAAGACTAGGCTTACTTCAAGTATACACTTCACTAGAAGCTACTGAGTAGACATGCACACCACTTATGGATATGTGACGCATCGGTTGAATGGTGAGCGTATGGAACGGTATTCAATATCCAATATCTTTTTCACAAGCTAGTGTGATTTCTAGTGATTTCTTTGCGCTCGATTCCTGTTCTTTCGGTACGGTTCCAGGTTTCGGGTAGTGTCCAATGAATGGAGGTCTAGCTACTTGACTTTCTAATTCTAGTCAGTTGGTAGTTGGTTGTGAGTAATTATGTCTCGGGATTTGAATGAAAACGCTTGTTTCAGGGCAGTAGGAATTCTGGATACCAGCAGCTATCACATTACCAGACCGGAGATCAGTTCTTTGCAATATGGAGAATAATAAGAATAAAATTCTAATGATAATATGAATAAAATTTCAGAACTGAGTAATATATAGTTAATTTAGTTTATTAATTGGTAGTGAAGATTGTGAAAGAGGACCGAAGTGTAAGCATGAGAGAGGAAACAGAGATAATAGGCGAGATGGATAAAGTAAGTGATCTGAGGATATGGCAATGATAACAACTAACAGTTCTCAAGATATGTATCATGAACAGCTTGTCCAAAAAGGAGATGATAGTCCGTACGTGAGTACGTGATTTTCAAGTCTCTTCTTATAGTTGTCCACTGAGGATGCTGTGGTCACCTCTGCAGGGTGAGCATTTCAGGTTGCGACTACGCGCAATGATAAAAAGTGTGCACGAACCTGAGTATTCGCTCTCTGATCCGCAATCTTTCGAAAATTGCCTCGACGGGGTGGTGGTTATGCATCGTTAGGATGCTTACGTTTTGGCGTGCTCATTTTGTTTTACGCCATAATCAGATCACCTCCAATTCTCCTGTGTCTCAGTGGAAGTAATCTCAAGTGCTGGAGCCTATCGTCGAAAGGTTTATTTTTGAACCCTATCACCCATTTGGTTGCTCATCTCTGCTCTCAATCCAAGAGGTTTACGTCTCTTTTAAGCAGACGGGGTGCGATGACGTTGTGAACTTCTAAGTGTGGGCACGCGTATGTCTTTAATAATGTTAGTAATAAGTCTAGGATGATATCATCAAGTTGTCTTTGCATAAAGTGAAGAGTCGCATTTGCCTTGGCTGCGTACCCTACATAATTCGGACTCGTGTGGATGCTTTCTGTGGTTATTAAACGGAGATCGCACTCTGGGGAGACATGAGGGAGCGGACTTTCACTGAGGGTGTAGATCGTTTGCATCGTGTGAGGCAAAATATGCAGGACGTGGCACTTCAGTTGGTTGAGTTACAAACCGTTTTTCACTGCCCTTTTCTCAATAGATGTAAGGTCCTTTTGAAGCTCAGTCGAATCCTCTTCGCTTCTAATGGACCTACAGATCTTCCCATCGTCTGCCGGTGAGCTAACTAAGCCTTACAGGTCGTTAATAAATATCAGGAAAAGAAGTTGGCCTTGGGTGGTCCCCTATGAAACTCCCAATGTGGATACTCGCCAGCTCGCGTGCATTCTGTCTACCTTGGTGCGAATCTTTTTATTCTCAAGGTAGTTTCTGAGCCAAGATAGGAGTGGGTCAGTGAAGCCCATTTCCACAACCGTTGCGATTGGGGCACTGCGTCAAAGGCTTTCGCAAAGTCGATAAATATTACGTGCACTGGTATTTTACGGTCCAAACAGGATGTCCAATTGTCCCATGCAATCAGAAGATTAGATGCACACGACCTGCTTTTCCGAAACCCGTGTTGAGCTTCATGGAGTATTTTATTCTTACCCATGTACTCCCCCAATTGTTCGTCCACCAGCCCTTCCATTACCTTTGATAGTATTGGTAGTAATGCGACTGGTCTTTAACATGCTGGGTCCCGGGAGCGGCATTTGCAATATTACATCAATCAGTTTGCTTTTCTGGGCCTTAGTACCCGATGGAGGTCTCGAAATCCCTCCAATCAATTATTTCGTGCCATTCGTGTGGAAACAACACCTATATGATTCTGTCACCTCAGTTAGTTAGGCTTCATATAGCCACTCCACCTTTAAGTGGCCGTTTATATATCCAATCTATCCGCCTCCAGTTTGGTGTACCCTATCGCTTCGGAAGAGTGTCATTCATAGCAAGCTCACTTCTTCGTCTGCAATGTCAGGGGATAGCCATGTTTCAGTTAGGATTATGATCTTCAGATCCATCTGAGAGCACGTATTCCTGATTTCTAACAGCTGACCACTTAGTCCTCTTACGTTCCTGTAGAGGCACTTGGTGGTTTGTCTCAGCAACTGGAGCACTTCTGCAGTAACAGCCAATGTCGAATTTTCAAACACGTTATTCGAACCGGGATGGCTATACTGTGTGAAATGGCCTCTGCAGGTTTTTTGCCTGTGCACTGAGTTCAATCGTGTCTTGTGCAGGCGATTGTCGACCGAGGTCAACTATCAGTTTTGTGCGTTCACTGTCGCCTCCCCGCTGTTGTCTCACAGATCCAGGTCGGCTTTCGCAACACCCTATGTGGCTAGACAGATCGTTCTTCGAATTGTACCAAGCTTGGAGTGCCTCAGTCAGGTCTTCCCTGTTCCTAAATGTTACAGCCATTAGACGTGGTGACTTGATGGACGTAAGATGTGACGGGCGGAGGAACCTAGAAATGCAAACAGCAATCGCGGTTTGAAGGGCTAGGCTACTTGATATCCTTCGCCACTGCCGTACAGTAAGCACGTGAGCTTCGTCCAGGTTACAGTCAGCGAGTTCTGGTACGCCGTGAACTACCATGATGGACTGCTCCTGAGTGCCTGGTGTAGTCCTGGCTGCCGCTCTAACCGAAGATGGCTTTTCATGCCTGATGCGAGTCGGCCACGACAGTTTGACTGATGCCCTTTGGGGTGAAAGGATGATGTCTTCAGCAAGTCATGCCGGGTCAAGAGTTACCCTCATTTCAGGAGGTTTTACTTTCGAGACATTTTGGCCTTTGAAAAGGCGGCATATTTTGGCTGGGATGTTGCACATTCCAAGGATTGTGCATCAATAAATACACTGCTCTTTTTCGAAGGCAGCCCTATCTTCTAGCAAGATTCCCTCCGATACTGGGACATTAGATAAAATAAGTGAATTTAACCTGTCGTCCATGTCCCCGGGTGGTGGCCGCTTGTGAGTTAGGGTGTTGCCATTCCCCTTCTTCACGTTCACCCACTGTTCTTCTTTGCTAACATATACTGGAGGGTTAACAACAGCCGGAAGTTTTGTCGGTGTGTTAGTCAGGGTTTTGGTAGCCTTGGTCACTTGTTTTACTGGTTTTGTGCCAGGCGATTTTGGTTTGGTCGTTAGTACTTTAGAGCTGATTTCGGGTTGGACCTGTGGCTTAGCCAGTGCCTCAGATACTCTACACCGTGAGCAGATGTACTATAACCACGGGCAGGGGTGACGAAACATGAATCCGTAGTACTTTTTAGGTACTGTAGTGTCACAGTGACAATGTACCCATGTACAACAGAAGTTGAATTCAAAAGCATAGTCTTTGATTTTGACTGGTAACGAGCAGGCGAAACAGTTATCCTTATGCGGTTTCTGGACGTCAGACTGTGTTGACTGAGCCTTGGAGCGTCTTTTTCGCCTGTTCTTAACTAGCTTACTGGTCTTTTTAGGAATAGGAGAGGTGGTGTCTTGCTTCCGCTTGTTTGCATTGAGTGATCCAAAGTATGGACACTAAGAGGGATGCTATCAATTGACGGTTTGGGTTTTTCAACAACTCGTTCGCATGAGACTGGGAATTTCGACTCACTATTAACCCCGTGGGTTTTCCTGATTGTTAACGTGTTAGATGTGCTGGCAACCTTATTACCTAACACGATGCCAGAGAGATTAAGTGACGAAAACTGAGATAAATGAGACATGCAAAATAGGGATTTAAGAAAGAATAATTTAGTAGTATATAATGTAACTACAAGGAAGAGTCTGAAAGTACTCCGAAATTGCACTCACACCTTTGAACGTAGTAGTAAGTAACTTTGCGCGTATCCAGTAACTTGTTCCTAAGTCCTGTGTTTGTGAGTGAGCGTATGCATGCTGCCGAAGCAACTAGAAAAAGAGCAGTTGAACGAGGCAGCTAGATCTACTGCACAATTGTTCTGACTTTGAATGGTTCCGTTTGCCCGAAATTGTCTTCAGATCGTCGATCAATGAATTTGCGTGTGGAATCAGGGTGTTTTCTTCACTTTTGGAAAACTTTAAATGCATGATCCTCAAAACTACCGGTTGAACGGCGGAAGGATTGGCGAACAGGAAACAACCAATGAAGCTCCGTATGCCACCGAAAGTCTTTCACGGGGAAATGTGCCAGTAGTTATATGCCAGGTTTGCTGCTCCAGTAGACATGCCACATCAGCGTGGCTGGTATCCAGAACCTGAAATCTGTGTTCGCAGCTGTTCGGACCAGAAAACACTGCAGATAAAGAATGGCCTATGTTTGAGCTCGAAACCATACGTATACCTAATATATTTGAAACCAGAACATCGACCAAAGGCATTGACAAGAGAGTACCTGATCAGGCCAGCTTTCTCCAAGATTGACTAACGTCAACGGTATGAATAGGGAAATGGTCGTAGACGTGGGCTCGGCGTAAAAAAATCAAAGGAAAAAAGAAAGGTGAAATTTGCATGTAGTATTAGGATAAAGACCTCTACCATATCCATTGTTGACGCCCGGAGAAGAGCGAATGTTATATTTAAGTTCACACCGGAAGCAGTGTTCGCATCTACCCAGATAGTCGTTGTACGTTATCTGATATACATAAAATCGCTGCTCTGTGGCGTGAAAAATTACCCGGGCAAATGCGATTTCGTGCCGTATACAGGTTTAGAGTCGGAACGTTGAATATCTGCCATGGCTACTCTGTAATAGTCGTGTGGTCTCCAACTTATGCTGTAGTTTTCGAGAACCGAATGGAGAGAGAAGGCTTACCACATAATTATTCACCTGTAGAATCTCTTCAGTTTAATTACCTTGGGCAATTCATCAAGTATAATATGAAATAAATAACGATGTAAAAATACATTAGTGATTCGGAACATATCTGTTCGAGCGTTAAGACCATTGGA